CTCTTACTTAGATTTGGCGATGTTTTATCTATCCCATGAATAATGATTCTTACTTCTTGGGAAGCTGGGAGAGTCTGTATTGCCTACGGTAGTTGGTCAAGGCACCAATTGATTCTTTTCTCTTCTACCGTTTTAATCCTGGAAGTCAACTTCACCGCCAAATATGAGTAGCCAGTCTGGATCCAGAAGACAAGGCCCCGTACATTTAGTCCTAACATTTTATGGATTGTGTTTGTCACTAGTGTGACAGTAGTGGTCTTGTTTTTAAAGGAGCCCTGATTCAATCTATTCAATAATAATCGATTGCACTACGCCTGATTTGTAGGCCGGCCAAGTAAATCCAGTCAATCCACACTCCCTTTGGCTTCTTGTACTACTTACATGCATCTGAACATGTCGAATTGACCCCAGATTCACTTTAACAAAGTCAGAATGGAAAATAAGAGCTTACTCATATTAGAAACTTGGATTTCAATGCCCATCTTAAGGTGGATATTCACAGTATTTACTCTTTTTGGATTATTATTACACTGCTGCATCTGCATCTGATACTGGAGCTCACTAACTTAGTGCTGTTGCAGGTCCTGCCTTGATCCATGGGTTTGTTTGTTTTCTGATGACCGCGAAAGTCAAACTGGGTTTGCTCTACAAAACAGAACTACTACTAGTATCTTAGTCTACTAGTCTAGCATTTTAGCTGATGAGAGCTGTCGAAATCAATTTGCATCTATTAGTTAGTCTATTTTTTAGTTTTTTTTTTTTTTTTTTGGGCCTCATTTTACGCTTACCCTGCCTATCGCAAAGAGATTAAGTATTTTCCTCATCTAGATTGTTTAGCATTTAATCTCAACCTAGGAGGACTAGTTACATACTTCAATTAGTATCTACTCCGTAAACTCAATCCTTGTTTTCATATCAATCCAACCATCAGAAATCCCTTGCGTCAGCCGTTACCACTTGTATTCTTCTACTCCAGAATAGTCATCCTAGTGGGCGTCAATCAACAACTGGAGGGTCCACGGGAAATTTCCAATGGTCTAGAAAGCAGAAAAACGGGCAAGGTGCAGCTAAGACAGCCACACTAGCAGTTTGTTTTTCTTCTTTTCTGCTTTTTTGACTTTTTGTGACTCTATTGGTGAGCTTGGATTGTACTACTTCGATTTCGCTGCAAACCCACCCTGCAAGTGTAGGTGAGTCTTGATTTTTCAGTCCTGTATTTTCCTTATTTCCCTCCAATCTCCAGTGTCCATTGCTTTTTTATCATTCTTCTCTGTTCTTTCATACCTTTCTTTCCCTCCTTTCGAAATACTCACTCATATAATCGTCTAACACTTTGTTTACTTTACGGTTTATCTAATTGATAATACCTTACATCTCTCTGTTCTCATCTTTATCTGTCTCCATCTACACATCCCCTTCTTTGCGAGGCAGTTTCACTCTCGTGACGACTACAAAGCCAACCCACAACTGACTGCATGCTCTTCGGTATCTTCGGTATAGAGGAGAGATTCAAGTACACGTGAACATTAGTAAACGTTCGAGATCTCATTCATCATGACGGTGGCCGCACCGCCTCCAGTCCCTCCCTCTGTTCACGAGCATGGCATCAATGGCCTTCCTGGCCATGCTGTGAACATGAGTCTGCCCCGATTCCACCCAATCGCAATGAATCCGAACCAGCCTATCCCTCCAGAACATGCCATGCAGAATCATCATCATCATTACTACCGTCATTTCCCCCTCCACCGCCTATGCAGGAGCCTGGTCCGTCTGGCCCTCCAGGGGCCCCTGGTCAACCTCCCTCTATAGACCATATCGAAGCTCGGTTGAGGCAATTAGAACAGGAGGAGGCCGCTCGAATGGCGGCCCGTAGTCAACTACTTGCGATTCGCAAGCGGGAAGACGAGGAGTTCCGTAGGATGACTGAGCATGCTGAAGCTGAAGAAGAGGTATGCTATGCCATCGTGATGTGGTGACCTTCAGGGACATAACGGCTGACTCTTATTCAGGAGCTTCGTAGACAAAGAAAACGTCTAAAGAGAGAGTCTATGGGACTCGGGTATAATGCAACTATTGACTCGCCGCCTCTGCGGCCCACGCCGCCTCGCCGCTTGTCAGAAACGAACGCAGCCACGACCCTTGCGTTCTTTAAGCAACAGAGTCCCCCCGAGCCACGTCCTATTCCACAACAACCACCGGCGGTGCAAGCGCCCCCACCTCACCATCCTCCACCACAACATACACAACATACCCAACACATCCAGCATGACCCGTCAGCGGCCAATGCCATCAGGCGGAAACAAAAATACACGATTAAGAATGTAGAGGCTTGGGGGGAACGCCATGGACGTCCCGCCGCACATGATCCTTCTGGACGAGCGTTGTGGAAGCGGCCATCCGACGGCAGCTTGGTCTATCTGACCTGCCCGGTTCAGGGATGCGGCAAAGCTGATTTCGTGACCCTTCATGGCTTCATGTGCCATCTGACGAAGAAGCACAAGGATCGCAGCCTGGGAAGCCAGTCTAGGGCGTTGGAAGTCTGCGGAGTGGTCTTTGACCCCAATGCCCCTCTCCCGCCTGTCTCTTCAGTGAATCGTGCCTCAACTGAGGAAAGCCGTGTGGAGTCTACCCCGGCGGATCCTGACAACTACTCTAACGACATGGAGTATTCGTCCGCTTCTGATGAAGAAGGCCGGGAGCGGTGTCCTGTGAAATCGGAGCCGACAGAGCGACCTCTGCCCACCCCGGCAACGTCTCTACCCACACCCGAAGAATCCACGACACTTCCGAAACCGAATGGCTTCACGAAACAATCTATCTCCTCGATCATTGACCGGGATCCTACAGCTGAGCAACGAGAAAGCTTGAGTTCTGCGGTTCCTCACACCTCTCCACGATTGTCGCCAGCCGCATAGTGCTTAATAATCCAACCAGATAATTAATTCCTAATGGTACCATTGAATGAATACACAAAGCTGAAGGACTGAAGGAAGCTCGCAGATCTAGCTTTATATCCCTTGTGGCTAATGGTCTCATGACCTAGTTGCGGAACCAGGCATTGTAAACTAATTATGGGACTAGGCCTTGGGAATAAATAGTCATAGGCCTAGCTGGTATATGCCTGCATGTCTATTTGTTAGTTCGTTAGATTGAGATCCCGATAATAATAGGCCTTGATGAAGCTCTACGTTCATTTAGAAAGCAGTGCAATCTACTTGTATGTCTATGGATATATGTAGCTGTGGTAGCCTGCATTTTTGTCGCCTTTAGTGAGGACTCCTACTACGGTAGTAAGTTACCTCCCCTTGTTGTGACACTTTCGCAGGTAACTTCTTTGTAGGGAGATCTTATCGCCAGGACACCTTCGACTTCCGCGGGCACTCCCAGGGCTCAATGGGACACTCCATCCACTCCCCATCTAGGAGTCTGTCTGCCTCCGCGGGAACTATGTGGAAGAAGGTCGTCCGTCTCATAATCGTTACAACTACCCTCAATCTCACGAGGCCTCCTTTATCCATGCCTTTGCTGCTGCGGTGCTGCGCCTTAGTTCTCTTTTATCTTGGACTTTGCTCATGAAGGACCGTCTGGAACAATGCATTCATTATGTAAGATGGATAGCTTAGAACTAAATATTCACAATTTCAAACCACCCCAGGTAAAGTGTAGGCGCTGTGACATATAAGGGCTCTCTGGCCCTGCAACTCTCTCTCTTCTTCTTTTCTCCTTGACAACCTCATCATCTTCTTCGTGTGGGTATATACTGGTTTCCTCCCTGCGAACAGCATTTCCAATCCATCGGAGCCATGATAGTAAATTGCCTCTATTGGTCAGGTAACTACTGAAGTTGTTCCTGACCTAAAGGCCTCCCGAAACCTAATTGCCAATGACGTTATAGCGCATCTTCTGTCTAAGGCAAGGCACTCTTTCATCTTCCTCTCTTGATATTGACTCATTACCTGTCAACAATCACAAATGAGAACTTTTTCGAAATGCTCACAAGCATATTACTGGTTGTTGACACACCAAACCAATATTTACTCAAGAGACACTGGCTAGCAAATCACGCTGAATGACGGACCCTTAGAGAAAGGACACTATGATATCTTTTGTGCTGGAGGTAAGTATACAGCAGAGTTTGTTGAAAACATCCAGGTAATCAGCGTGGGAAAGCAGAGCCTGGCAGTCTCGGCCATCAAGGTGGCGATGTGATGGACTCTGAAACCAGAAGAAAATTGGCGGGAGTCATCCACTGCATCCTTCACTTGCGAGTAATAAGAATAAGCCACAATGAATCTGGCTAACTTTTTGGCGATATCAAACTCACTGATGAGATGCCCATGCTCCGGATATGCTCACATAGCCAAAGTGGTCAAGTGACCTCTTTCAGAGATGAAGTGAGCGCCCGAGACACGAGATGTGTCAACTGGAATTCTATGCCGTGGTGCTAGCGAAGGCAGATGGGGAACATCTAAAGTAGCACATATCTTTCCCTTAAAGGAGGAAGCACTCTTCAATCGAGATTTTAGCCACCTTATTACCACAGGATCTCATACCGCGTCCATTAACTCAGTTCAGAACAGCATGTTGCTGGTGGAGATCTGCATGGGGACTTCGATAAATTCCTAGTTTCTGTGAACTTCGATGTAAGTGGTTGCACTGAGCCCTCAGCAAGGTATTGATCTCTTACTAATCTACCTTAGGATCGCTACAAATCGCCTACTTTGGTGACGATAACTGAGGTGTTGATGGCAACCAGTTAGATGAGGTGTGCCGAAAAGAAAACGACCCCCAATCGTGTTGCAGACGAATTGTTCGGCTGACACTTTCGACAGTCCGTCCTAGCGAATATGAAGAAGGTTGGAGAACCCGTATAGGAACCTGAATTTTCCCCGGGGATAGATATGATTAGAGATTGTTCAGGGGCCTAATACAGCACAGCGAAAGGAACTAGAGTTATATCCCCGACTTCAGGGATTTCAACAAAACAACGCGCAGTTGGTACATTGATAGTAGGTTTAGTTCACAGACTGATGGAGCTTTAACACACTTGACGGAGCGGAATGTCTCTTCTTACACAACCTACGTTGCGGATATCTTATTCATCGCCATCATGTTATAGCTGGCTTACCACCAGAGAAGCATACCTTCCAGGTTCGACCAAGCATACCACCTGCTACTCAATCTATCTGCCTGACACGGCGGATGATTTTTGGCCGGCGAGTAAACTTCGTTCCAGTCCACAGGATATTCTGGAACTGTATCTAGATCCCTGATGAGCGGAAATTTGTATGTCCTTCAATAGTAATGACTTCAAAAAATTGACATACTGGCTCTGGCAGGGTGTTTCAAGAGCTTAGTTAGCATCTCTCAACAGTAAAAGATGCACAACATAGCCTGTCCCCGATCTGAGGCCTTCACCCAGCGCCTCATCGCTCAGCCGCCATACGCGAAACACCCTCAGCGTCTCCTGCAGCCACGCCTCAAAGACATCCGGAGACCGCTGCTGCTGCGCAATAATGCAGATCGTCGGGGGCAGGCTCACTCGCCGCCCGGCCGTATGAACCGGCCTTAAGCGACAGAAATCCGCGCACGTGCGCACAAAGGGGGCAACAAGCGCCTCGTTGTAGATACAATCGCACGATAGGAGGAGATCGAACCCTTTATCCTCCCCTTTCTCGTCGTCATGGTCACGGTCATCGTTCCCAGTGAGCCCGATACTATCCTTCAACGACGCCGGAACATCCAGTTCCCAATCCAGCGCGGCAAAGGTGATATTGGATGACCCGGGCCCGTCTTGCTTGCGCGGCGGTTTTTGCTGTCCCGTCGCCCGCTTCTTGCTTTTGCCCTTGGGCTGGGGCTTTGCGCTGGTTGATGTGCTGGCTGATGTTGCAGCGGACCTGTTGTTTTCGAGGTTTTCGCGGAAAAGTCGGTGGACATATTCCTGGTCTGTTGCGACGTAATGCCGTATCGACGGGCCGAGTGCGAGCGCTACTAGACCTGAGATGCCGCAGCCGAGCTCAACGACTGTCGAGGAGGGGGTCAGGAGAGAGTGTTTCCAGAGAGGGTTTGAGTGAGCGTCTGCGATCCATTCTGCGAAGGCGGGGGTGATTTTCCATAGGACTGGGATGGGTTAGCTGAATGGTGCGGGAGAGTGGGATCTGATGAAGAAGAGGTAGGTCTACCTGCGCCTGTTGTTCCTCCTGCTCGAGATGAAGAGAGCAGGGTGGGGGATTGGCTGATCGAGTAGTCTTGACCGTGGATGGTCACGTCGACGGTTGTCGCACGGGAGTCGACGAAGCCTAGGTTCGCGGAAGGGATGTCTCTTGAGAATAGGAGGAAGGATTCTGGAGAGGATTAATCCTTGGCCCCCTTTTTTTTTTAAAAAAAATCTTGTTTTCTCTACTATGGCTCAGCTACAAACAAGTACATACCCTCTTCGGCATCTTCCACCTCCTCGCCAATCGACGAGAGAAAATTATTCAAAGCCTCTGTCTGATCCATACTACCTTGCTGAGTTTTATCTCTCTGTGTGCGAGCAGTTCAGTCACAATCTAGGCGTAAAGTCTAGGCATAAAGCTCTTGCCGATGAGCTCCGAGGATCGAGCCCCGAACTGTTCTCTAGCGAGGTAGCTACGCAGAATTAGCCGCTGTTGTGTCAAGGATAAACGGCGTAGCGCGATGTACCCTGTGAATCAGAATTTTTTTGTCTCGGAGCTTGTGACTTCTGAAGATGTACGCTCCGAGGATAATGATCAGGAAAGAACAAAGATTGATACAGTTTTCAAAGCTTTGAAGCTATCCAGAAAAGAAGAACAACTGATTGGTCGAATCTCCAAAATTTCTGATCTGGGGTAAAAGAGCTCCAGGTCACGGGACCTGGGCTGTGCCGTAGCGTGACCAGTCGTCATCTGCTCAATTACTGCGAACCATAGTCCAGGAACGAATGAAAAAGTGTAAAAGAGTGTCTACCAAGCCTCCAAGTTGCCTAGATTGCCTAATGCCTAGATTTATGGCTTAGAGGGCGGACATGTTTTGAGTCCGTCATTGTGTTGGGCAAAAGTCCCAACAAAAGGAGTCTAAGGTCAAGGATCGTCGGAACTGAGCTTTCCCCGTAAGAGAGGTCACTTCCACATAGTGACTGCGACGGACGGAGGCATCTGAGCAGACGTGAGACAACGAGGAAACTAGAGCACCTGATGCTTGTCGTGAAGTAAATTAATTATCCACTGGTTAATCTCAATCCATGATCAGAAGCGATCTGTTCGGCTGAATTGAAGCTCGAACCGCGGCATAGCTCCGAGCGAACAGTTACAGTGCATGTAACTTTGGATCTTCCCGACCTGAGCTTGCTCAGTCAGTCTTGTGGACTCGTGGTGCAAAATAAAAAGGAGCTGAGGATCGATAGAGAAAAAGCAACGTGGATCAAACTGCTTTGTTGTTGTTTTTTGCTTGTTGCTGTCCCTGTAGCGTCATAGGAGCGAGGACCGCAGCTTGGGCCGCCCCCGTCAAGAAAGCCCAGCCACAAACACTCTTTAGGTTCTGACTTCATCCGCAGCAACTCGCTCACCTGCGCGGCTTCATCCTCCTCTCCCCTCTCTTTCTTTCCTAGGCCCAGACTTTCCCCTCTTGGTCTTCCTGAGTGTCTGCGCTTTGTCCCTATTTATATCTGATCCCCTCTCCACTCCTCTTTAATCCTTCTCCGGCATTCCCGCCTCTCTCTTGCGTTCAACGTGAATCTCCAATCCTGTACGTCTTGGAAAGCTTTTGACCACCCCCAATTCACCACCTACATTTCTATTTCTGTAGAATTGATCTTCGAAAATATCCGGGAGATTGCGGTGATTGCAATAGCTGCTGACTGTTTCGGTCGATTAAAACAGGAGCTATTAGTACATTTTCTTCGTCATACAGCTCCCCGGATCTCGGTGATCGCAGTTCAAGATGTCGAAGCGAGACATCCACCTCCAACCCCGGATGTCCAAGAAGCCTCCATTCACAGTGGAGGCTTCTGGCTACGAGCCCGTACCAGGAGAGACCATCCCTCGTAGATTGCCACAGGCTAAAGACAACCTCATCCTGCGGCCCGCGGAGGATGTCGCAACTACCTATGATGTGTTCAGACGGTCCGCGCGTATGTTCGGTAACGCAAAGGCTGTCGGTACTCGTCGCCTTATCAAAACTCATGTGGAGAACAAGAAGGTCAAGAAGACTGTCGACGGTGTGGAGCAGGAGGTCGAAAAGAAGTGGACATATTTTGAGATGAGCGGTTATGCCTACAAGAGCTTCGTTGAATATGAACGGCTTGCGCTGGAATTGGGTTGTGGGTTGCGCAAGCTGGGATTGGAGAAGGATAACAAGATTCACCTCTACGGTGCAACAAGGTGAGCTTTACCGGCAGTCTTTATACAGAGGAATGATTGCTGACATATACCTCTTTCAAGTGCACATTGGCTGGCCATGTCACACGGTTCGTTCACCGTTTTCTGCAGCCCCTGCGATAAGCCATTGACTAATTGAATCCACACAGGAGCTGCATCTCAATCATTGACCATCGTTACTGCATACGACACTCTTGGAGAGGAGGGACTGAAGCACTCTCTGGTCCAGACGTCGAGTCTTGCTATCTTCCTTGACCCCGGTCTTATCCGTTCTCTTGCCAATGTTCTCAGCGATGTTAAGTCTATCAAGCACGTCATCTACAACACCGACCAGGAGGTTAAGCAGGAGGATCTGGACAAGCTCAAGGCCGATTTCGACTACTTGAACATCATGAGCATTGAAGACCTGCGCAAGCTGGGAGAGGAGAACCCTGTCGACCCAGTTCCCCCGTCTCCCGAGGACCTCTGCTGCATTATGTACACCTCCGGTTCCACGGGTCCACCAAAGGGTGTGCCTCTGACACACAAGAATGTCATCGCTGCGAGTAAGTTAGCTGATTTGAGAATATATTGCGGATTGGCAAAGTTAACGCGTCCCTTTACAGCGGCTGGTATCAATGCGATTGTTGGCCCTTACATCGGACCCTCCGATACTCTGCTTACCTACCTTCCTCAAGCGCACATCCTGGAGTTCATGTTTGAGAACCTCTGCTTGTTCTGGGGTGGCACAATGGGCTACGGAAACCCCCGAACTCTGTCGGATACCTCGATGCGCAACAGCAAGGGTGATATCCGCGAATTCAAGCCGACGATTCTCGTGGGTGTTCCGGCTGTCTGGGAGTCTGTCAAGAAAGGTGTGCTCAACAACTTGAACAAGGCTAGCTTCCTTGTAAGGGGCCTGTTCTGGGGCGCAATGTCCGCAAAGACCTTCCTGATGACAAATGGTTTCCCGGGAGCCAGCACGGGTGCCTCCATTCTGGATGCTGTCGTGTTCCGTAAGTTGAAGGAAGCTACCGGTGGTAGACTGCGTATTGTGATGAACGGTGGTGGCCCTGTCTCTAAGGAGACTCAAAGGTTCCTCTCTATGGCCATCGCCCCTATGATCAGCGGCTATGGTTTGACTGAGACCTCCGCTATGGGCGCTCTCAACGACCCTATGGCCTGGAACCCGGATGCGCTGGGTGAAATTCCCGGATGCATCGAAGTCAAGCTCGTCGATTTCCCGGATGCCGGCTACTTCACCAAGAACGATCCGCCTCAGGGAGAAATTCTCATCCGCGGTGGTAGTGTGACCTCGTACTATTGGGACAATGAGGAAGAGACCAAGGCCGCTTTCACCGAGGACGGCTGGTTCAGGACCGGTGATATTGGGGAGTTCGACAAGAACGGGCATCTGAAGATTATTGACCGCAAGAAGAACCTGGTCAAGACGCTCAACGGGGAATACATCGCTTTGGAGAAGCTCGAGTCTGTATATCGCTCCTCGCCCGTGGTTGGCAACATCTGTGTTTATGCCGCCGAGGACCAGGACAAGCCCATTGCCATCATTGTGCCCGTTGAGGTCGCCTTGAAGAAGATCGCCAGTGAGAATGGCATTGAGGGCGACAGCCTTGAGTCGCTGGTTCACAATGAGAACTTGAAGTCCATTGTCCTCAAGCAGCTCCAGAGCGCTGGCAAGGCTGGCGGTCTCAGGGGCATTGAGATCATCAATGGTGTTGTGTTGTCTGATGAGGAGTGGACACCTCAGAATGTAAGTCTTACCACCCTCTTCTTCACACTACGAGCTGACCATATACCCAGGGTTACATGACTGCGGCCCAGAAACTGCAGCGCAAGAAGATCATCAACAAGTTCAGGGCCGACATCGACCGTGCCTATGGCAAATAGTAAGAGGTGGATGACTGATGAAATTTTTGCTTTGTTTCCTCCCTATTTAATGTAGAAAATTATTTTTACTGGTCTGTCCCTAGCACACTGTTTTGTGTTCATGTCATCTTCTTCACTTGTTCTTAGTTGCAGCTTTCGTGCCTCGGAAGCCTGTGTCTGTTACCGATTCCCTGCTAGTTGACAGCAATGCGTTTGAGCAATATGCTATCTTGTCCCCTACCAGTATACAGATGGAGCGCTACTGCTCTGTTGGCAAGGTCGAAAGCTAGTCCTAGGGTTGGTACTACTAGCTGCGCATCTAAGTAATTGACACAGGCTCTCTGGCTTCCGGTTGAATTTACGCCTGCGTGTTCTGAGCGACCAAGACTCTGTTAATAGTAATAGAGCTCGATCATCTCTTCCACTGCGCTGATGGATATAGCATGCCTGACTGCCTCAGGCAGTAAGATTTTTACGCTATACCCAGAATAGTAAGCCCCAAGCCAGACTACAGATGGGTGGGTACTCCGTATGCTCCGAGGCCAACAGAACTCATTCAATTGCCAAGACTCCAAGAAAACAGCCAAAAGCCAAGGCGCAGCGCATCTACAATGAGTCTCTGGAGGTACGTAGTACACAGAAGACATTAGTACCACCGTGCAGATACAAGATTAACACTTGGCTGGTACAGCTCCTACCGCTCCCTCGCCCCCAAGACGCGGGCCCTCTTCGGCGTCGGCCTTATGGCGTGGGCATCTCTCGGGTTGTGGTTCTCGCCGCAGGTCGAAAACGCGATGGGGATGGTACCCAGTGCCGAAGAGAAAGAGGAGTTGGAGAGGAAGTTGGCGCTTCGGGTGTCGCGGGTTGAGAAGGGGAATTAGCCTGGTCGAATCGCGACATTGGAAGATATTGATTTCAGGGCCATGGATAGTTCGAAACACTGCTTGCGGACTCACTCAGTCGGATAACCCTCATGACTTGTCTACGTGGATCACGGTGATATGCCGGGCGCGACAATGGGAGAGGAATATAGCCTGGCGGTTGGTTTCCGGGGGCTAAGGGAAAGAGGTTATCGTTATCGGCGACGGACACCAGGATACGAAGAACAGAATGCAGGCTGGCTACGTATTCGTTACGCTGCCCGCCACCACTGGTGAATCACGTCGGGTATCACGTGCCATCAAGCGTCAGGAGCTCTTTGGCTAAGCGGCACAGCATTCGGAAGCCGTTTCGTGCAACGACGGGGTACTGGTGCGGAGATTTGAAGATGAGACCGGACGGGACGAGGGTGGTTGGGAATCAAACTAAGAGGAAGGGGCTGTCGCGAGTCTTATTCATTGTTTCATGGCCGTTGATGAAGGACAAGGGGATACGTGGAGGCACTGCTAGACTGTTTAGTTAGCGACGCATCAAGTATGGACAACGCAACGATGAATTGCCAGTTGGCTAGACGGTCATTGCGCACTTCTTGCGACACACTCTGGAAGACGCCACGATGCATCGAATCGGTCATCAGCCAAATCCACACATGCATGAGAGATTAACCGTGATGTCATTCTCAACGTGATTGAATACCGATTCTCGTCTAGAAGCAAGATACCCCCGTATGGAAACGCCCAAGAATGAAGCGGAGCGGTGGCAAACACGCAGATTGGACGCTGGATGCAACCGTTGCACTAGGATCCTGGTGCCCATCTGTTGATCGTAGTACGAGTGTGAGTTCTCTGCCCTGCTTGCCCTGCCTGCTCAGCCTGCAGGAAGAATAGGAATAATGTAGGAGCTGGAAAGGCTGGGGGCGCTTGCTTGACAACCGTGGAGAAATAGAATCCTGAGTCACTCTTGCACGACCACCCACCACGCCCCCCCCTTGTACCACATGCATATTGTGGCTTCGCGATTGAATCTTCCAGAGTCTGTATTTAGCCCCGGATTGGAGGTGGCTTTTGCATCAGTGAGGGATACGTTGACCATATTTAGGCTCGGGCCATGGGTGATAGGCTTCAGACCTAAGGTAGACATGACGAGAGGAGATTCTTGTATGTACTAGTTCTATACAATACAGTACACGTCTTTCCTGACAAACAGAAATAGAAATAGATGCGACTGCAAGGACTGGATTGTACGGATCATGCTGATGTCAATCCGTGATGATTGAAGGCCATGAATCCATTGGAAGCATAACTCCAAAAAGTGCATAATTTGACACCAAGATGACAGGGTCATATCTTTGTTGCACTAAGCTAAATTACGGCTGTCTCGTCGATCATGATCGCCTTAGAGTGCACTAAAGACAGCCCACATACAGTAGTAGTCTCGCTAGTCTCACTAGCGCCTATTTCATTCTTTTGATGCTTCTTACTCTTTATTCTCAGTTAATCACTGCTGCATGATTTCCTACCCTTTAGAATCCTGCAGCTTCCCTCTCATCTATGTTTCGGCGATCATACCGAGTCCCATAGTCCAGTAACCACAAAAGGAAGGCGAAGTTTGCCAACGAAACAACGCAACCGAAAAGGGGGCTGGCTACTCGAGAGGCTTGAGCGAGGCGCCTCGCCCAAAGAGGTTGTTGCTACTTGCTTCCACACTCCAGTTATCTTTTTCTTGTATCCTGTATGGACTATGGAGTACTCCGTACTTAGCTAGATACCTAAAGGGCAGACAAGACACACCGCTGCGGCCCTGCATGTCGATCATAGCATGTGTCCATTGGCCGCCTTCTTCTGGATATGATTTCCCCCCCTCTTCTACCCACTAGAAAGGAGCGGTGACTCTCGGAGCAGCCATGATAGACAGCAGCTCAGTCGCATGTATCTCATTCTTCCATCTCGACACCCACGCATGGTTCTGACTCGTAGGAACTGGGTCGCACAGGTAACAGCAGAAAGTGACAGCGGAACGGCCCCTAAGCAATCACAACAGGAGCAAACGGACGTATCGGAGAAAATACAAGGTTTTTGACAGGGTGCGGAACTTGCGATTGATTGCACAAGGTTTGGAGCCAATTGATCCTTTTCCCTTGCCAATGCCACTGTGCTTTTGGAGGTCCTCCTGCACTCCGTATGGGATCCCTGATGTCGATCCTGTTGATCCTTGGATCATCTCTCTTCTTCTCTCTACGTCGAAAGCACACTAGTCAATTATGTGCTAGGAAGCAAGGTGGCGCCTCAATTTTCCCAAACGGGTGATTGATTGCATGATGGATTCCTCTCTGTACTGTGGCTGCTTGTGCACTGCAGAGCCCGGATGTACTCGGTGAACCCTGACACATTCCCAACGTCAAACAAACACCGGTGATAATGTGATGCGAGTAGACATGGTTTGGTATACATTATCATTCCGACTATCTTTTTTTGCCCAGAAAATTCAAGCCTCTTTTCCTTTTATCCTTCCGGAGGAGACGGAACTGTAAGCAAGAAAAAAACACAAATTGAGAAAGTAAACCAAGAAAGTGTAGCCATTTAGGAGAATCGGATACGTGGCAAATAACAAATCAGACGCTAACTTGTCATGCGATTTCTCGCTCCATTGATAGATGTGTTGTCGATCGACCCAATCTGTCGGTCTACTGTTCGTGCAGATGTGAGCCGTCCAAACTATGCGGACGTTGTCTAGGTTGAACCTAGAGGGTAGAAATTGCCAAAAGGCAATAGTAAATCTGGAAACAAAGACGCTTACAATTTTAAGGGGCAGATAAAAAAAGCCGCAAAAATTGAGAGGGAGAAGGGGGGCAAACTAGGGCAGGCGATTCGCGCTCCCACTGCTAAGCACGCAGACTCTGCGAGTTCGAAAATCGACAATAAAGATTGTCATTGTTTGAACGAGAGGGGACGAGCGGATCATAGCCCCTGGATGTAGGGATATGTTGAAGCTGCGGCGTCAGCCGAGGCGGATTTTTCAGAAAATGCGAGGGTTCACTGGCTTCGCTCGAGAATATTGAAGTCATCGAGTCAAACGACTCAGGATAGCTGTTGCCGGACTCCTCACTTCCCCTAGATAGTGTATCATACTCAAACGGCGGTAGATGCGTGCGGAAATGGTTGTCGGGTTTACGGTCAAGGAGACCGAAACCACCGTCGGCGTACCCGTCCATGCTTGACGGGCTTTTGATGGTGCCTAGCGGATCCATGGGATCATTTAGAATCCCAATATCAAATGCAGATGACGAGGATGACGAGATGTGCGGACTATCACTCAATGGGGATGGCTCGGCCATGTGTTGATACTCCGCTCGACCGTAATGAGACCCTCCGCGTGAAGACGGATCGAACGACATCATCAGATGCGATCGCGCCCCCGGTAACAGACCTGCAGACACACTGCTATCGCCATAGCCGCCATTACCCCCGTCCGGACCCATGCTCGTTGAACTATCCCGTCGACCGTCCTTGTAATGACCTGGAGAACGACCCCGGACCACCATGGGATGTGAAAGTTTTCTAGCGATCTTCATCCACTGCGTCTCACTCCCGTTGCTAGGATTCGTAATCTCCGCATAGAGCTCGACAACCAAGTTGTAGTACTGCTGCTGCGCCCGGCGCTTGCCGTTGTTCGCTGTCGCCTTCTGGAACTGAATACGCTCGAATGTGTGCTGCGTCGGCGGCTGTGACTGCTGCGGAGCCCCGGTGTATGAAGAACTGTAGTCCATCGACAATGCGGCCGATTGAGAGTTCAGCGCAAACGCGTGCTGCCCACCACCACTAGTCGTTGCACCGTGATTGAGAAGCAATGGCGGCGGCGGCTGGCAAGGTTGCAGGACAACTTTCCCCGGCTTCCTTTCGGATTGTTTGTCGCGTTTCGGAGTGTGTTGAACCAACTCTCGAATCTCACCGTACTGTGCATTTACAACTGCCGATATGCACATGGAAAACTTCAGGATGCGCTCCGTCGTCTGGTCAGAAACCTTCAGGTAAAGAGGAGCACGCGTCCATGGATGTAAGGAAAACGAGCAGGAGACCGAGAAATAGTTCCGCCTATAACAGGTCCATTTGTCGTCCACTTGAAAGAAGCCTTTATGTATCTTGGCGTGAATCTCTGGTTTGATGGCTTGACTGCCTGCGATTATCGGCAAAAGTATATTAGTCTCGTGGAAAGGAGGTGCGTCCGCTACCGGCTGGGGCAAGCGCTGTTGGGAGTCCATGTAAATATTCCCAGTCTGTCCGAAGAACAGATTGTGGGGGTATCGAACGAATGATCGAGGCCCCGTGGAGTACTTGTATACGAAGAAATCCTCGGCATTTCGCTCAAACTCGATAGGGAAGGGCATGTACTTCCCCGTTGAAGGGCGTACTGTGTTGGATAGTTCTCATGGCGACCTAGGATCGAGGAAGAGCTGGAAAGACCCTGCCCTTGTGACTGAAGAGCGGACGACAACCCGGGCGGCGGCTGACTAGGAGGACTGGTCAGTATCATCGACATCGCTTCGACGGATCTGGTATAAACAAGCAAGCGGCTAGACCTACAGTGCAGGCACACGATGTGGCCGAAAGTCCGGCATTCTCTCGTATGGCGAGCTGATTGAATGTGAATAGATAGAGCCTGATGCAGGAGAAAATGGACCTGAAAAGAGGCGTACAGAATTAGCGAGAGCCGTGTTAGCAGATTGTGATTCAATAAAAAGAACGGATCAAGTTTTCTTGTTTCGAAGCAAAAGAGAAACCTACCGGAGCATGGATCAGAATGGTTCATAAGAGGGGATGCCCCAAAGCTGAAAGGAGCAAGCCTGGTCAGCAAAAAGACCGAGTCCTGATTTGGTACCAAAAGCTGCGTCTTCAACCGGGGGGCAAAAAGGCAAACGAAGTGAACAAAATAAGATAACGCCTCATCCTGGAAGGCACTGCGTATATAAGAGACTCGACCCGGAGTTGATGGGAGGCTTTCTGCGACAGCATGATGAAGACATCAAATAACAAGACCAGCAAGGAACAGCATCCAGAGGCATGCAAGTCCAATGTGCTCAAGTAAAGAATTCCGAAAATAAAAAGGAAAAAGGAAAAAGAAAAAGATAGTAAAAAAAAGGAAAACGGAATCTGATGAAAAACAGCAGAGGGGCAAAAGAAGCAAGCACATAGTGTCTGGACAAGAAAGGTACTGTACACTGTGACTAGTACCAGGCAGGCAAGCGGGCCAAGTGGAGCACAAGAGTAGTCTGAATTGAAAGACAACTTACGCTACATCCTGCATTGCAGACTGTTGTGCGCTGTACCTCAAGCCGTTGGTGGCAGGGATCGAGACTGGCTGCGCTAGGGAAGGGCCAATCGCACCGTTTCGTCGGCGGTTGTCCTCATCGTCCATAGAAAAGCCGGTAGGGCCAGCAAATTGTCGTGGTGCCCCGGTATAATCGCTGTCGCTGGTGACAGGTCCCTCCAGGAACGGGCTCTGCAAAAGGGTTGCTGGTGGACAAGATAAGGGTCAGAGACGGAAGTACAGCACGAGCTGGACATGCCATGGTATAAAAACAGGACAAAGAAATAATACATATTTGAGAAATAGGAAAAATAATAGGCAGCAAAAAGAAAAAAGAAAACGAAAAAGACAAAGAAAAACAAAATAAAATTGGAGACACTAAAGGAGGGATTGCTCAAGCTTCGCCTTGTCCGAAACAGGCGACATCCCTGTCGCCAAGGATCACCGTAAGGCTTCATACTGTTCACTACTCCCACGATAAATATTCTGCAGCACCTTGTAGCAAGAACGAACTCGATTGAGATAGCAATGGCCACAAAAGATCGCGTGCCATCGGGGGCCAAGTCCTCAGCGACATATACAATAGTTACCAGAGCGGCAGGTCGGACAAGTAAAAGTTCACACCAAATGAGTGAAGATGCAAGGCTATGGAGTGGGCAAAGAGAAGAGGCTGAACTTACAATGATTCATTTGTCAGATTCTCAGGTATCTGCGTTTGTCGGTTTTGGTCTTCTGAGTTGATAGGCGTCTGATTGCCTCCAGGATTTTCCCGAATTGAGCAAGCACTCTAGTAACTCGAGTATCGAAGCACTATGCTTTGAAAGACGTGGATCAGCGTCTGATCAGGCGAAACAAAAATAGGCAGCCTGGCAAAGTGTTCTCCTGTTATCAACTTGCGGGTATTGCAGCTAGGGAGATCTTTTCCGAAATACCTGTCGAGCGGAAGGGCCTCGAATTGGCAACAAGGCTTCCGGTATTATCAGCGAGGAAGCAAGCCAATCAAAGAGTGTTGGTTTATTCCCAGCGGGATTATGGATTATCAGATCGTCTGCGGCTTTCCTGTTAATCGGAGGCTTTCCCTGGAACATGTAAGCTTGGCCTTGAACTGACTGCTATGGATGTCAAGGTTGCGAATTGATAGAAAGGTGAGATGGGTATTAGAGAGTGTTTCGGGGAATCCAATGCGAACAGAAATCCAGAGAAAGACGATAATAGACCATCATAGGAACAGAGGTCGAATACGACGGTAGCCAACCAGAAACTCGCTTCTCGAACGAAGTGCATGCGTACTCGTTCGAGATTGATATAATCTTTCGGCTGCTTGGACTGTCTTCTGGGACTGCATCGTAATAGGAAGACATTGCTTCTTCCCTGGGCAGCCATACATGATAGGGAAAGATAATTTCTCCATCGTCCGCCGATATAATAGTAGAAAGGAGGCAAGGCGTCGAGTCGGCTGCATATTGGTGGAGATATCCACAAGTTGACAAGAGAAGGCAGATATTGGACAAGAATATTAAACCAAAGAGAGAAGGCGAAGAGTAAGATATGAAATATGGACTTACTCATCCAGTAGATGCTCGGCTGATGTATGAACAAAAATGCCGGTATGAGCAGAATGTAGCTCTTCTCCCTGCGAATGTTGAGTGCTTAAGCTGCACGCATACGTAGACCAGTTGTCGCACTGTTCGGTCTGTCCACGTCGACAAGGCGGTTGTCAGACTGGAACCACCCAGTTCTCAACCTCTCACACAGCAAGATGGAGTAGTCCAAGCGGATTTCACAACGAATAGATCGAAGAAGATTCAGGGTTGTTCTTCCAAGCTATCTTCCGAACCACTCAGTGGACGTTGAACGAAGACCGAGAATGGACGCCTATGGGCGCGGAGTTGAGGGACAAGCTCGATAGATATTCGATTCCGGATACTGGGTTAAAGATGCTTTGCGCATGTCATGTTGTTTTCCTAGGCCTAGATATCCACCCCAGTGCGCACGACGCCCGTTTCTCCGTTTCTTTCTAGCCTGGCCCCTCTGTGTCCAATAACAATCCTGGTAGACATGCGGCGGAGTCTCTGCAGAATCTTCGTTGCGTACAAGGCTAAATGACTTCAAGTAGCTGGATTAAGCTTGCGGCCGAGGAGTGTTCTCGCCACGAGATCGTGGTGAAATTGACAGTCATGCCAGGGTTAACAACGTTGGTTGTAACCGAACGAAGGAATCTACAGTGGCTGGTGGCAGTAGGGAGGGGTCCAACCGTACTCGCTTGAATCTTGAGATGCTCTCTTTTCTTTTTCTTTTCTTTTTGTCTTTTCTTTTTCTTTTTCTGCCTTTCTCCTGAAGCATTTGTTCTCTTTTCCCTTGTCTTTTTGCAAAGTTCTCCAACGAGTAATGTCACGTCATTTCCGTAGCCCTGTCCTTCTTGTTCTGTACGGGACGAAGCAGTAATTTCGATAATGAACATTGTTGCATTATCTCATAGTGTGCATGTAAAGTGGCCACTGTCAGTAGAACAGGTGCCATTGGCCAATCTGCACGTTACATCTCTCTGGTCCAAGCCACAGGCAGACTTCAAGCTGCACAAACAACTGAGTAGTTCCAAGTTAAGGGTACCCTAATGTTGTCACAATCTGACTGGACGCTTGGTTTGGTGGAATGATCTAAATAGAGTAATTGTAGTCAAGTCAGCTGTTCTTAGCGTCAATATCCGGCAAACGGCAGGGTGCATCAGAGCAGGGAAAAAAAAAAAAAAAAAAAAAAGAAAGAAAATAAGATGGAACTAGAGAAATTAGTAGCGTAGATCATCAGCCCGGATATCCCGTGCAGTTCCCAGTCGCATGATGGGGCCCTGGTGTCGAACTACTGGGCTTACTTAGTCTTAAGGGGCCAATAACTGCGGGAGTTGCAAAGAACGGTTCTTTGTGAAGCGCAGCAACGCTAGACGAGGGGACGATACGCTCATGACGAGTCAACAAGGTTCTAGTCTTCCCGCTGGAGACAATCTAAAATTTCTTAAAGCTGGAAAAGTTGTCCCCCAGTACACTAGAGCCTTGGACACTTTTCGAGGCACGAGTAGGTCTTGCATGAATGAGAGATCAGGCGATCGGCGGTCCGATCGAAAATCACTGTTGGCTGTTTGCTCACCGACACGACCGACAGCACCAAAATAGGTATGCAGCGTTAACCAAGCTGCCGTAGAGTAGAATCTGGAATGGTAAGAATGGGGTGCTAATCTCGAGCTGAAGTGGCATCCAATGACCGAAGGCCGGCTGCTTTTCCATCGGCGGCTCCCGGGGACAAGGTACTTTGGTTTTCGAAAGGGTATGGACAGTGGAGAGATCCATGACACGGAAAGAAATGACCCATAGAGACTGCATACATACAGAGAGCACAGCATTGTTTTCCAGAAATTCGAACATCTGGCCCACCGACAAGGGAACGAGACAGAAGACAGACACTCGGCGTATTGTGGAAGGGTATTACGGGTAATCACCCTGGATGCTGTGAAGTGACCACGCACACTTCTTTTTTAATGAGGGATCATCTGGTGGCTGAATGATCATCTAGGCATGCAGGAAGCTAGTTGGTTCGAATGCAATTCTCATCGTCCTGGAGCGGATGAACAAGGTCATTTCGTTGGTCGAGTGCCAGGATTTGAGATTACTTGGTTTGAGGACCAGGCTGCGATAATTATGGAGGGGTGGGAAGGATGTTGTGCAGGACGATTGTCCCTGGACGAATCCCATAGTAGCATTGTACCTAGTACAAGGGAGAGTGGAAGAGGAAGTGGGGAAGAGGTTGCATCCTCCAAGCAGGGGAAATAGTTTGGGGAATGTCATTGGGGGAGTTCCCAATAATATTAATAATTAGAGCTGACGACACATGGTTCGTGTGAATCACTCTCATTCTGATCTATTTCAAGCAAAGAAGATCTGAGTCTTGGTGGTGGTGATGACAGTTTAATCAGATGTTGATGACGATAGTGATGACGAGTATGATGGTGCTGCAGGTTGCTGAATGGAGGAAAACAAAAGAGCAAGTAATAACAAGTAATATTGACCTGCCCTGTGGTCTCCCACGAGATCTCAAGGCTGTTCTGACTTCGTCCAGCAGCTCAATGGAACGAGGGGCTGAATGTGTGCTCTGTAGTGTCCTTTTCCGTGACTGGGCTTCTAACTACTTCCAGTTAGTCAATAGCAGTTAGTTTTCCTTGCAATAATCAAGAAGTTATGGACCATGAACTAAGTTTGTACGTACTACTGAGAACTGACTAAGGTAACAGGCTACTGATCCCTGTAGACTAATCCTGATTAGGGTGCCATGGCACGTGCATTAGTAGAATGCAAACAGAAATTACCGTCCCTAAGTAGTAAATACTAGCTTGGACGGATGGCTACGAAGAAGGTACGGTTCTGGGCGCTACGGTGCTACCTTAGTATCTAAGGTAAGTACGGAGTACAGAGTACCTTATCTCTCCCGAACCCCCATGACATGATCAGCGTCTCTAAATTCCTCGGTGATTATGTCTTCATTGCGAGCAATCATCATGACCTCATCTAGTCCTTTTCAAAACCCTGCATTTCATCTATGCTAGTGGTAAGATTGTTCCGGACGTCTTCGTACGTTCTTTCTCTCCCCGGGTTGGCTCAGCATTTCCTTTTTGATGGATATCCTTTCTTCTCCAGTCGTCATAGGCGCCAAGAGTCGAGAACTCATTCTTGACTTTCAAAATTTCGGAGGCTTGATAGCTGACACATCCTGGTAGCCGCTCTATTGCTCTAGTGCCTACACTAGTTTTGGAGACGAGAGATTTTTAAGATTCCGTCTCCATGGGGTCCTCCACTAACCATACTTAATTTCCACTACGACTTAGAGTCCCCACTTCATTCTACTGAATCTAGAGGTCCGGATGGCCTAGAAGCCTACTTCCAGGAGGCTCGGAGACCATTTTTACGACCCTCGAAAAGCCCGATTCTCATTAAGGTTCGAGCAATGCCTCAATTGATTCTTCGTTCATATCTAGAACCATGGTCTTGTCCAATTGCCCTTGTCGGAATGTGTTCAAGATCTGGATCGTTTGGAAATGGCTAATTTTACCCACCAGGTACCTGGCAGGGTCGGAGTGCTCGGACCCTACCTGACTCAGAGCTCTACCGGCCTTTCAACGTTCCGTCGTCCTTCTTTTCCGACTCTACAGCTGCTCCGGTACTGGTGGCGAAGACTCCTTCTCCTGGTAATTTCCCCTGTGCAACAATAATGGACGACCGAAGTGGAGCTGCAACTGGCCGGTGATAACGGTTGACCTCTGAATGGCAACGACGGGTATAATGGGAAGGACAACGTGGAGCAAAGTCCAGAACAGCAGCGTATCCTCTCAGAAGTGGGGAGGGGTCATTGCTCTGTAACAATCACCACAACTGGAAATAATTCGGGGCATGTTTCTGAATTTTGAACATTGGACTCCCTTGCCATTGAGCGCAATTGCTCGCGGGATTACCAGCCTCGACGTCTGGAGAAGCATGGGCTATGACAAACCAGAGCAGCAGTCAACCCGTCTAAGCTAATCCATACCATGACGGTCTTTCAGAGCAATGCGTACAAGTTCACTAAACAGGACATTCCACTCAAACCCGGCAAATCTCGGATTCGAAGAGGATATAGATTCACAGGGCAGATGCCGGATGTGGCGTAGCCCTTTGCTTCTTAAACAAATCCATGCAAATTATGTCAGGCGTCTTCAGATATCTGCCGCTTTCCGTGCAGTTTGGCAACCTGAATGGCACTAACTGACGGTCTTACTTGCGGAAATCCACCACCTGAGGTATGGACTTTCTGCTTGCATCAGGTACTATCTAGTAGGATATCACTGACATAATCGGGGATTTGTCAGGCTTCTAGTCATTCACCATTTCCAGAGATTTTTCTCCTGTACCTTTCAATACCCTTCCCTCACTATATTTCTTCTTCGGGAGTGCTGCGTGGCGAACCAGGGATTCCTCGTGGCTGGACTATGCATTGCCTAAGCCCAATACGTCTCGTGCAACATGAAGTAGTCAGGTGCTACCAGAGTACGAAGCCCTCTGATGCAAGTAGATTTGACCGACAGACCCACCACTAAATCATTCGGTGCTTGGAGCTAAAGGACTCCAAACCGAGATGACGCACCCTTTCATAAGCTCCTCTCATGGCTGGGGCAATCGGCATAGTCAACGAGCCTACTGGATGATCTACGTATTCCCGGAGACCGGAAATCGAACAGCCGATGAGATTTAGGTTTGTAGACTGGTCCTTTCGAGTGCTCTCGCCAAGCAGATTCGAGACTTTCCTTGAAGCTAACTGTGTCAGTGTACGATACGGCGGTTTCGCTCGCGTATGGCTAGGACAAAGAGCAAGCCATGATACTTGAGTCGACATTCTTGACACCGATTGGATGGAGTGGACACTAAAGATCATTCTAGGGGCCGATATGCCGACTCCCGCGAGACTCCAGAACCTCCGCTCTTTGGAAGAAGGCCGCCTGTCCCAGAAGCGCTAATGTTGTGCGACACTCTGCTCGAAAACCTGCTCAGAATCGTGTCTCAGACCGTCATGGTTATGTCGATGGTACGAACGTTAGCATTGTCAACTACCTAGCAACCCTGATGACAAGCTTCGTCTGCAATGTAACAGGTGTGGAAGACCAAACTCATTGGATGATACTCCTGACCGTTAGTTCCAGAGAGACAGATGTTGATCTGAGCTATACATACTGCACTCCACAATGCATTGGTGTCACTCTCGGATGAAACTTCGATGCAACGCTGTTGACCCTTTCAGTCTCTGATGGGCGCAATCTATTCGCTTTCTGTTATCAAAGCTTCTGACAAGACTGCTTGCCCCTTCGGGTCATTGCTCATTGAGCGAGGTGTCGGCTTCACAAGATCCGCGCCAATCAAGTTATGCTCCCTATCTAGACCAATCTGTCCTTGTTCTTTACTGGACAAAGGAGAGTCCTTGAGCTCTTTCTTGCCAAGATTCAAACATACGCTGACTAGCTGCTGCAGCAGTCGTGGCGGCAGTACCTCGTTCGATGGAACACAACAACTGTCATTCTAGACGGGTGGAGCATAGTACCCAAGCTTGCTTAGCATTTGAGTTTACTCCAGTCTGCTTGCAATATCCTTCCCCATTCAATATTATAGTTCAACATACAGGAGTGGAGTTCACAATGGCCTTCACTTCCTTCCCAGGTACTTCCACCTACAGTGAAAGAAACACCCGCTCTGATGTTGCAGAAAGCTTGCAACATAATAGCCGCTGCCTCCTCCACAGTGCGAGTCCCCCTCGTCGTGAGCAAAGGACCAAAGGAGCAGGGCCGTCTACATTGCGTAGTACATCCTGGTCATGCTAAAAGATGATTTCTACTTCAGGATTAGAGACTATGACGTCTTTTTTCATTTTTGTACGCTTCCATTCAGATGAGAATGGTGATGAAAATATAAACCCTCTGAAACGATAGCTTTTCTTTGTATCCAATGACCACGCGCCTCGAGCAAGCAAACCACACGACGCATGTCTTTTTATAATCATCATTATCGACCGAGTCATACAGTACAAAGAAAAAGGAGGAAGATCTCTAGTCATGAAGCGAGCTCTGCCTGACGAAAACACGCAGGTGCCGTGAAACGAAATCAGGAAGCAAGCATCTAAGTCGTCCTCTTTGCGAACTCGACGCGGAGAATCAAATGACGGTAACCAACTGCAGAGGAGGAAAGATATTAGCGACTGTATTTCGCAAGATAAAACAAAAGACGAGGCGAGAGAGGACGAAAACGTACAGCCATCCATTTTTTCGCAAGCACGTGCAGCATCGGTCCGATCTGCAAAGCTGATGAAAGCGAAGCCCTTGGCTCTCTGGGTTTCTCTGTCTCTGGCAAGGAAGACTCTGGTGACGCGACCAAAACGCTCGAACAAATCCCGAAGCTCTGATTCCTCTGCCAACTCGCTCACCTATAGAACGTAAAATCAGCATTTATTCCAAAGATGATGCTGGGACGTAGAGCAGACGGGTGGAAGGCAAAACTCACGTTTGTAACTCTCAGAGTCGCCAGATCGTCCTTCTCGTACTTGCCAGCCATTCTCTCGCCACCAGCAGCAGCACCTTTCCGCAGGTGAGGAGGCACGTAGCTCGAGCTTCCAGCACCAAGGCCACCCGCAGCGGGGACATCCTCAGCGCCGGGCTCAGCACCAGCCGCAGCGGTCTCGTCGACAGGCGCCATGGTATCCTTGAACGGACAACGAGCAGTGAAATGCTCTCCGCTGCAAATACGACACTTGACCTTCTTGTCCTTGAGCTGGTCCTTGATGCTGCCCTTCTCGGGGCCGGCCTTCTCAGCCTCCGCAGCCTGAGCCCGCCAGTTCACACTGGGTCTGAAGATGATGTTCTCGCCGACGGAGGTGGTGTCGAACGAGGGCCGGCCGCGTGGCCCTTCTCGAGCCCGAACTTGGCCCACGACCGGCGCTCCGCGACCTGCGGGTTGACGTGCTCCCTCACCACGGTCGTCTTGATCCGGCGGGTGACCTTGACCTTCTTGCCCTCGTCGTTGAAGCGGTACGAAACAACGGTCTTTGTGCCATCTTTGTTCGTCGTGACTTGTTGCGCGGGGAGCGCGGAGGGGTCATCGAACTCCTCGTCGTCGGCCCAGTCGGCGGCGCGGCTGGAAAAAATGAAAATTTACAGTCAGAATCAAGGCCGGAGTCAAAAGCGTTTAGACAGGTATACTCACTTTCCTAGTCTGGACATTTTGTGTGATATGTGGTGACTTGATGTCTGTTTGCTGAATTTCTTTGATTTCCACGAAAGGCGAATCCGTTGTGGATTTGTTCGGGGTGGCGCAAAATCTGTGGCACGTCCGCTGTGGCTAGTGTCCAGGAACGAGAGTCACGTGGCTTATAGTTGACTCGTTCCACTACAACAACCAGGTATGTTTTCAACTTCAATGCGTCGTCAGTGCATCTTAACTTAGTTGGTTTCGAGGCAAGGTTGAAAGTACTTTAGTGAATTCTTTCAAGATACTGCCTCCTTGCCAATCCTTGTCTTTGATGACACAAATGTGGCTTGGTATTACTAGCTAACCATGCACCATGGCTGTTCGAAGACCATGGACAACTCTCTTCAAGTTGGTCAACGATTTTTCACTTCGATTGGGAAGCAAACACTATATACATGGTACCGGCAGACCACCAGCACTTGGTTGCTAGGAACGTCAAAAAGGCAACGAGCCTGAGAATATGCATGATGTGCCGGTGCCTCCGGCGTGACAATGCATGGATATCTACAACGAGGCAGACCAAGAACGAACTACATCCTCCTATGCAAGGACCTACTCTCGAAGCAACAACATTCTGTCGAGACATGCATTTCTCTGAGACGCTATAAACTATCAGCGTGAAAATTAGTTGCACCTATATACATGAAAACCAGTATCCTATGATTCACGGTCGCAAACAAGACCAAGTGATAAAACACGACAACCGTACTCTCTTATCAGTAAGTGCATCACTGGCATTACCGACCGAAAATCTTTATCTCGATAGGTCTCAGGACGGCATACATCACAGCCGAGAAAGCGAATCCCAGCTCAAAACCAACGTCGCCGCCGAATGGAGCCTTACCGGCATGTAGAGCAATGGGTCCGACCCACCATGATTGGCTCATACCAGTGATCATACCAGCCACGCCGAATCCAAAGGCAATGGAGGCAGCGATTCCAAGAGGAAGCTTGTCGCGCTTGTCGTAAAGCTCAGGCCGATATCCACCAAATCCACGCTTGAAGAGGAAATGGTCGGTAAGTGCAATGCCAGAGTAAATGGACAACCAGTACGCAATGAAGTTCATGAAATTCTCCAATACAGTCTCAAAGTGAGAGTATCCGGGAATGGCAATAGCCACAGAGGCACAGGAGCCAAGGAAAACCCAGACGAATCGGGGTACGCGCTGGGAGTAGCGGCTTAGAACCTGAAGAGTCAAGGCCACCGAATAGATGTTCGGGCAGTTGTTTGCAATGATGGAGAGTGCAAGGATCACCAGACAGAATTTACCGAATCCGCCAAGAGGCTCAAGCACAGCATTCAACAAGCCTCCGTTTCCGGAGGCGTTGTAGCCCATCTGATACTTGTTATTGCCATCGTCGATTCCTGTAGCGGTCATGACCGCGATTCCCAGCATCTGGCAGAACAGAAGCGGAATTATGAGGCCAATCCAGGCGGAGAGAAATATCTTGCGACGACTCCGATTAGCGGGCTGGTACACAGTATAATCGGCGGCGTAGCTGGTCCATCCAGTAGCGAAACCGTACACGGTTGAACCAAAGGACAAAACACCGCCCATTTCTGATGTTCCAACTTCCATCGGGAGGTTCCTGAAGTCTCCCGAGTGGGCGAAGGTACCGAGAACAATCATGAACACGATGAAGGTGGGAATCCAACTCCAGTATTCATAGGCATGCACAACCTTGTACCCAGCGAATGTGATGAGAAATGTGCAAAAAGCAATGATCAGAATGCCAGCGAATCCGGGGACGTCGCCGTTCACGGCATTGATGAGCTGAGCGCCGACGATGGCGTTGGCAGCGGACCAGCCCACACAAGCGAGCACATTCAAAATAGCAACTGAAGGAACGAGGATATTAGCATCCGTTAACTTTGAGATGGCAAGAAGTGAAAGTATGCCAAAATACATACTGAACTTGGTGGGCCACCAGCCGAACCAGAACCTCGAAAGCACCATCTGTCGTAACCCAAAGGCAGCACCGAAGCAGGAGAAGAAGCAAACGGTCAAGACACCCAATAGATTGAAGAAGAGGCAGGTGAGAATCGCATCAACGAAGCCGAGATAGAAGAGCGACTTTCCGAGGACGCCAATGGCGAAGGAACTGACCACCATGTTGGCCGCCAGCCACTATGTTGAGTCAGTTTAGGACATCGGCCCAGCGGTACCAGCCCGGAGCTGGCAAGCCATGAACAATTGCAATCAGGAACACACCATGCTGCCAATGTTGAGATATGACGTGTCCGTCCGTTCATCGGCCGGTACACGTTCTATACCTCGCTGCTCAATGTTGAGCTTTCCGGCCAGCCGTTGCAGCCTGGCGTACCACGAATTGCCATATACAAAGGTTTCCCCAGGCACAGCACCATCGCTGCTACTGTCGAAAGGCCTCTTCTCCACCTGGGGAGCTTTCTCAAGGTCGTGCTCAACACCACCGAACATTATGATGGAGTTGGTGCGACTGTACCGTGTCTCAACGGGGTTTAATCAACTGAGTCAATCCCCACCACTTAAGGAGGAGAAATGAAGTTAATGATAAGAGTAACGGGAAGAGCTCTACAAGCTCAACGACCAGGTAAGGTGAGAAAGAGAGAGGAGGGCGACCACATCTTTCTCTTTTTTCTTTTCCTCTTTTTTTTTCTCTGACAGAGGATGGGGCAAGAGCCGATTAATATAGGTACTGGTTTCGCGTGCTCAGATAAAAATCTTTCCCACACAGGGTTTGGCCTACGCAGCTCTCAATCCTCCCGGGGCCCACCGTGAGACAAGATCTTACCAAGAAGCACTCACGATAACGCTTCACTAGAGGTCCAATTTGGTAACGAGACCGAAGACCAGCCGTCACATCCGCTGGGCAGACTCCACAACCGCGTTCGACTGAGTGGCCGGAAATCCCAGTCGCGTGTCCTGCAGGAAATCGCTGGTTAAGCATTTTTTTCTTGTTTCGAAAACAGTTTCGGGTCCCCGCTTTCGTTCCAGAAACAAAGGGCGCAAGCCTTCATTTACACCAATCATACCTTGCAGTTTCTCGACACACCATCGCTAAGCAAAATTAGCGTCGCCTGGGCTTACGGTGGATCAAAATATATAGCAGTTTCATTGGATATTCCATTATCTAAACCCCACCTGGACCACGAGTGGTAAGAGAAATGCTGATAAGGTCTCCTTTGCTGATAGGTACCTCGACATTCCGGACGCTAGGGAAAGACATAGAGAGGTAGGTACCCCGTACTAACGATGATAACAAAGTCGCTAAATTGTACCTGATAATTATGATCATCTCTTGAACCCCTTATGAAAAGCACGTTATCTATCCCTGTTATCGAAGAGCATCTTACCTCGGAAGATTGACGTGCTTCCTTGTCGTTATCATCCAGAGCACGGCTGACGCCGACCGTTCGGACCTTCTCCTTGGCAATTCTCTGCGTTATCTAGACTATGCTGCTCCGCATATACGATCTGCAATAGACTTCGTAACTGATGAGGATGGTAGCATAGTTGGTAACCATTTTCATTAACATGTGCGTCATCACTCGCCGAGATTTGAAGCCTGTTACAGCGATAGGATCGTTTGTCAATACTATATGGTCTTGGCATATCACGGTTCCATCCATCTCGATCTGCCATCATTCGTTCCCCAGATTTCTACCCCAGCATTGAGGGGTTTGTGCAAGCTAAATGGTCTCGGAAACCTACGTCCTTTATTTCTGGGATCGCGGTGATCGCCGGCCTCCATTTATGCTTATTAGGATATCTCTGATCTATCATCTGACGCAGGCAAAGTCTAAGCGACATATGCTTTGCTTCAGAAACGTGCATTAGCGCAAACTGCGATTAATCTCTGAGATGGCATTCATTGGGTATTGATGAAAGGGCTGCCATCAATATCTCATCGAGCCTTGTGACTGTCTTGAGGTTGAAACAAGAACGCACTCATCATGTTAGTCAATGAGTGATATTATCGCTTGTTACAGATCACGGTAGTCATCTTGCGGTGAGCTCTTTGGCTCTCATTCATACCTATTAGCGAGTCGCCTCTCAACATTGATTGGTTTCTACAGGCTGAACCAGAAGGACCTCCGGTTTCACTCTTTTCAACAAATTTTGCACCTTCCAGCTCTCACACAGCATAGACTTATCCTCAAGATCCGATGAAGGTTCAGCGTGTCTGCCATATCGGCCTCGAGACTCAGCCTTAACGCTCACACGCTGCCCCGGCCTGTCCTTAGCCGCCGCAGTTCGATGGCGAACGTCATTATCCCCCATGGGCGACCATGTATATACAGTCTTAATGCTCCTTGGAGGAACCAGAGCGCCCATGTCATCTACAGGAGGTCAGGTACTCCCAACAGGTTTGGCTAGAGTCAGTAAGAAACGGGAGCTCTCCACCACTCTACGAATTGAGAGTCTGATATATGCACTGACTTCTAACGCAAAAAAAAACATTCGAAGTCTGCAGGGAAGTCTACATACATCATCCAGGATCAATGATCCATTAACTCAAGTTCAAGCAGAAGACAGTGCATCTGTCTAGTCACGATATGGTGACTTGACGATTCCACTGGTTATTCATAAATCAATACAGACGGCCCCCAGTCCCCACTCACGACCCATAATTCCGTACCTTAGGGCTCCTCAGCTTACCCATCGGCCGGCAAAAGCGAAAACCGCGCAAAGCCGAACCGAATGGAATGGATACCGAGTCGGAATTCGGGATGTAAACAATCAATGCACCTTACCAGTCGTTTCGTTATGCAGTTGTGCACTGTATCCTTATCTACCTTGCTTCGTTGGCATGCCTGGTTTCATTTACGGATGTTCTAAGCGAGTGATGGTATAGGTTAAACACATGCCTTGATCTTCTGCTGGATCTTAATTCAGTGATTGAGGTGTTGCTGTTGTCGGTGACTGATTCGTAATTCCAGTTTGAGCATTTGGAAGCTCTAGGCTTGAGACATGGGGTTCTAAATTAGGGAAGTGTACACCTTCGCCGAGTCGAGGATACCTTAGCCAATTGTGACGAGTGAGTATTAGTAATGAGTACAAATCACAGAGTACTCCAGAGTGGAATATTCGAGGGAAATTGCCCCATACCATCTGCCCGCTAGGCTAATGGTAGAATCTACCTTACGTCTTGCCTTCGAAAGTCGTCGCTACTTTTTTTCAAGAACCCCATACGCTTCAGGTAATAGGCTTGAGAATAATCGCTCCAATTTTGGGTAGTCAATGCAGAATCAATCATCCCGCCCACAATTCTATGAGCTGGACCTTATCCATACACGAAAAGGCATGAGGTATAGTGTGCTATGTACGAGAAAATAAAAGAAATCTACAGCTTGGCAAGCATCCTGTTACCCTGCTTCAAGAGAGCAGCAGCGTCCGAGACGATCTCGTCGACGATAGCCTTGGCGGGCTTCTTCTCCGAAACCACAGCGGAAACCTTACCCATCAGGAACGGGCGAGCGTTGTCCAGAGTCTCGTCATCAACATCGTCGCCGAGGTTCTCGAAATCGTGCTCGACAGGGATGACTCCCTTGGATGTGAGCTCCTTCATCTCCTCTCGGCGGTTCTCCTCCCAGTTCTGAATGTATGCGTTGTTACGGACACGCATGGGACGACCCTGGTACATGTTAGCTTGACCATACCCAGACCTGCATTCAAGGATCTGAACTTACAGTGAAGATGATGGTGCGAACGTTGTCCTCAAAACCGGCGGTGCGCACGGCCTCCTGGTGAGCAACAGGAGCGCCGGCCTCATCAGCGAGGATAAAGCGGGTACCAATCCAGACAGCGGAGGCACCCAGCATCAGAGCAGCAGCGAGAGAGTTGCCATTGAACAGACCACCAGCAGCAACAACCTGCACGGGCTGGCCAGTCATAGGGCTCTTCTTGCCCTGGCACAGCTTGGCAACAGTAGGGATGAGAATGGTGGTAGGCACATCACCTGTGTGACCACCACCCTCACCACCCTGAGCGCAGATGATGTCGGCACCGGCATCAAGGGCCTTCTGAACATGCTTGGGGTGACCAATCATGTTCATGTAAAGGATACCAGCGGCGTGAAGTCTTTCCACGACTTGCTTGGGAGGCACACCGACAGCGGATACGAAGAGCTTGGCGCCTTCCTGAATGATGATATCAACCAGCTCGTTAAGCTTGCCCTTGGTGTAGTCGTAGCTAGATAATGCTGTGTCAGCATCCTGGGTCCCAATATGAACTTTTTGTATGCAAAGGAAGGAGTTCTGACTTCGTCTTGCGAGCGCTTCCTCCAACCTGAGGAAGAAGAAGGTCAACACCGAAAGGTGCGTTCTTGTCGTGCAGGAAGCTCTTCAGCTCTGCGATCTGTTCACGGAGCATCTCAGGTGTGTAGCCGACGCCACCGATAACACCCAGGCCACCAGCATTGGTGACGGCGGCGGCCAACTTGGGACCAGCGGCCACATTCATACCTGCCAGCAGGACGGGGTGGTTGATCTTGAGCAGATCGGTGAGGGTAGTACGGATTTGCTCTATGGAAGAGACAATACGTTAGCACGAAATTCTTTCAAAGTCATAGCGAAGTAATTTTGTAATGTCCAACGGTTCAATCCTGACGTGGGCTGATCTGGGGACAGTGAAGCTTACGAGGAGAAGCCATGGTTGGAGATGGGGACAGGTGAACTCGGATGGTAGAGGAAACAACGGGAATACAAAGATAGAGATCAAGGATGATAGACAAGAGGAGATGATCTGGAGAAAGTGGAGGGTATCAACGGCGCAACTCTAATATTAAGAAGGAGAATCTGGAGAAGAGCAAGAATAAGCCGGGGAACCGAGGAGAGGAGAAGCGATAGCATGATCTGCTAGCACGAGCCTCGGCTGAACAGGGCGCGCCTGTCAACGTGTACCTCTCTCTCCGCTCTCTCCGCTCTATGGCCGAGCATATGCGCTTTAATGCCGAAAGCCAAGCCTGCCGCTGACTAAATGGGTGGGGTTTAGTTACGAGAACTTCATGCCATATATCTCAGGCATCACACTTTATTTATTCATGCCTGAGGCATGAAAGATGACAGCTTCCACGTGACTTCCTGAAGCTGAGCAGCTGCGACTTCACCGTCGTGACGTATGATTCTTCAGGTACTCGAGCATCGTAACGCAGCGGCATCTTGTGGTGTTTTGGCCAGGCAGCATGAGACATTGCTCGGCTGTTAGCTGGCATTCTAGTGCTGTATCACTAAGGTCCGCTGCTTGTAGCTCTCCTCTGCGGCAGTCTTCCGGTGTGCGCCTGTTGCTGTCCAGTCTACCACAAACATCGAACGAATCGTCGGGGACAGTTTGTATGCCAGACTGTATAAGATCTCATCATAGTCAAACGAAGAGGCAGGTTTTTTGTTTCCTCCGAGTATTATGTTTATTATGCTGTGCCAATATAGTCTAACCTTAGACCATAGATTTCTATCTTCTTCCAATTCAAGTATGTATCTGAGATATAAGTCCATGAACCGTCCGCGCTCACTCGGTATTGTGACTGAGAGTCCTTTGTGGCCTCTGATCCGTCCGGTGTAGCTTTCGAGGCTAATAACCGTTTTCCAGGGTTGCCGACACCTAGCTATCTTCATAAGCGAAACTTGCCTAACTTGAACACCGAGAACATCAAGAATGTGTCTTTAAAGCACGTGTATCAACACCAATGTTTCTCTACCGCTCATAGGAATGCATTTAATGCCGGGATGAACCAAGATAGTCCTCCTATGCACCGGGCCTACATTGCTCTTGGGAGCAATGTGGGGGAGCGGGTTGAAATGATTGAAAAAGCTTGCAAGGAGATGGAGAGGGCTCATATCAGGGTCAAGAGAACGAGCTCTCTTTTTGAGACTGCGCCAATGTATGTTCTTGATCAAGACCCTTTCATGAATGGTGTTTGTGAGGTCAGTTAATCCAAACATGCTTCGGGGCCATCTATTGACTGTCTTTGACAGGTGGAAACCAGCTTGGGACCCCTCGAATTGTTGGACACACTACAATCAATCGAGCTGGCTCTCGGGCGGAAGAAGCTTATTGATAAAGGCCCACGGTCCATTGATCTGGATATTCTCCTCTATGACCAAGAAGTGTTTTCCCACGAGCGACTCAACATCCCACACAAGTTGATGCTGGAACGGGATTTTGTCCTCCGCCCCCTTTGCCAGTGAGTATTGCGACGAACGAACGTAGCTTGCCCCTGCATCAGAGACTCATGGATAATGAATAGGCTTATTCCTCATGAGTTACCACCTATTCCCGGAAAGAATAGGAGCTATCTATCCTACTTGAAGTCACTTCCGCCTCCAGAGCCAGTGCCAGTGGCCACCACTCACATATCCCCGCATTTCCCACCACTGCGCTCAACAGATCCCAAACGTGGAACTCACATCATGGCCATCCTCAACGTGACCCCTGATTCTTTCTCCGACGGCGGCAAGCATTTCTCGCAGGATCTCTCCGCCCTCACCGAGACCGTCCGCTTCCTCATCAAAGCCGGCGCAACCATCATCGACATCGGCGGCGAAAGCACCCGGCCAGGTTCAGCCCCAGTCGGCGAGGCCGAAGAGCTAGCCCGAGTCATCCCAGTAATACGACACATCCGCACCTCCATCCCCGAAGCCAACAACATCGCCATCAGCATCGACACCTACCGCGCCAAAGTAGCCGAGGAGGCCTGCGCCGCCGGCGCAGACATCATCAACGACGTCTCCGCCGGCACCCTCGACCCGGAAATGCTCCCCACCATGGCCCGCACCGGCAAAGCCGTCATCCTCATGCACATGCGCGGCACCCCGTCCACAATGACCAAGCTAACAGACTACCCGAACGGCATCGTCCACGACGTCGGCGCCGAGCTCCGCGCGCGCGTCGCCGCCGCCGAAGCAGCCGGTATCCGCCGCTGGCGCATCATCCTCGACCCGGGCCTCGGATTCGCCAAGAATATGCCGCATGATCTGGCCATCCTGCGCGATCTGCGGCAGTTCCGCACCGGTATCGAAGGACTAGAGTACTTCCCCTGGTTGATGGGGCCGAGTCGGAAGAGATTCATTGGCCGGCTTACGGGCGTGGAGAAGGCGAGCGAGCGCACTTGGGGCACCGCGGCGACTGTCACGGCCAGTATTGCTGGTGGAGCGGATATCGTGCGCGTGCACGATGTCAAGGAGATGTGGCAGGTTGCCAAGGTGGCGGATGCTATATACCGTGTATAATACTAGCAGTTTAAAACTTACACCGTTGTGTTTAACTGCGTTGTGAAAAATCTAATAGACCGCTATTTCAGAATAGTACACTTTGGACATGCTACTGGAGCGGGAAGAAGTGTCAGAAGGCCTAATTGGATGATGTTTGCTGTAATGCTGCCAGCCTTATCAGGTGTAAGTCTCTATCAGGCTTGATCATATCCGAATTCTATTTTACAAGGCGCCGCACTCAAGACATAGACAGATCTGAACCTCACCAAGATTATCTAAATTCGATGAAGAGGCTGTTAAACCGAGTAGAGGAACCATCACCATCATTAGGGTTATGATCTGGAGACAAGTCTGAGAGCAGATGTAGCCTCTCAGAACCCAGATACCGGGACAATGGATGATTTTTCAGTCTAAGGAAGGATATATTGATGAGTGAGTAGATACTATGGGGAAGAACACTATTTGAATGAACAAAAGGCTTGCTGGGAATGAAGTAGAAACAAGCATGGTGCGCAGCTTGCTTGTACTGACAAGAAGAAAAACATCGACAAATCAATTTGCAGCATCTAGCTGTTGAGATAGCTGCGGATAGCTCCTGTTTGAACCGTTAGTCAAAGGACAAGATCCTAAAGCCGAGAGCAAAACAGCGGTATTTACCCTGCAATTTGACAGCACCTTCACCTACAAGCTGTGTCAAGTTTTCGAGATCATCACCAGCCGTGATACCGAAGCGGCGAACGAAATCCTTGGCTGCACTCTCAAGATCGCCGTAAGTGTCATCACCAGTCGCGAAATCATCTTCCGGACGACCAAAGTAAGCGTTGCTGGAGATGGCGGTTGCCCCGTCAAACTGGCGGAGTCGCTCTTTAGCTTCGGCCTGCGCATTAGGGTCGAAGCGATCCCGTCCGAAGAACTCGTCCGACGAGATACCCTTCTGGCTACCGAATCGGGATCTAGTGCGCTCAAGTTCCTCCTCTGATACTTGGTTAGAACACAATAAAACTGGTCCAGAGATCACAGAAATCAAACAAACCATCTTCAGCGCTTCTGACAGGAGCAACAGAACCGAATCCCAGCTTCTTGGGAGCAGCAGGCTTTGCGCCGCCAACAGTCTGGCCGAATCCCAGTCTTCCGATACCCATTCCGAGGCGCTCCACTTCGCTGCCGCTTCGTTCATGAGATTTGCTGGTAGACCCGAAGCCACCTGCTCTTGGGCTGATCGGAGTAGGAGAAGCGATAGCGGTGGCAGCAGTGGAAGTCTTGGCTTTGGCATCGGCCTCGGCTTGTTCTGCTTCGGGGTCGTATCCAAGTTTCTCAATGCGCTCTGCCTCCTCCTTGGCCTTTCGTTCCGCCTCCTCGAAATCGATGGCTTCCGCTCCACCAATCTTCTTAGCACCCAGCTTAGGCGCTTTCTTGGCGCCTAGAACGCTGCCCTTCTTCGCGGTAGTTGTAGACGAAGCCTTTCGGACAGAAGCGCTTGCTCGGATAGCGGTCGGAGCAGGCGAAGTAGCCTCCTTGTCCGAGGCTGAAAGAGGCGATTTCGAGCGAGCACCATTGCCATTGGCACCGGCGTTCAGGAAGGGCGATGCAGTCCGGCTCACCACTGGGGGGTACCTGTGCGCGAAGGTGGGTTGCTGGGTCGCTTGATAGAAGGCTTATCCCATGAAGAAAAGAAATCGTCGTCCGCGTCACCCGCAGGGGTACTCGATCCGTCCGAAGCAGTGGCAGCGGGAACGTCTGTGATCACAACCTCATCGGGGTATCTGAATAAGACCAAATCAGCTTTTTGTGTCCGATAGAGTCGGGAAATCACTGAAGGACGAACTGTTGAGCATCCTGCGCAGCCCGTCTTTTCAACTCCTCCTTGTACTTGACAGCAGCGTTGCAGGTGTATTTGACCTTGACGTCCTTGCTAGCTAAAGCCGCGGATCCTCCATGCGATTGGAAATACTTGGTGGCTGATTCATTTCCGCCAACCTTCATTATCCGAAGCTGTTCCCATTGCCATTCTGTATACAACTAGTCAGTCCTCAAGACAAGTGAGAGGCCGTGGCAGCAGGGGCTGCATACGGTCGAGGTTCGTGGAGCGAACAAAGGAGATATGGACACCAAGATTGCGGTGATGGGCTGAGCAGTCAAGACACAAGTAGATACCGAAAGGCACTGACGACCATGTCGGGTTCTTGGAGCCGCAGTCGAAGCATATCTATTGAGTGAAACGCAGATTAGCACGGCAATAGGCGAGTTAAGGAGGGGCAATGCGCACCTTGTTTGCGGGCTTCAACTTGAGCTTCTCAAAAATCTTCTGAGACTGCGCTTTTGTAGCACTCATTGTGACTGCAGTCTGAAATCGAAATGTAGGAATGAAGCCGAGAGGAAACGTGCCTCGAGCGAGCTGCACGGAAAGATCCAGGTGTCTGAAGGAGAGGGAGAGATCCAAAATGCGGCGAACGTGGTCGGAGCGTCTCCTTTGACGATTTGCACAACAACCCAGTAATTTTCGGCTCCTCGGACGCGTTGCCACTTTGGGTGACGATGATGAGTTCCGCGAGAGCTGCAACAAACAATAAAGTTTACACAAAATTGGACACAATAGACCTAGGGAATGGATTGCGCAAGGTCATATGGTCTGCCAAGTACTTATTAATTTCGTCGAAGATGGACTCCAGACGCAAAGCACAAGGTCATGTAAACAATTCAGGCAATCCGGGTTGTATTGCAATTACATCGCAAAACAGTCCCTGAAAGTTTCGAACCGCTGTTGGAACAAGACTTCCCACGTGACCCACTGCATCCAGGGCCCGTCCCCACATGGCCGAGTTTCGATTATCGCGTGCAATACTTTGATAGATTTGACGGTTTCGAGCAGATGAATTTAATACAATTTCGGACTTGACGTTGAACCTGGGAGCGTGTATTCTGATGAATAGTAATAGTCAATCGCTCCCCGATACACAGTCATGATGAGCCCTCATCTCCTCCCACGTACTTCGATTCCGAAGGCCTCGGCCGCCCTACTCTTGCGCCCAGCGTTTCCCCGCATGACGACTCTGACACGGTTCTACGCAACACATAGTGATCTCGGGGGAGGTTCTGGTCCCAAGGCGACCCCGAAACGGAGAAACGTCACAGTGCTATCCGATGATGGGCGGTATGAGTGGGGAGAATTGAGCGGGAGGGAAAAGGTTGCGCGGGCGACGCAGCAGTCGGTCAATTTTCTTGTCATAATAGCCGGCGCAGTTTTGACGGTGAGATGTTCTTCGGCCTTGGAGTCTCGCTCCTGGAGAGACTTCGGTAGTGGACAATCGGTCTGACACCAGTTAGGGCGGAGTTTTCTACCTGCTGTATACAGAGGTCTTGTCGCCCAACAGCAGGACATGGCAGTTCGAGAAGGCTGTCCAACGTATCAAGGACGATCCGCGGTGCACGGATCTACTAGGCGATCGAAGAGAGATTAAGGCGTATGGAGAGAGCACCGGGAGCCGATGGGAGCGGAATAGACCTATTGCGTAAGAACCGTCGCTGTTGTACTGTTTTCTCCCGGAAACTGATGAAGGGTTCAGGACTTCAACTTTCAAGGATCGGCAGGGTCGTGAGCACATGAAGATGCATTTTCACGTACTTGTCGCTCACCTTCGATACTCTGGACAAATGCTGACCCTTTATAGGTTGAAGGACCTCTCAATTCCGGAATCGTGATTGTGCATATGATGAAGCCCTTGGACAAGGATGAATGGGAGTATCTGCTTCTTGCATTGGACGTCAAAGGTGGGTTGTCCCGTCGCCATCTCAAGTCCTCCGTCGTACTGACCTTTTCAAGGACATTCTCGTGTCATCCTAGAGCAAGCCCAAGAAAAGCCCGGCGTTGCCAAGGCGCTGAAGATCTTTGGCATTCAATGGCGATAGTTGCTCATGGAATTTGCGACTATGCAACGTAACCTTCCGGTCAGTATACGTCTGATCGGCCAACGAATGCCCCGGTGGCTCCATTACGGGTGCACATGGGAGCCTAGACCGCTGGAGCCGTCATGAATGGACGTTACTAGCTATCTGCTAGGCTCATAAGGTCTGTTCCTCTCGAATCGGCCAGGTTTCTCTTAGACCAAAGTCGGTTTGAGACACGACCGGTGCTCAAACTGAGTACCAGCGTAAAGACCAAACATTTGGTTAATGTATAAAACTTGTACTATAGATATTTGGCACACAGGAAGGGCGGTCTGGTTGTCTCTTGCCCTCTGGCTTTGGTGATGAGACCGAAGCACTCATTTGCGAGTTTACATATGCAAAACATCGGAATTTTGAAGAGTGCATCATAGCATATCATACTTACACTCGAATAACAACACATTATCTCTCATAACACATAATCTATAACATTTTCCTTTTTCAACAGCCTATATCCGAGGACCTTCCAAGATAGTCTTGGCAGCCTCTGTCCGCCACCAACTCTTGCCCTCCTCGCCGGGGAAAGCAAACGCATCCATGCTCTCGGGCTTCATCTCCACACTATATCCAGGCTCCATGGGAGTGACATAGTATCCATCCTTGACGCTGGAAGGGTGCACGAAGTGCTCGTGCAAGTGGTCCACATACTCCAGCACGCTCTTCTTGCCGCTGACGACGACATAGTCGATGGTGCTCAGGTGCTGGGTGTACTCGGGCAGGCCGACACCACCGGAATGGGGGACGATGGGGACGCCAAACTTGCGGGCCAACAGCAGAATGGCCAGGACCTCGTTGACACCGCCGACACGGCAGGCGTCGGCCTGGAGGACGGTCAGCGCTCCCGCCTGCAGGAGCTGCTTGAAGACGACGCGGTTCTGGCACATCTCGCCGGTGGCAACGCCGATGGTGCCGTGCGGAGTGTTCTCGAGGGCCTTCTTGATGGCGGCGTGGCCGAGGATGTCATCGGGGGAGGTGGGCTCTTCGATGAACCAGGGCTTGAACTCGGCAAGTTGGTGCATCCATTCGATGGCTTCGGGGACGGACCACACCTGAAGACGGAAAAAGCGTTAGTTCAGTGGCTTAAATCGGAAAGGGAGCGGGATCGTACCTGGTTGGCGTCGACCATCAGGATGTTACCCCGGTCGTAACCGATAGCCTCACGAGCGATGGCCAATCTGCGACGGTCTTCCTCCACGTTGGCGCCGACCTTGAGCTTGAAGTGCTTGTAGCCCTGGGCGACACTCTCCTTCAGCAACGCGCGCAGCTTATCCTCGGTGTAACCGAGCCACCCGGCACTGGTGGTGTAGGCCGGCACGGCCCGGCTCTGCTCAGCCTCCTTGATACGCTCCTGCTTGGTGGGCTCGACCTCCTTGAGAAGAGCAATGGCCTCCTCGGGGGTGATGGCATCTGTGATGTAGCGGAAGTCAATGCAGCGGACAAACTCCTCTGGAGTCATGTCCGCAACAATTCGCCAGACGGGCTTGTTGAGGGTCTTGGCCCACAGATCCCAGAGAGCGTTGACCACGGCTCCCAGGGCAAGGTGGATGACACCCTTCTCGGGTCCGATCCAGCGCAGTTGGCTGTCGGATACCAGGTAGCGCCATGTCTTACCCCAGTCGGCGGTCAGCTCGTCCAGGTCCTTCCCGACTACCAGGGGAGCGAGAAGGCCGATGGCGGCGCAGACGATCTCGTTTCCACGGCCAATGGTGAAGGTCTGTGGGGGTCCCAATTAGTTTCTTTCTTTTGCTCGTAGTTTGTTGGACACAAAAGGCTTGATGCGTACCATGCCATGACCAGCATATGACGAGTCGGTGTTGATGATACAGTACGCAGCCGAGTAATCACCCGCAGCGTTCATGGCATCGGAGCCAGTCTTGTCGAGGGAGGTCTAATTCACTCTTTCTTAGCCAATTGACCTGGTGTTTGTCCATCTGGGGCGGCGCAACTTACAGGGAACCTCACATCCCGGGTGCTGAAACCAGTGATCTTAACCATGACGTCTGCTCAACACTCGCGAGGGAAAATAGTCTAGACAAACATCAACGTCAGTTCAGATCAACCAGCGGACTTCACTATCATTGCTCATATGGCAATTGAGCAAACGACAGCGCAAAAAAACTGACCTCTGAAATGCGGGGGAATAACAATGTAGTCAATTCGATGCACCAAAGTCACTCGGTATACACTCAAGGGACCAAAGCAAATCTCAATCCCAGCTGAGAGAAAGAGCAAAGACAAGAGAAAAGGTTCTTAACTACCCCTCCAAGACATGGGGGGCAGACACGCCAGATATACGGCTCCTCGGCGCCCTCTCCCCTCAGGCTAAATCAAGCAATCCAGAACTGCGCTGCGGAACAATTACAACAATTACAGTGGCTGCTGCGCCTGGATTGCTCCGCGGGTTGCGTGGGACTGCAGTGCCATTGGCGGAGGAATTGTCCTAAGCTTTGGTCAGTGTTTCTCCGCCAATGATATAATTGCCCATGACCATCGGGCCGCCTCCGCGTATTTTATTTTCTATGCCCGTATGAGACGATGAAACGGTTCCTGAATACTCCATACTTACAGTAAGGTAGTATCTATCTACAAGGTCTACTAAAGGTGGTCACGAGCCCATTGGCAATTGCTGCGTTCCACTTTGGATCATCTAGAGGGCTACATTTGGTATCAGTCAGATGAAGGATGAGTAAGAGAAATGCGATTGGAGTAACTTTTCCAATGCGACGTTGGAGCACTGGGGTGCTACATATTTGAAAGCATACATATACCTCAAACACAGGCTCGAGTTGAGTGGGTTTCGAATATACAGATGAGGGATGGGCAGTAAGGGGATAGAAGAACTATTCAGAGGACTGTGCCCCATATCGAGGCGGATATCAAATTAGACGCACCCTATCAGCCCAATACTGCTAGCCTATCGAATCTCCAGCCTATCAATACAGACCGATCATGCTGAAAGACCTCTCTTTTCGCTTTCCGAGAAGAAAATAATCATCCGCCACAACTTGCGGACCAGTACTTCTGCCTCTTCGTCAAGTGCCTATAGACAATTGGGTCAGCTTTGAAATCATAAATCGACTTGGAATCTCACCTCCTCCAGCTGTTCCACAAGCTCCTGAGGATGTCCGTGTTTCCGGACATGCTCTTCCACCACGTCCACCAACATCTGCTCCTGCACTCCGAGGTACTCCACGATCTTCTTCTCGACAAAAGGCTTGAGCTGTTCTCGGACCACAGACTCATCCACAAACTCCCACTTGACATCCCACTTCCACAGTCCTTCCTTGTCGGTGGGGATTTCTGCCGCCAGCTGTCGAGCGGCTTGCGCCCGCTCCTCGTCGGAGAGACCGGCCGCTTCGGCAGCACTGTCGAACTTGATGGGAATGAGGGGTCGTCTGGCGGTCGCCTGGGGCTCTTCTTCGTCCTCCAGCAGTCCTTCCACTTCGGCCACAGTCCGGCGGGTGGTGGCGGCTTGAGCCTTCTGGGCTGCAGCGCCAAGAGAAAGCTTGAAGCGCTGCGGCTCCCTGGGCGCCTGGGTACGTGCCTCCAGCTCCTCAGCTTGGCGCGCGAGGAAGTCGTCCGCCATGCCACGTGCCTGCTCGCGTTGCTGCGCAGACCGAGCGCGCTCTCGTTCTTCGGCCGCACGGTCAGCCTCGTCGTTAGTGATCTCACGAGCACGGAAGGCAGCACGGCTCCGAAGCCATGCGCCCCGATCGGCATAATAGTCCTCCACCTTGCGACTGGCCTCGATGTCGTCGTTCCATTCCCGATACCGCCGATCAGCCTCATCGCGAATTTCTTGCGCCTTGGCCTCCTCCTCCTTATCCCGCTTCTTCTCACGCTCCAGAGCTGCAGTCCTGCTCCGCTCGCGATTGAGCCATCGCCGTTCCTGGTCAAGGAACTGCTTCTCCATTTCAGCCTCTCTCTTTTCTTGACGTCGGCGTTCTAGCTCCTCGTCACTTGCATCAGTATCCTCATCATCTCTATCGGTGTAGACCACAGTCGCGCCGTTGATTGCGCCACCGTTGACAAACGACACTCCTTTCTGGTAATCCTTGGGGATCTGTACGCCGAATCCCTTAGGCCCCGAAGGTGCGTTTGGCATGCCACGGTCTCGTGGACCAAGCGGCACACCATTGGCCCCGGCAGCCGGTCCACTAGGAGCGCTAGGTGGGGGTGAAGCCAGACGATTAAGGCGCGAGCCTGCATTCCGTGCTCGCTCCATGGATTCAATTTCCTCCTCTCGCTTCAAACGTTCAATATCCCTGCGGTTGCTGCGCTCTCGGAAAGCTGCAATCTCCTTGGCAACAGTCTCCCTCATTTCAGGAGGAATGTCGGACAGCTCGTCTTCAATAGTGATTGGAATGGTGACAACTTCAGCTGAGGTGCCATCGGCGCCTTCAGAATCCTTCATTGCGGTGTCTCCTTCACGATCGATGGCGGAGGAGTCTTCCTTCCGGGTGGGCGAGGTTGGATGGAAAAGCTCGGAGAGAACATTGGCGAGCTTGCTACGCGCAGCATCGAGCCGCGCCTGACGCTCCGCCGGGTCTTGTTCGCCTCTGGAGTTTTCGTACTGCTCCAAATAGCTCAGGGAACTATCGTCAACGACCACCTAATCGAAACATGGTTAGATCTGTAAAATGAACCGGTATGACGGTATACGAACCAGTAGTGTGCTCTTTTCCACCTCCTCCTCCTTCTTGTCGCCCTCCTCGGATGGCGTTTGTCTCTTGACCGGCACTTCCACGTCCTTTAGTATTTCTACAGCAGTACCGAGACTTTCAGGGTCCTCGTACTCTGCGAAGCCAAACTTGCATGGCTTATCATTGGCATCCGTAGCGCGGATCCACCGCCTGAGGTTCCCAGCGGACCGCAAAATCTTCTCGATGCCCTCGTCGCCGCCAGCGCCCTCGGTGATACCCCCAACAAAGATAGTCCTTACGATCTCTTCCCTTGTCGGAGGCTGCAGCTGCATCATCGCATCTCGTACATTCTGGCGCTGAGACTCAAGATTCGTCGAACCCAAACCCGCACGCCTTCCCGGAGCCTCGCGTTCCTTGCTCATGTCCGGAGTAGCTGATTTCGAAGGGCCGGACGTCCCAAGTCGGATCACAGGTGCAGAGAAGTTGATGTTGGGCATATTGGGGGGGGTTGAAAGTTAGGAGGGAATCCCGCAGGTCGACCGGGCTGCGGTATATTTGCCTGCTGCATCCCCGGGGGAGGAGCAGTCCCGGCGCTGCCATTCCAGGAGGAGCTAAGATGTATCAGTACATTGAAGAGATGGAAAGACACGCGATGAAAGAACAGTGTATACTCACCCATGCCAGGGGGAGCTCCATAGGCTCCATAGTCAGGAGGCCTGCCATACAGACCTGGAGCTGTAAAATTGGGTTAGCGCCTTGCACATCAAGGGATCAAAGACTTCGGAATTGCGCGTAGTGGGCATACCTTGGTAAGGATTGTACATCACGGCTGGATTCGCCGCTCCGATAGCGACGGACAGGGAAGCTGTGGAAAATATCAAATACCGGCAGAACTAGCTATGCTTTTTGATGAGGAATAAAAACCCTTGATTAAATAGAAAGTAAGAAAGGAATAACCACCTGCAGCAGATGATAGCTGAGAATGCAGGTCTGAGGAGTAGATCAAGCGCTGCGATCACTGTCGGAGTCTGGCCTTGGAGAAACTTGTGATAAAGTCGGTCATGAAGGCGGTATGGTCCGTGCATTTCCTTTTTGGGCATTGGCCTGCCTTGTGCAGACCATCTAGTGACTACTCCATACAACTGCACTCTAACAGTCCTGCAGAAGCCTTTGTTGAATTATTCTATATCTTAATATTCACCCTCACGCTCTTGAACACATGTACTATACCTTGTGAATTGACATACTCTGATCACCCCTCTGAGACGGTTCCATACGCTTCTTATGAATAAGTATATATCCCGTTGCATATGGCCTATTATGGCCAGAAAACAACTTAGGATACTGATTCATACAAGAGGTTGCAGGAATGCTAAGACATCAACAGAAGAAGCTGTCAACCAGATTCTATGACTGTAGCCAACCAGGAGCTTCCTAGGATCTATGTATGAACTGCGAGCTCTGGCTTAATAAGAAGCAGGAGCGCAACTGTGCAGATAGACTGGAGACTAGAGGATCAGTAACTCTGTCAAGCAAAGGCTAGAATGTGCAATTGAATAAGCAACGATACGGGAGCAGAGTGAAATGCTGTTATGCGCATGATCACCGTTATAAACTATTCCCACTAGACTTCTACCATACTCCGTTACCTTTTAGCCGACCTTCTAGAACGGACCCCGCAGGATTCATTGGGATGCTAGTATGGAGTTTATGGACAAGGTAGACTCTATGGCAGGACTTTGAGGATCATCCTCAATAGGCTCACCGGCATACAGTACAGCAACTGGAACACGGGTGCTCTTTGGCATTAAGGTATTGAGAAATGGCCTTCGGATCGTTCAGGGAAGTTGATGCCGGAGTACAGTCGTCCATCAATAACACATTCTCCGAGGAGCACCAGAATCTTCAAGTCAGCTGGATAGACCTTATCAACGTCTTCCATTTGCATTACTGCTCACTGAGTATTCTTATTATTATCGTCTTCTCCAAGTCTAGAACGCAGTAGATTACTAAGAAGACCAGGCAAATGTAGACAAGGTTACTGCGGAATTGTAATTCCACCTTGGGGGTGCTCAGATGAGCAATGGATATTCGACAACATTCAACCCTCATGAATAATGATTTGGTAAATGTAAAGGAGTATGATAGACTTTATTACTCAGAGATAAATAATCATCTTGCAAAATATTATCCATCCTTCACTCACTCCTGGTCAGGAGTAAGGTAATATTCGGATAAATTCAGCGCTGGTTCCTCTGCCCCACGTCAGCCCTCCAAGCGGACCCCAACAGGCCGATTGACGACATAAGGCACTCCCTTACTAGCACTTAGGTAGTACCAGCATAGCCATAGCTATCTTAACAGGGTTCCGAGCAGGCTAGCTGTTTTTCCCGGCCTTCATCATCGCCCTCCTGTGCTTCCCGCTTCTAGAATTTCTTCAACTTGTTTCCTCTCCTCCATCTATCTATACCTCAGACTGAATCTGAACTCCTCACATACTTCTCTCCTCTTTTAGGTACGAAATTTGTTTATTTGCGCGATACTCCTCAATCTGCTGCATTCCCTTCTTAATAACCCTCCATCTCCTGCCCCGCACTGACGCAAGAGCTTCCCTACCACAGATCAACTCAACCTACACAGCAGTCACAATGCCTGGTTTTTCGCAGGCTACAGAACTCGGTGCCTGGAAAGAGCTCCAGGAGCACCACAACTCCCTCGGACGCAACATTGTCCTCAAGGAATACTTTGAGAAGGACCCTCAGCGCTTCGAGAAATTCAGCCGTACCTTCGCCAACCCGGTTGACAACACCGAGATCCTCTTCGATTTCTCCAAGAACTTCCTCACTGAGGAGACCCTTGCCCTCCTGGTGAAGCTCGCCAGAGAAGCCGGCGTGGAGGAACTCCGCGATGCTATGTTCAAGGGCGAGCCCATCAACTTCACCGAGAACCGTGCTGTTTACCACGTTGCTCTGCGCAATGTCACCAACGAGCCCATGCAGGTCAACGGCAAGAGCGTCGTTGACGATGTCAACTCCGTGCTTGAGCACATGAAGGAGTTCACGGAGCAGGTTAGAAGCGGTGAATGGAAGGGTTACACGGGCAAGAAGATCAACACAATCATCAACATTGGTATTGGTGGCTCGGATCTGTAAGTTTGCTACTTGCCTTTTACTTGTTTGCGTTGCTTCCATCCCCAGGGGTAATTCTTTCGCTGAACGATTGCTTACACACCAATAGCGGCCCTGTCATGGTGACCGAGGCGCTCAAGCCTTATGGCGCCGAGGACATGACCCTTCATTTCGTCTCCAACATTGACGGAACTCACATTGCCGAGGCTCTCAAGCACTCCGACCCCGAGACCACTCTTTTCCTGATTGCTTCCAAGACATTCACCACTGCAGAGACCACCACCAACGCAAACTCCGCGAAGAAGTGGTTCCTTGAATCTGCCAAGGATGAAGCCCACATTGCTAAGCACTTCGTCGCTCTCTCCACCAACGAGGAGGAGGTGACCAAGTTTGGTATTGACAAGAAGAACATGTTCGGTTTTGCGTCCTGGGTCGGCGGTCGCTACTCCGTGTGGAGCGCCATTGGTCTCTCTGTTGCCCTCTACATCGGCTTCGACAACTTCCACCAATTCCTGGCTGGTGCTCACGCCATGGATAAGCACTTCCGCGAGACTCCCCTCGAGCAGAACATTCCCGTTCTCGGTGGTCTGCTGAGCGTCTGGTACAGCGACTTCTTCGGCGCCCAGACCCATCTCGTAGCACCTTTCGACCAGTACCTGCATCGCTTCCCCGCCTACCTGCAGCAGCTCTCCATGGAGAGTAACGGCAAGGCTATCACGCGCACCGGAGAATACGTCAAGTACACCACCGGCCCCATTCTGTTCGGTGAGCCCGCCACCAACGCCCAGCACAGCTTTTTCCAGCTGCTGCACCAGGGTACCAAGCTTATTCCTTCGGATTTCATCATGGCTGCTGAGTCGCACAACCCCGTCGAGGGCGGCAAGCACCAGCGCATGCTGGCCTCCAACTTCCTTGCTCAGTCCGAGGCCTTGATGGTCGGAAAGACTCCTGAGCAGGTCAAGACTGAGGGCGCCCCCGACAACCTGGTGCCTCACAAGACATTCCTGGGTAACCGCCCAACCACCTCTATCCTCGCCCAGAAGATCACTCCCTCCACGCTCGGTGCCCTGATTGCTTACTATGAGCACCTCACCTTCACCGAGGGTGCTGTGTGGAACATCAACTCTTTCGACCAGTGGGGTGTCGAATTGGGCAAGGTTCTTGCCAAGAAGATCCAGAAGGAGCTGGAGACACCCGGAGAAGGTGGTGACCACGACGCCTCCACCAGCGGCTTGCTGCTGGCCTTCAAGAAGAAGGCCAACCTGGCTTAGATGTTGGCCGGTCAAGTCAAATCAGACTACAAAAATGTAATTCTTCACGACTCATGAGTGATCACTTCGTTTCTTCCATAGCACACAATCGAAATAAAAGCCATCAATTCAAGATGTTGCCCATCTCGTAAAACATTTTTCAGAGCCTCTTGGGTATATATCAGGTTGTAATAACAGAGCCGGAAATGGAGATTATAGGTACTGTGTGAGCAAACGTGAATCACAAAGAAACATATCATGTGTATCTATTCACGATGGGCGTTGGACTTCGGTTGATTTGACCGGTGGGAGATCGTTGCGGCGAATTGGGGGAGACTCATTGTTGATCCCGCGGCAGCCACATGTCCAGTGTCCACTCTGGCAAACTCCGAATATCATTCCACGAGGGAAGCTCAATACGCCGCTTTGGCGTCAAATCCTCTAACATGTTCCTTTCCCAAAGACGATTGTCGCATATACCATTCTTAGCACGTTATTATGCGTTGATACTCGTCGCGCTATCGCAGGTCGCGGCCGCGGGGAAGAGTGATGTCGCCAGTGGCAGGGCCGTATACAGCTATGGACAACCTATGCCGGTGACCTGTTTGAACCGGACAATGTGAGTCTTGCAGCTATCGATCAAGGAGAGTTTGGTCTTGTTGGATATAACATACTAATTGCTGTTTAGCGACTCTGGAGAACATGTAATGCCTCCCCCTTTGGGCTAGCTCCTTGCTGCTTGTTGCTGGGCACGCGGATGCTGAGATACCTGTCTCCACGACGCAGTCCTTCAATATGAGTACCTCTGGCTAACAGCTCTCTTCCTGTACAGATCACAGACAATCTCGGCAAGCTGCAATACATTCCCTTCCCGACCTGCAACGAGACCTTCCTCCCGCTTGCACTCCGCTACGGCGTGACAGAAACAATCAATTGCACCATCAGCTCGCTCCCCGACGAGCTCTACCACCTCTTAGAATATTACGTCCACTCGGATGTACCACTAGCCTGTCGCGTGCCCACCGCACCCCTCGCCTCATCCGCGCAGGCAGGCCCATCCCCTGATACCAAGAAGAGCGAAAACACCGACCTCTCCCCCTCGACAATGGCGGACCAGCATACACGCCCCTCACCTTTGCTCTCCAGGGTACCCTGCAGCGCAGCCACCTCCACATCTGGACAGACATGAACGTCCTCGTGCATAATATTCCCTCGGCCTCCGCGTCGAGCAAGACCAAGAAAAGTAGCCGGAAGAGCAAGCATGCGACCCCGGGGTACGTCGTGGCCGGTACCGCGTACTCGATTCCCGAGTTTGACGGCCCGCTTCCGAAGGACAGAGACGCTGACGAGGACGACGCGGCTGTGGCTGTTTCCGAGGCGGCGCGCGATCCCTGGACGGCCGGCCACGGCACGAAGGTCATCCGCGGCGAGCCGCTCACGTTTACCTTCCATGTTAGCTGGGTTGAAGGCGGGAAGGGCATCTGGTGGCCTGCTGGGGGCCCAAATAACGCGGAGGGATCGTCTGGCGTGGCGTCGTTCTTCTCCAGGTTGTTCTTCTTCGTGCTGGCTGCGGGTGTCGGGGCGGTTGTGGCGTTGTACTGGGAGCGGAATGGGGCGCGCCGACGGGCTGGATGGCGCGGGGATGGGATTCTGGGTGCCTCTACTCCTCGTGGGAAAGGGTCGGTTGGGATCGCTTACGGCAATGGTGGTAAAATAAATGGGTATGGGGGTTACTCTCCTTCGAGCACGCCTTCTGTGGTCGCTACTGGTGGTGGGGGTTATGGATACGGGGGCTATGGAAAGAAAGACTAAGGTGTTGTATACGACTATATGCGGATGATTGTATATCTCATGTCTATATCTAATTCTGACGAAAAATGAACTTCTTGAATACCAATCAACCGGACCCATGTTTTCTGGACAGATACCAAATAGAAAAAACAGCTAGAAGATAGTTATACATGACAGGAAAGACTTTCTCTGCTCGCAGAGTCCACTTAATCTCCCTCATCCCAGTCCCTGAATCCGATGCATACCGTCTCTCTATGTACACCAGCCCACCAAGTCCACCACTTAATGCATCTTACCATCCCTGTGCCCTCATACGCTGGATCTTGTTCACCGTCTCTTTAAACGAGAACTTGAACAGCTTCCGCCACCGCTCCATCCTCAAGTTCTTCCGCATCTGGCCCCTCCGCACATGGAACTTCTGCGCATGCCACTGCGCCCGCACCTTGTTCGTCGCGATATTCCCCTGCAGCACACGCAGCGCCGTCGTCAAATCCACCCCCTTCTCCGGCTCCACGTGCACCTGGCGACCGAGCGTAGGCCCCAATTTCAGCTCTACCCGGCGGAGCGGCTGTTTGTAGCTGTCTGTCTCGGGGGCCATGCTGACCGCGCGAGAGAGCGAAAGGGGGTCGGAGGACTGGCTCCCTTCTGTGGCATTGCGGTTGGTGTTGTTGAGGTTGAGTTGGTTGAGGATCCGGTCGAAGTCGGCGGAGTTTGAGTTGGATGCTGTGCTGCTGCTGGGTTGGACCTTGGATTGTTGCTGGGTCGACCTGGGGTCGTAGAGGTTGGTTGGTCCTGCCTAGCAGGAGGAGTTTGTAAGAGGGGATTGGATGTTGAGAAGTATCGGAGGGCGTTCTGTCCGCGGAAGATGATGGGTTGCGTGGTGTATAGCGAGGATGTCGGCCTCAGGCGGAGGCATCGAGCCACGGATCGTGCCTCCATCTTTGCAGTAGCGAGGAATTGGTGATATTTATGAAGAGAGAGTGAGTAGAACCGCTAATGTCAAAAGGAAAATATGGTTGGTTCGTGAAGATAGAGACCAGTGCCCGGCGTCGTTATATCTCGCTGGAAATCTCGCGGACATTCTCAAGACGGAAATCTGCACTCACGTGACTTGGCCATGTCTATAGATGCTCCGCAGCCGAAACGACTCTAACATCCGAGAACATCAATTGACAAGCCAGAGTTGAATTTCTCTAGAAGACCTTCAGACGGCACGGCAGCTCACAGCATCAGCAGTACAACCTGCAGTCTTCCAACTGCCATAAACGAGCCATGTCCTCAATCACAATAGCAACCCTTCCCCGCATGACTCGGGATGTTCTCTCCGAGCTTCTTCTCTCCACCAGTTCTCCCAACAAGCTTGCCATCATCGACGTAAGAGACCAGGGTACGACGCGAAACTACCTACACGTCTTTCCGCTGTTTTCCAATTGATTTTTCTTCTTTGCAGACCACATCGGCGGGCATATCTATTCCTCCACCTGGGTTCCAAGCTCATCACTCGACTATCGCATGCCGGAACTGGTCCGAACGCTCAAAGACAAAGAAAAGGTTGTATTCCACTGCGCTCTGAGCCAACAGCGCGGCCCATCTGCCGCCCTCCGCTACGCGCGCGAGCGAGAGGCGGCATTGGGTCCTGAAGAGAGCAAGAAGCAGCAGGTTTATGTCCTCGAGGGCGGGTTTGTCCAGTGGCAGGAGAAATATGGTAAAGACACCCGGCTGACAGAGGCGTACGTCGAGGATATATGGAGGGAGTATTGAAACACGTTCGGACCGTCTCGTAACAGTGACCCCATGCGACGTGCAGCGCTTTCCATCGACTTTACAAGCCTCGCGAGGAGGACTCGGGTCCGGTTTACAACGGCCGGGTGCCGGTGAGCTTCAGTTCAGTGCCACGCCATGTTGGACTGGTGCGTCGGGATATGGCGGGTTCTAACGCTGCAAACAAGATGGCGCAATGATTATAGAGCCTTCTAACGCAACCACTTGTCTATACACGCTAAGAGCTTGTGGATACCTCTTCTATATATACATCTATCGTACAGCTGTCTTAATAAGTACGCAGAAAGAATCGCAGGTATTACTACAATATTACATCTGAACAGTCCCGCCGAATCCAACAGGTCTCCTTCTCCCACCATTCTCCGGAATGATGGCCATGAACTTGTAGAGCTTTCCCATGCCGCCCCGCCCCGCTCGATCAACCTCTTCCACCCACTTTCGAGAGTCTTGCGCTTCTCTTCATCCTTGACTCCATTGAGCAGCTGCTGCATCCGCTCCGCAATGCCCATGACCTGCAGGAAATCTCCCTGCTCTATCGGTCCGTGAACCTCAACACCCTCACTAGCTTCAATTGCCGCCTCCGCAAGAGCCATGAAATCAACATCAACACTCACGTCGACCTGGCCCGGCGACGAAAGCGCCGGCACATTCCGATGATGCTGGATCCCGCGGAGCGAATTAATAGGGATGGTCGACATCGTTCCGTAATCCATGATCAGCGCTGCTCCAGATGGTACCTTCTTCGGCAGCGCGGCGGGTGCATTCCGCGAGCCCACAGTTCGAGGCGGTTGCGACGAACCGCCAATGCGACGAGCAAAGTCGGATGCATATATGCGGCTTTCTGGACTGACTTCAATCGTAGAACCTGGTGTAGACTTGAGCTTCCGGTAGCGCTCTGAGATCTCCGGGATCACGAGAGAAGACGGAGTCGATGCCTTGGCTAGTGTCAGCTTGAATTCGGGCTCGCCTTCGATATTCTCTTCGACTGCTTTGGGATTCAATGTAACCATGATCTCGCGCCACTGGGGGTATTGGCGGGTTTCATGGGTTGGTGCAGCTTCGCAGGGCCGGTAGGAGTCATAATCTCGTTCTGCTCGGACTGATTCTCAGGCGCTGGGGGATGGACTCGAAAGCGTGGATTGGAAGTGCATCGAAGAATTCGTGGGCAAATATGAATGGCGTTTTGTCTTCCTCTGCATAAATGTCTCAGTTAACTGGCCCTACAACAGTCTGGAAGCTCAATGCTGGTCTCACCATGAGGCAGTAATCGAATGTCCTCTACCCAGATCACCGGGACATTGAAATACTTGCTGGTGCTCTTGTGACCAATGTCCGTCTCCTCCATAGCCTCGTCACCGCAAAGTCGCTGTTTCTGGACCTCTCTTAACGTCGGGCTAGCTTCAACCAGATAGATAGCTTCGACACTCGACGCAAAGCTCTTGAAGTTCCTGAACGTCTAGCCGAAAGCTCTATTAGCATGAGACATTCCAAATCCTACTGCCGAGGCTGGAATAACTCACGCGTAACATGTCGTCCATTAGTGTGCCCTTCCCCGGTCCAACCTCTATGAGTTGTACACCACTGCGTTTCCGCCCTTGGGCCATCCATTCTGTAATAGTCCATATACCCACCAACTCCCCGAAGACTTGTGAGATTTCAGGCGAGGTTACGAAATCGCCCTTCTTTCCGAAGACTTCGCCGCCGCCCTCAGGCCGAGTTGTGTAATAGCCTCCCTCTGGAGAAGTGAGAACTTGGCGCATGAAGGCCGCGATGGGGATCGGCCCTGTGACCTAAGACAAGTACTTTGTCAGTTACGATGCAAGAATTCGCGGCAAGGCTGAACGCCAGAGAATGTCCAGATACCTTGATCGCATTCGCTAGTGTTTTCGCGAGTGGTGTAGACCACTGCCTTTGATCAAATGTCGAGGAGCATCGGTGCGACCCTATCCGTAGGTTTCGACACTGATATGTTCGAACATGTCGGGTCAAAGCACGCTTCGTCGCACTATTCATCTTTTGGGTGCGGCCTTCTCAAGCACGTACAGTTGGGGCGGCCTTTCAATCTGATAAGGTTAATGATCCGTACGCATCGGGGGAGGTTCGATGATGATCAGATATGTTTAAGAAGGACGTGGCTTGCGAGATAGACTGCTCCAGGTAGGCTATGTAGCTATTCCCACACCCTCCGATGTTCATACCTCCAATTTCTCCGCAATAAAGTTTCGGAACACGTGATGTTATCTTATCAATTGTCCATTAATTTACAGTGATTAACCTCCACTATTGCGTCTTATCGTCAGATTGAACAATTAGATCGCTCACAGAGCGTGCACCCGAAAGACCTGATTTCTGGAATAAAAGTCCCTGCTGTACTCAGCACTGGGCTGGTGCGGAAAGAGGAGATGATTTCCCATCGAAGTAAAAAGTAAGAGATCCGGTGATAGCATGACCCGGCCATTTCGAGCACAATGCGCCAGTTCACCGGTGCCGTCCACCCCTATGACTGGAGTTCTGCGTGGGTGCATCGACCATCATTTGATCGCTGTAAAGTCCAGTCTCTTGCGTATTCTGGTTTGTTTGCCTGCCAGCTCGTCCGTACGCTCGGTTGCCTCTCGCATTGCGCCTGTTGTAACGGCCATTGCCCCGAGAATCGTCTTGAGAAAGCACTTGGGCATTTCCTTCTGCGAAACCGTGTCTTCCATCCTGCACGGCAGGTTCGGCTTTCCGGTTTAGACGGCGCTCGCGATCCGCTTGCTCTCGTAGATTGCTGAATGAGGACTGAGGGCTCTGTACGTGCTGAGAAGGTGTCGGTTCGGCCGTGGAGTGCTTGAACCGCATGGACAAAATTCTGCCGTCAGCCTTTGTGTTTGTCAGCCAGTGAAAAGGAATATCAACGTTCAGTTGGGAGTATCACCCTTTGGTTGTGGAAGTTGGCAATGGCTTTTTCTGCGGCCCATTTGTCGGCGAACGTGATCTCGGCCGTGACAGTAGGATGCTGCGAGGTGATCCAACAGCTCAATATCTGTCCCGATAACGGTTCAATAGCGGATTGGATGTCTGCTGCTGTAGTGCCTGGAGCGAAATTGCTCCCGATCACGACGAAAGATCCTGACCCTGCTCCTCGAATAGTTATACCAACCGGATTGTCGCGCACCGTTGATTGTCCACTCGCTGGATTGAGCGCTGAAAGAAGGCGCTCCTCGTCTGGGCGACGTTTGCTGGCGCGTTTTGGTTGCGAGTGCGCTGCTCGTACCGGCGCTGGCTGTGTGCGATGATTCTTCGTAGTTTTCGATGTAGCTGATGCGTAAGGCTAAAAGTACAGTACTCCAATGTGAGCCCTTGGTCATGCGCTAAATAGTATGAAGCGCGGATCCCACAATACCTTTACGACACCAATTCGACTGGCGAGACTCCCTGGCTTCGCTTTCTGAGCCTTGATTCCAGCTCCCGCGCCCGCGGCGACAGTCTTTTTGTTTTTACCAAGGATTTTGCTTGCGAGTTCTTCATTCTTTCTCTTTTTGCGGTCTGAATGCTCAGGATGCAATCAGAAAGGCACAATTCCGATGAGGATTCTGAGACATATTGGAGGCCTTACCCGCTTGGATGATGGCATCGAAGGACACAGCTCCTTGGCTGGCGGCCATGACGAGAACGGCGCGCTTGGAAGAGGACGTAACAAACGGACAAGGTGACGCGAAAAGAGATATGTCAAGAGAGAAGATCAATCCTTTTGAGTACCGATGCAGGCTAATCTTAATTAGAGGCTGTTGTAGATAGATAAAAAGGATGAGAAAAATGGCCCATGATTAAGGTGTGAGATATTTTCTGAGCTTATTGCTTCTGGGTGCAGCTAGCCGGCGCAGAGCAACACCAAAGTACTCCGTAGTCCGTACTAAGGATCCTGTACATCAGCTTCAACGGCATCAATGATCCAACTAAATCTTTGTGATATTAACAGATGATTGGCAAATCCTGCCACAAATAGATCCTAGACATTTAGCTGAGTCCTATAGACATATAACAGTTTGTATCAGTACTTTTTGCGGCTAAATGTGAATCGAACCTCATAACTTCCTCTTCCAGCAGGCGCAATGTATTCTTTTAATTGCAGTGAATATGGAAGCTGCAGCCCCCAGTTTCTTCTGTCTAACATAGGTAGCCAAAACCTCTAACTATCTGATACCCTGCATTCGCCACTGCAGCTATAGGTTCTGGTTGGTGATTTCTTGTGTTTATCCCATCCTATCACTCAATAATTGGTGCATTTACCGGATTTCATTTCAGATATTGTGTATCCTTCTCAATCAACCTACTCCTCTGACGTATGGAGAACTCACACGAGTCTTCTTTCTTGTCTAGCACGCAAGGACCACACTGAGCTGAGGAACCGCTGCTAGTATCGATATCCAAGAAGATGACTTCGGAGGACCTGAGCATCGCCAAACAGACATTGTCTTCGTCACTAGCTCTTCGCTCACCCTTGAGGAGCAGAAATAGGTACGTCTCAATTTCACAACGGCGAGAGAAGCCCATATTGACAGGGTGATCCTAGGATCGAGAGACCAGCCACTCCACCTACATCTTGTGAGGAATTAACCCATTATCCCGTCTTCAACCCACGAGACCCTCGACACAACCCTGCAGCATCTGCATCTTTGTGGCTGCAAAGTGATTACTACCGATCCCAAGCATCTAGAACACAGAATTCAGTTAGCTGGATGCAGGATTTGCCGAGAAGGTCACTCCGCAAAGCGCGATCAGGTCTGCTGGCCCTTCGTTCTGGAATGCAAAGACGACCACTTCCAGGCGGCCACGCTCGGAGAAGTGATATACCTAGTATTTGGTCCTCGAGAGACTCTACAGAGGGCTCATCTGATCGTTTCCCGTCGTCAGTGTCGGACGCGAGCACAGAAGACGATCACGAGTTCGGCACCGGTCTCTATCGAACAGCTCGAAACCATTCCTCCTCAAGCGAAGCTCTGAAAGATCACAGCCATAACACTGTACCTCCCACATCGCTGTTGCCTTGTACCGTCCGTGAGGGCTTAGAGGGCACTGGGTTGAGGAACTCCCTAGCCGCACAGGAGAAGAGAGGCGTCAATGGTACATCAGAAGCAGGGGTGGATGGTGCGTCGAAGACAGCAACGACGGTGGGGTCCCTCGAGAGCACGTCACCGTGCCTGAGCACCACGGCCACATCCCGGATGGATCAAGTACACTCGCCCAAACCTCGACTCATGCCACTTCCAATTCGCCATCTGCCAGCCTCATTGAGGTTAGCAGAATAGAAGCTACGACGGAACACACAGCATCATCAGAAACATCGAAGGCAGCATCCCAGAAGAGCCCCATAAATTCGCAGCCGAGTGAGGACTGTATGAAAGATTTATGCTCGCAGGCCCATGATTCAACGCGTGTTTCATCCAATTCGCAAGTTATCAACCCTGAGAAGCCGACTGCGGCTCTGAGTCCTGAAGAGTTGGTAAATCCAAATGGGCCAGAACTCAACGAATCAACTCGAGGCCACGAGATCGCTCAACCACCCATCGCTTCTGGTTCAACTGACTCAATGGCTTGTGTATATGTCTCGAGCCGTTCCCCGTCTAGGTCATCCTCTGTCAGCTCTCGTGAATCAACGTTTCGGCAGATACCAGCCGTCCAATTGATGATGGGAACGCTTGAATTGTTTTCGTCGTCGAGAGAATGCAGCAGCGGTGGTCAGACGTTATGTTGCAGCGATGTTGCAGAAAACGATCTCATGTCTCGGGCAATTCACCATGCTCCAGCCGACCATACCGAGGATAGAATTGTACCAGTCGAGACAGGGCCTCAGCAGTCTAGAGCCTCGAATGCAGGAGAGACGCAGGTAACTCATGCTGGTGCATCCTTCACGGTTAGTATCATTTTAATGTTACCCGCTCGTCATTGACGAAATCATAGGAACCATCAGAAGCGAGATCGAGTGCGCAGGAAGAGGAAACTGCCAGCTGCCTGCTGCCCGCTTTGGACGGCACTGATTCCCTTGGAATCCAGAACAGTTCTGACCCGCGTGCGGCTCAAAGACCACCCTCTCCAAGCCAGACTGAAGATGGCGCGTCGGATTCAGATTTCATCAGGTCATCAATTGAGATCGATGACGCACTCGCATCACTGATTTTCAGAGACGAGTTCTTCTTTGTCGATGGAAAATCGAGTGATATCGCCCCCGATCGTGGAGACAATCCTATAAAAACAGGACGCCGAATTGCGAGAGATGGTGGAATTTACAGTGGTCCGGGACTCGACCGTACCATGTCAGTCAGAACGCAGGAGATCCCAGAGATTGTCGGACCAGGTACGTACGCTTCGCGTCGGAGTAACCTGTCGAGTCTCGAACGAAACGCAAGCGATTCGACTGATGAGTGTATTGTTACTTACCCGATGTGGGAACGACGTCAATTCCCATAATGTTGGGGTTATACGTAAGTTACACGACTGCACGACGGAAGAAGGTGGAATCGGAGTGCGTTACTTGCGCCATTTCATTGTCTCTGTATTGTTAATGCGCCTTGTATACTTATGTCTCAAGCGCCTGCGGCAAGGATCGCTGGGTTGAATGGGCACCGATTGGAAATGACACTCATTTGTACAAATATTGCATGCAGAGCCTCTTTCTGATAGATGGCTACCGCTAAGATGTTTCTGTTCATATGAAATCAGAAAACAGACTCCTTCAGCTGTGTTCCCAAGACACGAATGCTGGTCTTGTCTTGATCAAATCTCTCGAAACCTAGCACTTGGTAGCATGAAAGGCTAACCCAGACGTAAGGTAAAGCCGGCGCCTGTTTCCCCGGTATCGCCACTGGATTGACCACCGAATACACTGGCAAAGTCCAAGGCGGGAGCTTCCTGACCGCGCTTCGGCGCCTCTGGAGTCTCACGACGCCTTCGCCTCTCCATCCCTGCCTTGGATGGGAAGGTTGGAAACATCTCCTTTGGCTTTGGTCGAGGGTCCTCCCGGAAATATTTATGTGAGAGACACTCCTGAGCAGTAGGGCGCGCACTTGGATTCAATGCCAGTAAAGAGGACAGAAGCCGCAGACCGGCATTGGTGAGAAAGGGGAACTTTGAGCGGGGAAGTAAGGGAGGGTTTTCAGTCGGCGCCGATGAGGATGTAGGTGGAAGGCGAAGCGATTTGGCATTAGGAAGGGAGCGGAAACCAGGCCACGTTTGCTGGGTAGGGGGCCCGTGAGAGCGAATATCTGGGTTTATCTGTCAGCGCGAACGGACCTAAAAGTCAACGGAAAGCAGATGCTTTACCTTTGATACTTGATCGACTTCATTTTTACCCTGTAGCAAGGGTTCTTTGGTGAGCAATTCGCCAAAGATGCACCCAATACTCCACATGTCGATTTCCGGGCCGTACTTTTCGGCGCCCAGCAGGAGCTCCGGGGAACGGTACCAGAGCGTTACGACCAGCTGGGTCAGCTTCGGCGGTGGATCGCCGTAGTACCGTGCCATGCCGAAGTCGGCAATTTTGATCTCGCCTCGGTTGTTCATCAGGAGGTTTGAGGTCTTCAGATCACGGTGCATGATCCAATGGGAGTGGAGGAACTCGAGGCCGGAAAGGATTTGAAGCATGAGGGTCTTGGTTTCCGAAGGGAGGAACGGTTCGCGCATGTCGTCGAGTAAGGTTTTCAGATCATGTTCGAGGAAATCCATGACGAGAAATACACTGTTGGCGGGATAGAGGTGCCCAGAGCCCCGAATTGGTTAATACTGGTGTATCTTGAACTTTTCAGGACGAAACAACACCAACGCTGGAAGGGGTATTGAAAGACTAGGGGTAGAGGGTAGGAAGGGCCAGCATACTCATCCATTTTAGTCCCCATGACGACCTCGCGGAGATATACAATATTCGTATGGCGAGCTTCCAACAGCGTCTGGATCTCCCGTAATCCCGTTACCGGGAACCCATCCGGCGAATTCTCCATCTTGAGCTTCTTCAGAGCCACCACCTCCCCGGTCGTGATATCCCTCGCCCTACTCACCCACCCATACGAACCCTCCTCGATGTGATTCAGCCGCTCAAAGTTATCCACAAGCCGACAGGGTCCCCATTCCGGACCCGGAAACCGCAGGAGTGTCGACCGGGTCTGCTCGGCTGGCGCCTTGGCTGCAGACCCCGACGCTGCGGAGACCTGGGGCTGCTCGTTCGACAGCCGGCGACGCTTCTTGGGCGGAGCTTCCGAGTCGCCATTGAGCGCGTCTGCTTGCTGTTGCAGCGAGGCTTGTGCGGTCTGGAGCCGTGCTTGCTCCTCCAGCTGGCGCTGTTTCTCTGCCTTGGCGCGTTTCTTCTCTTCCTTTTCGCGTTTTCGTTGTGCGAGGATGGCGTCTTCCTCGGGGTCTTCGGCGGCCCAGCGCGATTTCGACGGGGCGGACATGGCCCCTATGAGGGATTGGGAGGATCCAAAACCTGTATATTTGCTGATTAATTCGACTAATGCCGTTGATGAGGAGCGTTTGAATCAGCTTGGGGTTGGGAGATGAATTCGGGAAGGAGATGGTACAGCCCAGCTGGGATGGTGACGCTATCGGAATAACAAAACTTGGGGAATGTGATCGAAGGGCCGAATTCCATCGCCGAATTCAAAGCCCCCGCCTGGTCCCGCAATGATTATTAACTCGCGGAGGGGGACGGAGTATGTTCTTCTGCTTTAAATACAGCTTCTAAGATTATTGATTTCTTTCGTTCTTTCTTCTCTAATTGCGAGGATATATTCTCTGGAGCTTTTTACGCCATACCGAGATGATTGAACCGTTCCAGGTTTGTTTTGGTTTCTTGGCTGATATGGCTGCACAGTGCCATTGCGATCGATCACTGACTCAGATTTGATGACAGACCACCTTCGCGGTCCCCATGACCTGCGAAAGCTGTGTCAAAGATGTTTCCAACTCACTTTATAAAGTTGAAGGTTCGTGCTTATCGAGATAAGGCATTTAGCGGGAAACCGTGTACTAATTCATGCTCGTCCCACGCAGGCGTCAAGAAGGTCGAAGCGAATCTTAAAGATCAGCTCGTCTTTATCGAGGGCACAGCGCCGCCTAGCTCGATAGTCACTGCCATCCAATCTACTGGTCGGGATGCGATTCTACGCGGAAGCGGCACATCAAACGGTATGTTATACTTCCGTTGAGGGAAACAGACCTTGCGAGGGCGGTACTGATCTGGTGGTGTCATGCGCGACAGGTTCTGCCGTCTGCATATTAGAGACGCATTCGACGACTGTACCGAATAAGATCCGTGGGCTGGCACGCATGGTGCAGGTGTCCCCGGACATGACTCTGGTAGATCTGACAATCAACGGGCTGGCACAGGGAAAATACTGGGCGACTGTCCGGGAAGTGGGGGATATCTCGCGAGGCGCAGAATCTACGGGCGGCATCTGGGAGGCGTTGAAGGCTAAGGTGATGGGCTCCGAGGCGCCCAAGGAGCCGCGCGGCGTGTTTGGGAGTGTGGATGTGGACAAGAACGGCCGGGGGAATGTCTTCTTGGATCGACCGGTGGCCATTTGGGAGCTGATTGGGCGGAGTATGGTCGTATCCAAGAGCCAGGAAGGCCCATTTCAACGAGAGGACCCTGATACATTGGTCGGTGTGATCGCTCGCAGTGCGGGTGTCTGGGATAACGACAAGACTGTCTGCTCATGTTCGGGAAAGAATGTATGGCAAGAGCGCCAGGAACAGGTCTCTCAGGGAATGGTCTAGAGTTTTGGAGTCTAGAATGTCTCCAAACTTTGCATTGATTTATGATACCTATCGCGGAGATGATGTCCATTGAACAGAATGATTTGTTGCATGAGCACTGCAGCCACGCTCAAGAAAGAGTGGCAGCCCTAAAGAGAGCTTGGACCTGTAAGATTCTCAGTGAGACTTGAATTGCGAACCTCCACTGAGTGTACAGTGGGCACTTGGCACTGGCGCTGGTGCGGTGTCTCGCGGACTTTGAGTGCGAGCCAGTACACGAATTGATCATGACAAGAACAACAGACCATTGTCTCCAAACAGCTGACCATCGGATCAGATCCAAGATAACAACGCGGCATGTCAGAACACCTCCGCAGAAATGGCAGCAGAGGCCTAAATATAGACAGACGGAGTCGTTAGAGCAAGCGCCAGGAGATGGTCATTGGACACTGGCTTATTCTCCTGCATTGGTAGCATTGTTCATCCCTGTCTGACCGATGGCAGCGTCTTGTCCTTGCATCAATGATCGAGCTAGTGGCTGCCATGCTATCACTTACATGACTATCGTGAGTTCTAGCTCGACCAATAATTGAGGATACCCAGATACCCAAGCAGCTAGTACCAGCCCAAGGTCAGTGAGTGCATTACTCCGCCATTAGCGAGCTAATCATGTTGGTCACTAACCGAAGTTTTCCTAGCATGGCAATAAGGGCCGAAGCCATCTCTATTGCTCAGAATGAGTCTTGAAGAGATGTATCTTGCGAAACCACTCATGGCTGTCTGTACAAGCGCCGTGGCGGGGATGCGGGAGAGCCTAAAACCAGTAGATTTGCTGGAGGCGTGTTAGCATGAGAAGAGTTGGTGGAAGCATTTTTCTTATTAGCTGCGGGAAGATTTGAAGGATTCTGCCATCTCATTTCATGTCAGTAATGGATATCTACACCCCATTAACCTAGAATGGCCTGACAAGAGTAGAGAATAAGAGAAACTCCCTTGAAGGCAGAGCGAATGTGATGGTAAATGGTGGCCCCGCATTGATCGGGACGGGCCTTTTTGCTGGAGCCCGTCAATCAGACCTTCGGACCACCAAGGACAAGGGCCCGTTCGCCTTTCTTCACCCTTGATTGCTCAACTTACTTCGTGATTATCGAATCTTGTTGCACACTTCTCGATCAAATCAGATCCCTTGAATGAGGAGGAATTCCATTTTCTCCCCTCATCCAAGTCGCCGATTCCTCCGTGAGCCGTTCCTCAACGTCCTGTCGGGCTACGCACCTGCAGGGGAAAGCTAATAATATACTAATATAAGTGGATGGGATAATCCTCATGACAACCATCCAGGATGATTATGCTTCTCGACGGTGGGCGCTTACGGCTATTCAGGAGCATCAAATCATCAATTGAACTGCATCCCTCTTCTCCGTCACGTCCTTGGCAACTGTCCACTCTGATCAACGACGGTAATTCTTCCCCCTTTCCCGTGAATTTCCAGAGTTTCCCAATTCCGTGCTCATCTCCGATTTAGTAGTACTCGACTTATGCCTCTGACATTCCTGTTCGGTACAGAACGCTAGCCGGCTTCTCCTCAGTTGAGAAAGGTGGACAGACTCTTGGGACTGATTCGTATCCTTGCCACTTTTCTTCTGTTGCAGGCCCCATCTCTCAACGTTCCTTGCTTCTCCCTTTTTTTGCCTCCCTGCTTAATTATTTTTTTTATGACGACTCCTTGTCGCTCATCCTGTCCTGCCAATCTCTCTTGAAGACTTCGTATCAGTCATCGTTCAGAGCGGCCAGGTGCTTGAGAATAGAAAAGACTCTGAAAGCATCTTGACCGCACAGCAATCCGAAGGATCGATCAATCCATATGACATACTGTGCTCATTCCTTACTAGCAGATTTTGGGCTTTCGGCTCTCTTAGACCAGCGGATGATCTAATTATAACTTTCGACCTATCGTTCGTCCAGGATCACGAGGGGATTAAGATTCCCGGGATCGGCTGGGCATTCTGTCCAGAATAGCAGACCTTCGGATTGCAAAAGACAGGCTATCTAGCTGCTGGGCACTCAAGCCACAAAGTACCACCACCGCACCACGAGAGAAGGGCTTCGTCCTGGTTCTTCAAAGGCCCTGCCCGCCCCGCAGCTTTAGCTCCTACGTGCATCCCGTCGGACTCATTAATACCCCTGCTCACTGCGCCAGCCCACTATCTCGCATATCAGAAAAAACTGGTCAGCCTCTTGGCTTCCAGTGACCGCCATATATAACATAACCCTGCTTTTACTACTCCGGTGTGTGGGTGACCATCATCCGGCTTCCCTCGTCTCGACTCTTGTGAAACACTACCTGGGGCTGAGTGGGACGGGGATATCGTCGGATATAACTGTATCTTCTTTGGTCGTTATTTAGAGGCGCAGACATAGAGTTTGATTCTACGGAAGGATGTCATTGAAACAGGTATGAGTGACCCTCAATCTCGCAAGGCAAATCTGACAGAGAGCAGGAAATTGAGACATGGGTGTTGGCTCTGGAACACTACGACAATCAAGAGTATGAGGAAGCCATACGGATCTTTGGTCATATTGCGGATACCTCCAAGATATTCTTCAATTGTGGAGTCATCTATGCGACGCTGGGAGAACATGAAAAAGCCGTATGTTTATTCATTTAAAGCATTCGATGGCAGTCCACTGAACGTTCAACTAGGTCCAATGTTACCAACGCGCCGTCAGTCTTGACCAGTACCTTGCCATTGCCTATTTCCAAGAAGGCGTGTCAAACTTCCTTCTAGGTGATTTTGAAGAAGCATTGGCCAATTTCAACGACACCCTTCTCTATCTCCGAGGCAATACATCCATTGACTACGAGCAATTGGGCCTGAAATTCCGTCTCTTCTCATGTGAGGTCTTGTTCAATCGGGGACTCTGCTACATCTACCTGCAGCAAATGGGTCCAGGCATGCAGGACCTCGAATACGCAGCGAAAGAAAAGGTCACTCCGGATCACGATGTTATTGATGACGCCATTCGGGAGAGGGCAGAGGTACAACCTATCGTGCCTCAAATGTTGAGTGGTTGCTGACCGAAGCAGGGTTACACGGTGTTCTCGATTCCCGTTGGAGTAGTCTATCGACCCAACGAGGCCAAAGTCAAAAATCTCAAAACAAAGGACTATTTAGGCAAGGCGAGACTGATTGCAGCGTCATCGCAAGGCAACGCGCGGAATGGACACCAACCTACGGATTTGATACGAACTCAATCAGCGTTCGATGACCGACCCGCCGAGAGCATCTCGTTCGCTGCCACGAACCTGGTGCAAAAGAATCTGTCGGGACGAAGTCGTCAGCAGTCGGAACCACCGCTGAACCGCACGTTGTTCCCACCTACACCACCTCCAGAAGGTGACAAGTCTATCACAAAGAGCCCTTCAGGTGGTAGCGTGGGCGCCAACGGTAGACCAGGTTCCGTTCGAGCGGCGCGGCCTCCTCGGCTCAACCTCGATCGACCGGGTTCTCAGCCCAATGGGAGGAGTAGCGCAGACATGCCCGCTTCTGACAAGCCACGGATTGGGACAACTCGTACGGCCTCTGAACCCCGTGGGCCACCCAGCCGACATTATCCACGGGGGCTCAATGGTCCAGAGGCCGACAGATATCTTCCTCCTCGGGAGACAGGAGGCCACAGGAGAGGAACCAGCGAAACAAGTTCTGCATCAGTCCCTCGGAATGGCTACGGTGAGGACGCATGCGGAGTGTACACAAGCCCACGATCTATGGCCAGTAGCGGACGAAGAGGCGTACCTCCTCAGCAGCAACGTTACATTGACGAAGAAGAGGAATACGTGGGCGATATGTGTGGTGCGCATGGTGCCCGCGGCATCTACGAGTCGCCCGGCAGTTCGCAGCGACGAACTAGATCGCCGATCCGAGAGTCAAGGCGAGCCGATTCACGCAGGCCTGATGTCCGCAGATTCCGGATCAAAGTTCATGCTTTCGAAGATACCCGGTATATCATGATCGGGCCCACGTTGGAGTACAGCGAGTTCGAAGCCAAGATCCGGGAGAAGTTCGGCTTCCGCTCGCTTCTACGAATCCGAATGCAGGATGAAGGCGACATGATTACGATGGTGGATCAGGAAGATTTGGAACTCCTACTGAGTTCGGCCACTGAGGCAGCTCGGAAGGAGGGCAGCGAGATGGGCAAGATGGAGGTGAGTCCGATCCAACGCATTTGTGAAACGACCCGTAACTGACTGGTTTTAGATATGGGTTGAAGAAAGACCAATGATATAGTTCTGAAGGTGTTTTTTAGGAGAATTCTCTGGCTAGAGATGAGCAGAGAGCCAGGCTCTGCTGTTGCATTCTTGGTGCTGTCAGTGCTGATTTTCTATGTTGCATGATTTATACCCTTTGATGATTCGTACGAGCGGGATGATATTATGTATTTATATGGATACCCAGTGATAGCTGATATGCAGCGTACTCCGAGTACATTTGTCACACCAATTGTTGTAGGATGTAATGCGATAACTTGACAGTATCTTAGCTAAAGACTAGGGCACGTCGGATCACGGGAGTGCGGACAGCGATAGAGACCCACTGCGCAGTGACGTTGATTGTTGACAGCGAGGCTTCATCTTTTGTTACTTCTCTCCAGCCACAGCTCATCACAATCTCCGTGAAATCGGTTACTGAGGGATTATTTCGAAATGACCGACATTACCTCAGACATCAATCAACTCCTCAAGGACAGACATGCAAATAGCACAATCCCTAAGGGGGAGCCTCGTCCCCCGTCCATCGCAACAGCCGACGAGTTCCTCAAAGAAGCATACCGAATAGTCAGCGTGTCCCCGCCCTCAAATGTTCGAACAGATACTAACACGCAGTAGAACTCTCACATCCACTCTCTCCTCCTCTACCTCCAATCCATCCGCCACTCCTACCTCTCCACAACCCAACCGTCCACCCCGCACCACCACCTCCCTCCGCACCAGCCCAACCACCTCTACCCCGGCCAGCACCAGCACCCCCAAAGCAAACCCCTCACCGACACCGAACGCGACTCCATCGACTCCTCCACCGCCCTCCTCCTCCGCGACCTCTCCACCTCCATCGCCAACCTCTCCACCGCCGAATCCCTCCGCCAGGAAACCGAATCCGGCCTCCTCCGCAAGAAACACCGCGCCCCGTCCGCCCTCCTCCGCTGGGCCGCCGGCGCCAGCGCCCTCGCAAACACTCCCTCCGAGAACAAATCCCCCGAGCAGATCGCCGATGAAGAGCGCGCCCGAACCCTCCGCACCGTCCGCGAGAGCATCCTCTGGTTCCTGCGGCGGGGGCTCGAGCGCGCGGCCGAGGCGCAGCGCGATATGGTCGAGAAGCGCATCGAGCGCGTCCGCGAGAAGGAGAAGAGCGTGCTGTATAAGAGTGAGGCGGGCGGGGTTCGGTCTGTCCCTGCCTCTGTTCCTGTAGCTGTGTCTGTGTCTGGCCCTGGCTCGGGGCCGACAATCGCGGACCCGCACTTGCGTGGAGCGACGCTGAGCGAGACCGAGACGGCGGCCATCGAGGCGGAGCTGTCGCCTGAGCAATTGCAGTTGTTTGCCGAGGAGAATGATCTCATGCTAAGGCAGTATGAGGATGCGTTGAGTAAAGTGCAGTACGTCCATATTTATGTTCCACTCTTATCTTACACTCTGGTGGGAGTAAATTTGGGCGAGATGCTAATGGTGTTTGTGCAGGAATGCTGAGAAATCGCTCCTGGAGATCTCCTCCCTCCAGCAGACGCTGGTGTCGCATCTGTCGACGCAGGAGGAGCACATCGAGCAGCTGGTCATGGATGCTTCGACGACGACAACGAACATTGGACAGGGGAACAAGGAGCTGAAGCGCGCGACGCAGCGGCGGAGTACGGCGCAGGCGGTGTTTTGGGGGACGGTGGGACTGTGTACGTGGCTTGTGGTGTGGGATTTGATTTTTTAAACTGGCTGGCTGGCATGGCATTACTGGACATACATATTACTACGATACCATTCTAATCAGATGCATCATTGATAATACGTGTGGTTCAGAATGAGTTCATTCAGGAAAACCCTCGCTCAGGGCGATCTACATATGCGAGTAGAGTAACGGTTCAATCCGACGGGCCATGCAGAGTAAAAAAGAAAACACATTCCATCCGAAGATGCGAAGGGGGTAATTAGAATGGATAAGAGATGCGGACGAGTCATGACGGGGGACGGATATCTGGCGAAGAAATGAGCAGAAGCGAAGCGAAGCGATTATGAGGTCTCCCGGACGACGCTGTCGACCGCTTCGGCGAAGTAGTCAATGTTATGTGTGTTGAGGCCCGCCATAGAGATACGGCCGTTCTTGGTCTAGAGAATAAAAATTATTAGCTTGTCGTCTCGCAGTCAAAGGGGAGGTGGAGCTAATTGTGTAGCCCGTTTAAGGGGCTGCAACTGCCGTGGCTGTGGTCCGAGGAGTGGGTGGAGAACCCCAGAAATTGCGGTGTCTAGCGGGCGCCGCTGCCTGCGGAGCTATAAAAGGAGAAACACTTACCATGTACACGTGCCACTTTTCTCTGAGGATCTTGACCTGCTCTTCGGTCAACCCGGTGAAACTGAACATGCCGATTTGACTGGTGATGTGTTCCCAGTTGCCGGGGGTGCCCTTTGCCTCGAGGCGCTCCCGCAGACCCTTGCGCATCTCCGCGATACGGCCGCTCATCGTCCGGAGGTCCTCCTCCCACTCGGCAAAAAGCTGGGGATCATTGAGGATGCGGCTGGCGATGCGCGCGCCGTACGCGGGCGGGTTAGAAATCTCCGAGCGCTGCAGGATGGCTAGCTGGGAGGCGATGTGGGCGTTGGCGGCTGAAGCGTCGGGCCGGGGCCGAAACGAAGTGGAAGGCGCCGGCGCGCTGACCGTACAGACCAAAGTTCTTGGCGAAGGACTGGGCGATGCAGAGCTCGAAGCCCTCATCGACGAAGTAGCGGATCGCCCACGAGTCACGGGAGAGATCGCCGGACGCGAAGCCCTGATACGCTGTGTCGAAGAAGGGGAAGTGCTGGCGCTCGCGCAGGACGACCGCGACCTGCTTCCACTGGTCCTGGGTCAGGTCCACGCCGGTGGGATTGTGGGCGCAGGCGTGCAGAACGATGATGGAGCCGGGCGGAGCTTCGCGCAGGGCACCGAGCATGCCGTCGAAGTCGAGACTTTTGGTTTTGGCGGAGAAGTAGGGGTAGTTGGCGAGCTTGAGGCCGACGTTGGTGAAGATCTGGTGATGGTTGGCCCAGGTGGGGCTGGAGAGGTAGACCTTGGGGGGTACGGGGTGGAATTTGGCCAGGAACAATGCGCCCAGGTGCAATGCACCCGTTCCTGAAATGGCTTGCAGTGTGCAGACCTGTTATCAGCCCGCCGATTAGCTATCCCATATCCGACTATGGTCGCAAGGCGTTCCAAGGGAGTGAGCGCGGGTCAACATACACGTTTTTCGCGAATGGCTGCACTATCCGCACCGACTATGAGCTTTTGAGCGGCCGAGGTGAAATCTGGAAGACCTTTGATGGGGAGATATTCATGGTTGAGGTCGGGGTCCTTGCGGATCGCCTCGTCGGCCTGGATCAAATCAATCAGTCAGTCACGGTCTCTTTCATCAGAATGCTGTTACGGGGATGGTGAATCACCTTTTTTACTACAGGAAGAATCCAAGGCTTTGCGTTATTGTCTCTGTAGGCGCCAATGACAAGATCGACCTTTTTGTCGGAGGGATCCTGACGGAAAGCCTGAGCCAGACTGAAGAGAGGATCTTCTGGAGCGGCGGGCACAACGGCCGTGGAGAAGACGGACGGGCTTGAGGAACCCATGATTTGTGAGGAAAGGGAGGCGAGACGATTTCGAGCGATGGAGGATGATGAGGAGGACAGAGAGGAGGATGGAGAGGAGGTAGTAGTTGTAGTAGTTGTAGGAGGAGTGGATAGACGCGGGGAAGACATGGCCGCCGGATGCAGATGAGAATTAAATGACGGGTAAATAATTGGGTATGAGTAATAGAAACACAAAATGCGGGAATTTTTCCTGTTCTGGATCTTCTGTTTTTCGCTCTCTCGAAACAAACTCAGCTATGACTGGGGTTTATTTTTGGAGATTGCTCATTCTCCAGTCACAATAGTCATACCACTGGGAATTCTGCTTGCGTTCACCGGGCGGAGCGATCCGGTCAACTGATAAGTCTGACAGGCCCAAGAAAGAAGCAGATAAATCCCGACGGAGTTATTTCACGCGTCCTTAATAATATGATAGTCAGGGAATGCGATATATTGAAGATAATGTAGACCGAGAGCAAGATAAGTCGATGAGGGGAAATCCAGTCCCAGTGAGGGGTATCTTTTTATGTCTGAAAAGGGTAATATTGGGGATGGGAATAGTATCAATCTTGATCCTGAGTCAATAATACTCTGACGACTTAAGAACCTGGCCAAAACAAAATAATCAGTCCATTAGAAAGGTACGCATTCTCCCTCCTTTCGCTATTTATGTAAGAGAATCATTCGACCCAAGTTCACCCGACTTGAAGCGTGGTTTTTTCTCCTGACGGCGAGCCGAGGAACTTGTCTGCCCCGATGCCGACTACAACACAATGGCATGACGACATCACATGCTACAGTCTCTATTAAAGCGATTCAAGTATTATGCTCTTAATCCCCCAGATGGTTTACTCAGGAGCTGTCGAGGTACTTTGTAGGGACGGAGAATCTTTTCGACCCTGATTGATATTGGTCGCATGCGTCATGTTCGGCCAACCAACCACCGAGGCTATAGAGTCAGCATCAGCATCTCCATTGTTTCCTTGGTAGTTATCTACTGTAAAGAGCACATGATAACAATTAACAATATTTAACAACCATACAGGTGTAGCCCTCTCTAATCATAATCCTGACTTCTTGACCAGAAGATAACCTATTATTCTTGTTGATTCCTGAACGCCAGAATGCAGAGTCCGGCGAGTTAATAAGGCAAAATGTGTTCATCATCATACCTGCGACCATAATTAACCGACCTCCCCGTAATTCGTAAGATTTTGCTCCAGCTGGCAAAAAACAAAGTCAGGGACCCGGCGGAGTTTCCCCGATCAATCTCAAACAGTTAGATAGAACCAGAGGTAGATGCGCGATTAAATTTCGGTTCTGGCCCGTCATCCACTCCGCGGTTCCTAGTAGGTACCACTACGTACACAGTATTTTCCTTAGGTAGTGTTTGTGATTCTACGGAGTAATAGTACATGCATTCTTTTTCCGGGGTATGTGTGAAATCGTCGGGAAATTCGGTATTCGGGCGGCGGCAATTGCGTAGAATTTTCAAATGTAGCTAATCGGTCAGTCCACTCAAAATGAATGGAGGCAAATACAGACCCCTGCCTTATGACTGCAGAGTTCGGCCCTCATGCCGAATCACAACGCAAGCAAAGAAGAAATCAGCAGCATCGTGGATTTGTGGCCCGCCATGAATCCACCGTCCCCGTCCATTTTCCCCACGGGGTGGCCTATTTCCGAATGAGGAAATTCTGTCGAAGCCGTCGCCGGATTCCGGAACCCTTCGAGGCGGAATGATACTAACACAGATGGTATGTATGCATTCATTCTTGAGTCACGTACATATATGCATAAAGAAGTGAAATCATGCCAAATGCAAAAGATCTTTTTGAGGCCGCTGAAACCAAGACTCCAATCTCCCAAAAACGCCCTGTATCACCCATTTCCGAACCATAACCGTAACCATAACCATGACCATATACTCATCAATCATCCAGACGAAAAGTGAGAAGGGAGCTGTATCCAACAAATATCGGCGGACGGAAGCCACACCTTGCCCTCATGGTACCCCAATTCAAAATCGAAATATAACACAGAAGAATAAATCGTAGATGAATGAAAGTCTTCTATACTGAGGCGGTATGTGCGATTGCACATCGAAATCGATCAGTTGGCATTCAAGTCGCATCGCGGGCGACAATGTCCGCAGCGAATCTATGATTGCGCCGTAGCTTCGACCCCATGTGTGCGTGTTCGTATACGGAATCGCTCGCGTAACCGTGCCGTCAGTCGATTGCGTCGACGCTCTGCCTCTTCGTTGCTAGCGTCCCGGCTGGCTTCCTCCCGTACGCTTCGGAGCGCAGCAAGCCTTTCCTCCACGGTAGCATCGCGCATCCGGCGGGCGTTCAAGGTGCCGTGCAGATAGGAAGATATCCGGCGATGTTGACGACTTGAAGTAGCATCTGCTGCTGGTGCAGTCGCGTTGTCTTGAGATGTATTGTTGTTGTTGTTGTTGTTGTTGTTGTTGTTGTTGTTGTTGTTGTTGTTGTTGCCACCCTCTCCCTGCTCGTGTTCTTCCTCAGCCTGTGGCGGATTGAGGTCGATCCGGCTAATGACATGTTAGCTTTCATATATGAGCGATCATGACATACAACATACCATAATGGACAAGTGCCAGACACGTTGACCAGCCAAGGATCGATACATTCAGGGTGAAATTGATGGTTGCAGGGTAACACGCGGAGGTCCTGACCCTTGATGAAGTCATCCGTGCAAATTGGACAAGAAAAGTTTGGATGTTCGTTCGGCGATTCCGTATCTGTCGCGGGCGTCGTTGTGCCTCGCCGTTCGGAGTCGTTTTCAGCCTTGGCGGTTTCGGTTTCATCATTCCGCTGGCCACCGGTCACAGATGGAGGAGATCCATCGGCAGCGGGTGCCTCTCGACGCTCAATGACCCCTTCCTCCTCGGTCCCGAGAGACATCTCCACATCACCCTTGACGGGGTCTGTCTTGGGGTCAGAACTATCCCCAAATTTGACGATGGGAATCGTATCCAGCATCGCCCTTGCTATCCCTCGCGCTCGACTTTGTCGAGGCCGCCCCGCCGTGTACCGGGGGCCATAGCGTTCCGGATGACGATGGGCTCGGACGGCCCCGGTAATAATGATCGCTAAGAAAAGCGCAGTAATAATGCCAGTGATGCTGTACAGGATGATCATGGCTAGATTTCAGTTGGTTAGGAGGACACTAGCTTCGCGGAAAGAGAGAAACGCACCAGTATTGGGGCTGTCCGTTGACCCGTCCTGGGTCGACGGGGTGACTGTCCCTACGAAGGACATGTTGTAGACAATGCTGAGAGAGCCGTTCCCGTTCTGCTTACTGACTTGAACCCGAAGCGATTCGGCAAATGCTGAGTTCAAAAGGGTGAAAACGTTGGTATATTGGCCGGCAGCGTCGTTGTTCACGGTATAGTTGCAATGGGAAGCAGAATTGCTGTACAGAAGAACCGCGGATGCCTTCTCTTGCGCTGTAAGAAGATTTGATACCGTTGCACTGGCATCCAAATTGCCTGGGTACAGAGACGTGTCACAGCTGACAAAGGCAATATCACCTGTATTCAAACTGAGCGAGTTGTATGCGCCAACATCCACAGGATTCCCAGTGACATTGAACCTCTATGATATCATTAGTCCCATGTGACTTCTATCTCCGAAGATATATCTCACCTGAAGGTCAGTACCGTTTAAATTGATCAAATGTTGGGTCAGAGGTGCGACAATAGCGTGCGACGGAACGGTGTATTGATCGCTCTGCAAATGGAACCTCTTCTGGTTGGTGAACGACAGATCTGCAGAGCTATTCGACGGCAATACGGTACAGCCAGCCGAAGACCCTGTCGCTCGAACGGTGGAGGAGAGAGCAAGGAAGATAATAAACAGAAAAAGGACGAAGAGAAAGAGAAAAAGGAAGAAGGAAACACAGAGGGTATTTGTCTGGGCTCCATTATTGAAAAGGATCAGCCCGGATCGATGGGGGATTTCCCCACGGTGACGAGGCTTACGGAAACAGCGGAGGGCAGTCAACTATGGGGGTGCACAGAATATCATTAGTCACGGATCCTGTACTCCGTGCAGTAATCCACAACGCGAAAAGCACCCGAAAAAAAGAGGGCCAGATAAAAAAGGAAAAAGGAGAAAAGAAATAAGAGGAAAACAGGAAGGTAAAACGACTATCAATGATGGAACAGCCTCTTTCCACGGCGGGGTTGATCCCTTACCAACGGCGACTACAAATTCTAATGCAGGCGACCGAAGGGATAGCCGAATTATTTCAAATAAATAATGCACGACCATTCGACATAGAAAAGGGTGGTAATGGCGGGGCGGGAAGGATTGGATTGAATATGGGAAATAAGAAGCCGAGAAAATCAGAAAAGGTAAAAAGGAAGGGAGCAATTGGGGAAGAAGAGCGCTTGAAACCCGACGCTGTAGCGACAACGGGGCGGATCTGACTATCTAACACCTCCCAGTACCAGTCTTCAGTTTCACTTTCAAGCATCAATCAGCTTGTCAATGGGGCACAACAGGAGTGGGCCCTCACAAGTGATTGACAGCCAGCGGTTGACTAGCGTGAGATGTGCAGGTCAAACACTTAGGTACTTATTTGATGATTTATGTCTTGTGCTGGCCAAAATGTGACGATGCTGATGGACAGCAACTGTCGATCAGCGAGTATTCCCAGCCTTTCCGGCACGATCGGAAAAGGATCCCCCTCTAGGGTTTTAAGTGTGAGATGAGAGGGGGCTATGCATCCATCCTTGGCTCTGTTGCGAGGGTCCCAAAAGTAGGCCAGACCATAAGATGGTCGCAGCTATGAAATAATGGATAGATTGAGGATGGCAGTAAGGATCCAGGAGGATATTGAAGGAAGGTTGAAGAGTGCTAATATTATACAGGAGCAGAAGGACGCTAACTATTGTAGGTACAGTATCCGACCCTTCATAATGACTTTTTGAGGCCAGGATTGAATGAGTTACAAGATTTCGTTAGGTACCGAATATTATTCTGACAGTACTTCCAAATCCTGGGGGAGACAAAGAAGGACAAGACCAGCCATCGAAGCTAAGATAAAAGGATCATCCTCAGCATCGCATGCGATCTTATCCAGCCGTCTTTCTAGGGGCTGTGCTCCCAATAGATCCGATGGATAATGCACAGCGATGCTTTTTGACTTCTCAGCCACTCTTGAGGATATTGTCGTTCCTCGGCAGGATTCTACTGTTCAACAATCTAGCCACGACTACCTAGTACGCAGAGTACTTGGATGCTCTCGCATCCAAACACGAAAAAGGCAGGTGTCCTGGCTGTCTTCTGAATCCAATCATTTCGATGATCTCTCCGGTGCGGGGCTTGCTAATGTCGATCCATGGGATGACGGGACCGCGCTGGCGTAGGCGCAGGAAAGATGAATCATTATTGCAGTTGATGATGATCTTATTAGACTTCATCCTTCAGGTTCCAAGGTAAATTACCTATCTAGCATCGCCCTTTTGATTTCCCAATAAGGGCGAAGAAGATATTCCGATACTCCGCCGAGATGGCAATTAATGCCAGTCGTTGTGGTCAGTCGACTGCTAACTGGCGAGCCAAGTCGGCATATTGTACTGGTAGCAGCAAGTCGGCAAGATGATGAAAAGCATCTGATCATCAGCAGCCATGGAATCATTGCATCATCGCTGGATATAACTCGGCTCTGGATTTGCTGGCCATTGAAGAAGAGTAGATCTCAACCATGGAGACTGTTCTCCGTCACATGGATTTAATTAATAATTACATTGTCATTAACATTGACGATTGACGTTGAAGCAAACCACATGATGCTTATTGTTGACCATCCCATAATTCCACCTTCATTCTCCTTTACTTAAACCGTTTTCTCAGCTTGCTTTTACACTTAACTCAATGCAGCGCATTCGAAGAGTTTCTTGCAAAGATCTCGGTCATGCTGATATCATCAGTACATACGGTCGATGGATCATCATGCTTCTACCTCGCAAATCTCCGGTGATTCTCCGACTATCCATGGTCGTCTCCGGAATCGGACCAAGTACTTGACCAATCCTTATCATATCGTTCTGCACTACTTATCGTAGAAGTAGGCTGGAGGTAGCTTCGTAATCATATTCGGTCGAGAAGAGTCCTAGGCCGCTTATGTCATAGGCTATCAGCATCACCTCTGCCTAATGTTATCTGTTGATGTTGCACTTAGCTGTGTAAACTTGCTGTCGGATAGCCATCACCGAGATACCGACTCTGTTTGCGCGCCCGGTGAGGATTGTCCGGCCTCCAGCGGGCTCAAGCGCCTTACCGCTGGTAGCGAAGAGACTGAAATGACTCAAACTCTCGAATAGAGCACTTCGTCTCCGTAGTAATGATGCTATGGACACGCTAAATCCGAACTGGACTTATATGGACCTACTGGGCTTACTACCTTATCGACCATGTTATTTGAGTCCATCTTTCGCATACATATATGTTACGCTTCGCTCCAGAATCTATTCTCCATTCTTACAACGTCAGGGACAATGAGACCGTCAATATGCGATCAGGTCCAACTTCATCATGATGTGCCTGAAAACAATGGCAGCAATGACAAATATCCCACCGTCTCAAATGCCATGGATTACACTGCATCTTGAATGAATTTCCTGGCCCCTAGGACCTAGACTAATGCGGCTAGTCCAGACTTCCGACTCCAGGCTTCGTATTCTTCTCCTGATGGAGTCCCAGTATGTTTCCTTGGCTGCACTAAGAAGGGAATGCTATCTCGACTTACGAGCTTGGTTACTCATGTCCTGGACTGTGTATGCAGTGTGATTGCGACGCATGCAGTACCGACCTGAGATACCTACACCTGACGCTAGACAAACTCATAGACGGGTGCCTCAGGATATTTTGAGCTTGGTCGACAGAGATTGCGAATGCACACCCAGAAAGCTGAGCGCGGTGAACGAAATTGCGGTGTGTTGGTATAGCTTCTTAGCGAAAGACATTGGTGTCTCAATCTATAGCTCATGCAGACGACAGGACTGCTGAGCGACTTGACCAATGGAAAGATCTCGGGATAGCAGCGATCGACACACTCGTCTTCATCTTGGCGAGACTAGGCAGATAAATCGATCTTGAAAGCAAGTTTCCAAAGCCACCATGCATGTCCATGCATATGGCAAATGAAGCATCTGCATAGAGTTGACATGTCTGGCAGTCACTATCAGGGGAAGATATTGGATCCATGTATCCAATGCGAGAGCCTAGACTAGGTAAGGTACTAGGGCGCGGTTGATTTTGATTTGGGATCTTGAGATGGAACAATCTATAATTCAGATGTCTTGCGCAAACTCACGTCGATAGTAAGTAATCCTGTATATTCGGGGATTCCAATCCTATGCCCCAGAATGATACATTTGATGATTTGACCCGCAAACTCCTGGCGGTTCTATCCGATCAACATGCTAAGAAGCAGATAGCCCTGTGGCTCCACTGCAGTCATTGGTGATTGGTGGAACGAGACGGATCGCATCTCTTTGACGGCAACACTTGGTCCGTGTGCTCCAAACCTGAAAAAGAAAAGAGTGAAGCACAATGATCTGGATGGCCAGTCGCGCCGTCTGGGATTATGCGTGGCAACAGAAAGCAGACGTCTGAAGTGACAAGAGCCTCCGTCTGGTGGGCTTACGAGCCATCGTCTGTGGGTGCTTGATGCGCCAAGGTCGCTATCAAACTTAAATCCAAGCACAATGCCATCCTCTCAATTCTGTTGAACAGATCAATGGTTGCATTGGTTGGCCCATGGAGGTGTCATTGCACATTCCTGTTGATCCGCGGGGATTGCGTACAGATTCTGAGGAAGCGCAGCAGGAATGTGGCAGACGGATGACTACCTGAGCACCTAGTACCTACAACCCAGATACCGACCGTGGAAAACCGGATGAGATCTGACTCGGGGATGTCCAAGCGACAATGCACATCGAACAAAGAAGTAACTGTGGCTCACGGGGTTCGATGGATTGGGCCATCTGACAGTGACCGGCAGTAAGACTGTCTTTGACCTACCTTAGGCTTGGTCTGTCTTGATGAGCGATAGCCCTAATTGAATGAGCCATTTCTTGCAGCCCTGATTTGGCTGGTGACAGTGTCAGATGCCAGACAGTAGATAGATAGACCTTTCGGTGCCAAACTCTAAAGGAAATTCTGGTATGCCAATCATTCCAAGAATGGAGCTAGAAGATAGGGGTAAAGAAGGAGAAGTCAAAACATGTCCATCTAACTTGACCAAAGAGGAAGTGGCAGTACATATCTGGATGTTTCTTTGACATTCTGAAATAACGGAGGGGCATTGTGAGTATTTTTCTCCGCGGACTCTCTGACGACGAAAACAAACCCTTATATATACGTAGTTATAGATGTAGTCTAACAGCGACATCAAAAATCGATCACTTCATGGTTACCTAGTATCCAGAACGGAAAGTTCGTCAGGATCGATACCAACGACCAGGATACCTCTGCTGTAAAAGATGACACCGGATGAGGCAGCACCAGCCATGACCCATCACAACACACTGAAAGACCAAATTTAGCAGCGGCGCGTCCCATAGGCTAAGAAGGCCTGGATTAACTTATCCGCTGCCTGTCCCCGCTTCTATTCGAGGCCTCGACCATCCACACGCCCATTGCCCGTGTCAGCAGCTCCCTTGATTGGCTGATGGTGGTCCAGAGGCGTGGAGGTTCCCTGCTGAGAGCCTGAGGAGGTGGATTTCTCTGTTTGGCCTAGAGTCGAGGCCTTGAATCGACCCAGAGGATGGCTTATCCTCCTTGTGGCCGTAGGTTCAGTACCTTAATACTCCCATAGGCATAATTGTTATTGTTGCTTGCATTAAAGTGATCTTGAAAGGAAGTTTCACTTGAACAGAAAAAGGAATTAGGCGGGCAAAAGCAAAAAAGAAAAGAAAAGGAAAAATAAGAGGAAAAAGGAACTAAAATTCAAAACTTCATGTCTCGTACTCTTAGGTACTCTTTTCTTGGTGATGCTGTATTTTCTCTCCATTATTATTCCCTCTTTCTCTCTCCTCTTTTCCCTTTTCCCTTTTCTACCTACTGAGTGACTACTTACGGAGTACCTATTTACCTATCAGTCCCCTCCTTGTCCGACCTTTTGACCCCAGCAACTTAGGAAGAGAGGTCTCAATCATCTGCTTGGCGGGTCGTTCCGTTGCAAAAAAGTGCACAACATGCGATTGCCATAGATAATCAAGATTCTTACTGGTGATCCTCAACCATCATAATCATAGTACCTTAGGCAACCCCGACAAACCACCATAATATAGCAGAACGTTCCGGAACAAGACTTACAGAGTCATAAACCCCAAGCCGTTTGATGGCTCGGCGACAGAACAGTTGACAACGCATTCACTTGATTGATTCTTTGGCTTCTGACATGAACACTTCGCTCTCCTCGACGAGACCGTCCCCTCGTCTTCCTTTTCGGACATCCAACAGCTCGGAGTCGCCATCTCAATCCGGTGATTCTGCATCAGTATGACATCTCTAGCTGTTTCGTCCGTTTCTGAGGCTTCCCAGTCTCCTCAAAACAATCAAATGGCTATCAATCTGTGGGAGAAACGATTTGAGAAGAGACATTTTTCTTCGTAAGTTTCCTCACATCCCTCCTTCACATGTTGGACACCACGTCGGCTGGACGGTTGTCATCATCATCATATCGCCTTGCAACATTCCAGAGCCGAATTTCTAATCCACTGGCCCTCAGGGACCCCGTAATTGCAAAACTCGACATTGAATGCAATGAATTGGCTCAGACCTGGAAAAAATTCCACGAACATCTGCCGCAGCAAGATCAGGTCGGCTTCGACGAATGCCTTCAAGAGTTCCGCGATGTCTCGGCCATGATAGGCAATGTGCAGAATGTCTGGATGTCTACCCCACGCCAGCACGTGTTTAACCGTTCCATGGCACTCTGTGATCAGTTCATCTCGTCTGTCCATCTGCATTTAGTGCTGCTGTCGGCCCTTCCTAGAAACGAAGCTTACATTGCTCTATTCCACGGTGTCTTGCAGTCAGTCATCAAAGTAAGGTTTTTGTACCAAACTTTCTCGTTTCTTTGAGTAAGAGTGACTGATCAACGGGATGCAATAGGCTTCTGCCGATTACCCCAGAGTCATTGAAGGTCTTCTCGCAATCCTGCTTCAGATCAATGATTTCGTTCGCCTTCCAGTGGGAGACCATGATCTCTCATCGAACAGAGACCTGGTCCTATCTATTGCAAACTTCTACGCTCTCATCTTCCTCTTGCTCGGAGAGTTTATGGATTGGTACATCAGAAAGGCCAAGTGTCGGTTGCTGAACAGTCCTAGTCTGGACCCTTATCTGGATTTCGAGCATTTGCTACGCAGTATTCGACAGTGTGCCAAAGATATCAGCCGCATGCTCACCGACGAGATGGATCTTGATACGGTGGACGGCGTGGGGGAAAACAGCATATTTCAATTACCCGATCTGTTCTTGTGGGAACAGGCTCGACTGAAGCAGATCGGCTTGCAAAAATCGGATCGTCGGTTCGCCGCACAGAACGCTCTCACTCGTCAGTTGATTTGGGAAATCCAGCATGATGCGTCCGCGCGTGCCCAAATGGCTGCCAAGAGAGATGTCCTGCTCTCACAGTTGCTGGACTGTGCCAGTCAAAGTCTCCGCCCGGTCAGCCAACAACACAGTAGTATTACATGCTGGACGACGGTTGCGACGCGCGACTTGGGTATGTATCATTGCTGAAACTTTCTTAGATAAAGCTAATATATTTTTATTGAAGACGATTCACGATTTAATTGGTCTCGCGGCCCGAAACGCAAGTACACCCGAACCGATCTTCAGTTCTCTTCCCGGCATCTCCAGGACTTCTTCAAAGCTAGCGACCAAGTGGCCGACTTCGAATCTGGCGTGGATGTTATCGCTGAAGATAGTGTGCTACAATCCTTACAACAGTGGGCGACAAACACTCATTCGCAGATGCTCGCTGTGGGCGGATCTCCACCCACCACCTTTCCCAACACCGTTGCCCTTTTCTCTGCTTGTTTCGCCACTTTTGCTCGACAGGCACGACTTCCGGTCATTTCCCACTTTTGCTCCCTCCCGACTCAGTCTACAGATGGTTTGACTTTGTTCCAACAAGGTCTTATTGCCCTCGCTTACAGTCTGATACGGCAACTAATCGATTACCTCCCCCGGTTGTGGAGAGCCACGAGGCCTGTGATTTGTGCGTGGAGCGTTTTACATGCTTGAATGGCACCTTTGGCTCGTGGAAAACGGTCCTCTCGCTTATCGATGCGCTTTTGCACTATGCACCACCACTGCTGGTCTGCGTGATTGATGGTCTCGATAAGCTTCAAGACGAATCCACCGATGCCTATATCCGGGATCTGGTTCGGACCTTGATGATCCATACCAGACATCGGGTGGACGATACGGCAGACGGTTCTTGGAACCAAAAGGTGCTCCTCAAGGTTCTCTTTACCGTAGCTGATCGGCCCAGTTCCCTAGTGGAAACGATGTCAGAGAATCAACTCATACTGAGCGAGCCAAAGGGAGCAGACGAGCGGATCCCGACAGATGCCACTCCAGCCTCGGGCGTCGGAGTGGTCATGATGAATGCATGAACGCGACGCATATTGATGAGATGACGTTTAATCTGATGGATAGCATTTTCTTCTTCTGGTTCTCCGTTCAGGTGCAAATTCGGGTCGTCAGCATAGACTTTTGCCCAGGCTGGGTTTGGTTTGGCCATGATATTAGCGACGCTCATGCCGGTACGGCAGCTTTCTTCTCTTGTGTATTGATTCCTAGTGATGTCTTCGTCGCTTCTCTTTCATAGTAACTCTCGGGGGGTGGGGGTAATGTCTCAATTTTCAAGTTGCTGTCTCAAATTTTGCGATATGGGAAAGGACGTGATTTGGCACGGTGGCATCGCAATGTTGAACTCATACCCTGCTGTGAATCTCGTTTCTCGGGTTAGGCATCTGCAAAGTCCCTGTACATCTGTAATAATATGGTTCATGAAGAATTAGGAGCTCATGAGGATGTACGTCCAGTGGTGAATGTCGGAAATTGGTTTCCATGTAGAACCATCCACCGTGCATCGAATTGAGCCTAAATGGATGATATTGACATGTATTTGATTAGACGACTAGCGAATGAGGCGAACCTTACTCAGGAGTATATGATCAACATGCAAGGTAAGATGCGGAGGTCGAATTCCGCCTGATTCATGTTCATCAGTATACGCACCAGAGCACATCGTGAGAGTCGTCATCATCTGTGGAGTCCCAGCTCCATCTGTTCCCCGCAGTTCTTCTGCATCATGATTCGATCCTCGGAATTCAGAACGGAGACAGAGATTATTTAAACAGTTCGACAACGTCGCGCAGTGCTGTGCACTCGGACTACCTGTCGAGACATTGCCACAACACTTCAGGATGAACGGAAATCATTCAGCCATCAGTCGACTCTTCGACACGACTCCCCGAATCGAAGACTTCAAAGAGATATGCAGCCAGACCACCGACAAAGCCTCTTACCCTTTATCCTCAAGCGTTGAGAAGAACATCCCCATCTACGATGTAACCACTCTTGACCACCTCAACGGGGAACTCACCACCAATCTCCAAAACGAATGGCACCACGCCCTCAACGCCGGCCCCGGCATCGTCGTGCTTAAAGGCATGTACCACCCAACCCGCCACGGCCCAACCCTAACAGCTACCACCGAGGCCTTCACCCGCATCATCGCCCAAGAGCGCCTGACCGCAACAAAGAAAGGCGACCACTTCGCCGCCGGCGGCAAAAACGACCGCATCTGGAACTCCTTCAGCAAGCACGCCGTCCTCGACCCCGGCTCTTTTGTAGCCTACTACTCCAACCCCTGGCTGCGCCTCATCGCCGAGTCCTGGCTCGGCCCAGCCTACCGCATCACAGCCCAAGTCAACATCGTCAACCCCGGCGGCGCCGCCCAGGAATCCCACCGCGACTACCACCTCGGCTTCCAGGACGCCGCCGCCACCGCCCGCTTCCCGCGCACCCTGCACCTCGCCTCGCAGTATCTCACGCTGCAGGGGGCCGTCGCGCACAGCGACATGCCGGCGCGCAGTGGGCCCACTCGCTTCCTCCCCTTCAGCCAGTGCTTTGAGCCGGGTACCTCGCGTGGCGGGGGGAGGAGTTCCGGGCGTATTTCCGGGAGAACTACGTCGCGCTGCCGCTGGAGCTGGGGGACGGGGTGTTTTTCAACCCGGCGGTGTTCCATGCGGCGGGGCGAATGAGATGGCTCCCGAGGAAGGGCGGCCGGGCGGGGGTTTCCAGCGTAAGGCGAACCTGTTGCAGATTAGTTGTGCGTTTGGGAAGACGATGGAGAGCATTGATACGGTGCCGATTGTGGAGAGGTGTTGGCGGGATATGGTGCGGCGGTGGGAGGCGGCGGGGGACGGCTGGATGCGGAGCTTGAGGCCCTGGTGATGGCTGTTGCGGATGGGTATCCGTTTCCCACGAATCTGGATAGGAGGCCGCCGGCTCCGAGTGGGATGGCGCCGGAGAGTGAGCAGGAGATTGTCCTGAGAGGGTTGAAGGAGGGGTGGGGGTGGACAGGGTGGTGGAGGAGTTGAAGCAGATGAAGAGGGATTCCAGTGCTTGATCTGTTGCTGGTAGATAACCTAGAAGTACTGTCAATGGAACGACCTATGAGGCAATGGCCACTTGGAAGGGTTCTCGGGTCTGAGGGGATGTACGTTTGATCATACAAGAGCATATTGGAAATCTAGTAGTAGCATGATCATCAGCCTTTGATATTCTTCTTTTGTTTCATATGCAATTATTGACATTGATGACTTGATTCGTAAGAGACCATGACATCAAAGTAAATTGCTATTCCTAATAACAAAAGAAACCAGCGGTAAGTACATATTCTGTCCAACCTTGAAGCTGACTGATCGACTCATGCTTCTCCAAAGCGACACTTTTCATCAAGTCATCCACCGCGTTGTATGCACCTCGACCAGCACAAGCATGTGTATCAGCAGGATATCTCGCAATGTGAAACAAACGAAGGAAGAGCAACTATTTGAACACACTTCATGTCAGTTAAAGCATACTCCAAGACTCATGCATAGCTCACCTCCTGAAGACACCGTTCGAACTTCTCACACCTAATCAAGACCAGCAGGATGCTCGAAGACCACGCGAGGCCGACGACCGGTGTCTCCACGAAAGAGCTTTTTGCCTCTCACCCCTTCGAGCAAGGTCCTGTCATCCGGGTTCCGCAGGATCCTGTCTGGATCGCCAACGAAGCGCAGGGTACTGAGATTCTGAAGAGCCAATATGTGGTGGAATCCCCAAAGAATATCCAAAATAAGCTCATTGGGAAGAACAGGACGAGCAATGCTGATGAACTTTTCTCCGAACTCAAGTCTCTCCTCGCTGACGAACAGGATGATCTCCAGGATATCGACGTGCTTCATGAACCGGAGAAACACAGACACCCATTTCAGAGTAGGTCTCTCCTCAATGGTACAAGGGTAGTTAAGAGGTGGGAGCTCGAACGACAGCCGACGGACAAACTGCTCTCGACGCGGGCCAATATTGCATAGAAAGCTGGTGGGCAAGCCCAGCCGTCCGTTCTTGGGAAAGCAGAAGAATGTCTCAGAGTAGAAGAGGGGCATCGCTTCTTTGTATACGTCTTTGCTGACGCTGAGGATGGCCAGGAATTCTTGAGGCGTGTAGCGATACTCGTGGAGACGATGCTGGTCTTCTTGGGAGCGGTATTCGTTTGGAGCTCCTCTGTAGACGGAGGCATGGGGTTTGGCTGGATGGACGTACACCTCAAAGGCTTTGCAGGGGGGAACATCTGTGTTTTCACTGAGCCTGAATTCACTGACTCTGGTTCTCGCGTGGGGATAGATGAAGAACACGCGCCGGTAGATCTCAAGACGCAGTTCACATGGGATCCGAAAGAGGATAGAAGTAGTTGAGTCTGCCATTTTGATGACTTCCACAACTTGATCTTTGATTGATGCAGTTCAGTCAAAGGAGAGAGGGTTTAGAGAGGAATCATGGGAAGTTCTGAAGGTTATATAGGTAATGATATAATAAGTGACGTTGATTCACTTGCAACTGTTTATCGCTGTTTTCCGTTAAAATATAGAAGCATTCACCTTTCTCTTATTACGCGAGAAACAGGAAACAAGGAAAAGAGAGAAGAATCTGCCTTTCCCTAGTTTCATTCGCTATTCTCACCTCCTCCGGTGTTTCCCACTTTTGAAGAATGACATGATAATCAATTCACCTATCTACTGTTTTTAGTCGATACTGCTTCTGAGTCCATTGCAAGGCACTTACTGTCTTCAATTTCGGCCTTTCATCCTTTGTCCTTGGAGCTAGATCTCTTTTGGTTTCGAGTCAGACATACCTAGACTCATACCGTCGTTTGCAAGTCGCTTATTTGTGTCTCTGGAAGTCTTCAAAGCGACGCCGAGCTAACTATCGGTGATATATTAGCCTTGGACATCAAATCCAGTGATGAACCAGCTCTTGCTCAGTCACCGAGAGCTATAGCAAATCGATGAACCCATCATCACTTCGAAGCAAATGACTCTACCAGGGTCTACATCAGCGCGGTCTATCCCATCACCACATTGGATGAGCTCCCGCGCGCCTCGATACAACAAAACCATGACTCTTCTAGCCTGGCAATGAACCTACTCATGCACGTTCACAACTCTGCCCAGACCGAAATGGGAATATGCTTATGCTTAATTAAACAGGGTCTGGTGCCCAATCGGCTCCGTGAATGTTGAAGTTAAGCGCTGTCACCTGTCAAGGCAGAATCGAGGCAGGGTTTATTGTGCTAATGGAGTAGTTTTGGATTCTCTATTGACGAGGGGACATGATCTCCCAGAATAAGGTACGAGACCAATCGGCTCAATTACAGTCAGGCTTAAGCGCTGCAATGCCACAGCGGGAATAACGGGAGAAAGCAGGGTCTGCCGCTCTATGTTTATACTCGGATGGCTATTGAAATATAGTACGCATTTGAAAACATAAATAGGCGTACGTCCACCCCGAATTCATGTTATCAAGCTCAAACTCCAAGTCATCACCATCAACATGCAAATCTCCAGTCTCATCTCTCTTACCCTTCTTTCTACCCTTGCCTCCGGCGCAGTCATCCATTCCGATTTCGCGAAGAGCCAGTCCGTCGACTGCCAGAAGCTCCAGGTTGCTCTCAGCGAGGCCGGTGCATACTATCGAGGTAGACTGAGCGGGTACTATGGGCAAGCCTATGTATGTATGCCCATTGAGAAAGTATGAGAAAGCAGTTACTGACTTCATTTGCAAATGAAGATCACCTTTGCCAATAATCTTCATGCACTTGAGAATCTAGGCAGTAGGACGATACGTCAATGCTATGATATGTCGTCTTCCTAGGTTATTGGTGTTCTGACATGAGTGTGTTTACCATACTGTTATATTTGTCCATATACTCTGCATGTACATATAAATAGCCGTCATATGTTTGACACCGAGGCTGTTAAGGCTAATTCAGACCGGCAATTGACCCTGCGGTCTCAAGGTTTCTGAAAACTACTCCTATCATACCCAACTTGTCCCCCAACCGTTCATACCCCCTATCTACATGCTCGATTCCTTGAATGATTGTGACGCCCTCTGCAGATATCGCAGCAATCACCAGAGAAGCTCCTGCCCGGAGATCTGTCGCTGTCACGGTACTTGCAACGAGTCTTTCAACGCCGTGGATTACGGCATTCTGCGCTACAAGCTGTACCTTCGCCCCATGGCCAGTAGACCCGCTACATGGTTGAAGCGTCGCTCAAAGACTGTTTCGTGTATTCGGCTGACGCCCTGCGAGACGGAGAGTAATGTCATGAGCTGCGGTTGGAGATCGGTAGAAAGAGCCGGGTACGGTCCCGTTGTGATATCTATGGCCTTGGGGTTGCTGGCTTTGATTATGATGATGATGGCTGGTGTCTCGAGGGTGATATGAGCCCCAACCGCGCGGAGTTTCTCAATCAGTACGGTCTGGTGCTCTTCGCGGCACCCGTGGACGCGAAGCGGGTTACCCGCCATAGCTCCAAGAATGAGAAATGTCCCGCCTTCGATACGGTCGTCCATCACTTGGTAGCTGTACGGACGGAGCGCGATATCCCTTCCATAGATCGCTAGATGCTCTGTCCCCACGCCGTGGATGACCGTCCCCATGCTGATGAGACAGCGGCACAGATCCACCACCTCGGGCTCTCGCGCGGCGTTGCGGATGTGCGTGACGCCTCTGGCTCGACATGCGGCCAGCATCAGGTTCATGGTCCCAGTGACGGTGGGTGTACGCAGCTGGAGAACTGTGCCTTGCAGCCCGGTACGCGGGACTCGAGCATCAATCGCCCTCTGCGTGAGGGTGATGCATGCGCCGAGTTTCTCAAGGCCGCTGATATGTTCGTCGATTGGACGTTTGCCGATCGTGCAACCGCCTGGGAGTGCGATCTTTGCGTGCCCGAAACGAGCCAAAAGGGGTCCCAGAGCGAGGATTGACGCCCGGAGTGGCCGTGTCAAGCTGGCGGGTAACTCCCGATTTTCCATATGCGTCGTGTCAATCCGCAGGGAGTTTGACCTCCAGGTGACGGTTCCGCCGAGATACCGGAGGATGCTAGCGAGATTCTCGATGTCCGTCAGGACGGGGGCTCTTCCCAGCGTGCTTTCCCCCAAGGCGAGGATTGACGCTGCCATGATGGGCAGTCCTGCGTTCTTGGAACCGGAGATGTAGACATCGCCGACAACGTCACGGCCGCCTTCAATGCTGATGAGATTATGCGCCATTCCTGAATCTTGCAAGGAATATTTTCGTGTCGCTGATTCGCCTTTTAAATCCGACCAGGCGGTGAGGTCCTGCAGCTGTCGTGCAGACTGCAATGCAGAGTCCTCACATGGCGGTCCAATAGCAATGGGCTACTGTCATCAATCTTCAGCTGAAGGTGGTTCAAGCCACTTAAGGGATCAACATCAGCTCATCCCTTTTTGTGAACCATTATCTTGACATGGTCCTGCCTACCGGGACATCGCCTAGACCATTTCGGCACAATGGACAGATGGAGGAATATGTTGATCTGCTCCCCTACAACACATTTCACATTGCATCGACAGCTCGATACTTTGTTCGTGTGCAGCATCCGGATCAGCTAGAGGCATTGGTGCACTCGCCCATATTTCAGACTCGACCCCATTTCGTCCTGGGTGGTGGTAGTAATATTCTATTCGCCAATGATACGTACGAGGGCATCGTGCTGAAAAACGAAACCAGCGGGATAGAAATTGTCTATCAGGATGAGGAGCACACAACGCTTCGCGTTGGTGGCGGGGTCGCTTGGGCAGCACTGGTCTCATACTGCCTCGACCATGACCTTGGGGGACTTGAAAATCTGGCCCTTATCCCAGGCACGGTTGGCGCAGCACCGATACAGAATATCGGGGCGTACGGTGTGGAACTCAGCGATGTGCTGGAAAGTCTGTGCGCAATCGACTTGATTACTGGAGCCAGACGACAGATGTCCAATGCGGAGTGCCAGTTCAGCTATAGGGACAGCGTGTTTAAACATACTTTACAATATGTCTTCATTGCAAGTGTTACGTTAAGACTCACCAATCCTGGCAACCATCGACTGAACACGACATATGGCCCAATTCGACGCATTCTGGAAAACCGGGGAGTGCAAGTCCCCACGATCCAGTCAGTTGCAGAAGCTGTGTGTCTGCTACGCAGGAGCAAGTTGCCTGATCCAGAGTTGCTCGGCAATGCGGGCAGTTTCTTCAAGAACGCAGTCGTCGACCAGCTTGCGTACGACGCTCTGCAGGCGGTTCACCCTACCATCCCTGTCTTTTTGAGGGCAAATGGCTCGAAAGTGATCCCAGCAGCTTGGCTAATTGAGAGATGCGGCTGGAAGGGAAAGAGAATCGGCCGCGTGGGAGTGTATGACCAGCATGCTCTCGTCCTAGTGAACTACGGCAGCGCGAATGGCTTTGATGTCCTGGAATTTGCCAGTCGAATTCGGGAGGATGTGATGGGCCGATTCGGCATTTGGCTTGAGTTTGAAGTAAGGATCGTCACATAAGTTGCGATGAGCAAGAAATCAGTTGGCCCAGACGGAAGTATGAGACCCATAAGAGTGAATGACAAGGGATCCGTGGTTGCGGGGAAAACGTGACGAAATCCAGACGATCTTGACAGATTACTTGGAATTGTGCATGCAGAATAGAATACCTCTCTATGTGTCCACAGCAGGACAATGGCATATGTGGAGGAGTAAGTATGATGCAATGGCAATTAGAGCGATTGCTCTGTATACGTGCATCAGGATGGATGGATGCGATCTGCTCTATATATCTATCTACATTCAAGGCTTGTACCAAGGCTTCACTGATACACTGACAATTAGACTTGACCGTTAGACTCGACCGTTAGACTATAGAGTGATTCGAATCTACCAGAGTCACGGATCTTCCACAATCCATACCAGTCTAGGCTGAGCAGACTTTTACTAGGACTCAGCTAAGACGAGGATGAAACGGTGGCTTGTCGGGCTTGTCCGTTTGAGACTATTACGATACCAGAATAGTCCCTACTTTAGTCTACCTCAATAAAAATCGACACTGTGGGTGGCACTAAACCCTAGCGGCCAATAGCCACTTGCTTCTATTTGCCCTGCAACGCTGATTGATTGATTAATTTTCCTAATGGTTTATTCTATTTGATTGTAAACAGGCTGCAACTTTTGAGATCTTTCCCACTCATATACGGGTCTAGCTTCTCTTAAGTATGTATGCACCTCTAGTATATCGTCTGTATTAGGATATTCCTGGTCATTGCTGAGGAACCACATTCATGGTAGCAGGAATGTAACCACGCGCAAGAATGCCGGTCTCCTAGAAACGCGTCGACAATCTGACGGTCAAATCGGCTGGAAGTCCCTGGCACCGATGAAAATAGCACGGAGTATGATGTGATGATTGATCCACTGCCTCGACGACGACTGATCGGTGGCGTTCTGTTCCTGGAATGGTGAAACATTGCCCCAATAGAATTTTACTTGTCTCTCTCCCGTGAGCCATTGTCCATGGTTGATGCCTTTAGTGAAATATTTTTATTATTAGACGCTTCCATTCTATGGGTTATTGCCTCAGGCCCCGTTTTCCTTTCCTCCTCATTCCTTTTCTCCATCGAATCTCTCTTCTCCTCGCTCAGTCTGTTTCGTTTCTTTTTCTTCGATCTGATCTTCATCGCATTAGATCATACTGACCTCTCGTTCCCCATCTGGCCACTAACTCCAGTCTGTCTTTCCAATCGCTCAATCGCATTCTCTCTTCTTCTTCTTCTGGTCTTTCTTGCTTCGCTTGGTTCGGCCCACCACTCCACTACGTCCCCGCACGCCGTCGGCCTCTGCTTCTTTCGCTTGTGTACGAGTCTACGTAGTTGGTCAATCCCTTGGAGGCGCGGATTCAGAACGGCCTCGCGCCTAATCAGATTGCTTTCTCTGGATCGACGAGTCGATCTCGGGTTGAGAATAGCTCGCTTGGCTTGTCGCAAAACCCAGGCACTGGTTCGCTGGCCCTTCGCCCCACTCAATTTCCCTTGTCAGGGCTGCAGGTCAGCTTCTAGGCCGTTGCTCGCTTTTCCCTTGGGTTAGTGTCAGACAGTCAAAAGTATAAAAGTCAAGAGGAATCGTGGTCATTGGACCCGTTTTCTCTCCTTCTCCTTCGTTTCGATGTCCGGTCGACCTGGACTCACGGAGAAGCGTTTGTCGGCCCATCGCTTTCAACCGCTTCCTGATTACTCCAATGATACCATAATGGCCAGCCCACACGACGTTACGATTGATATTCCCCTGACCAATGTCCCCAGTCGCACTCCGACGGGGGCGCGGAGGGGGAGTGCGCACACGGCCACTTCTCCGGCGGCCTATCACCCTCCCATTGAAGATGTTCACACCAACACCAGCGAGAAGGCTGGTTTGGTCGCCGGCACTGGTCCTGGCCGTCGCAAGAAAACCGTTGACGTCTCGACGGGCCGTTCGCTCGAGGACCCGGAGGATGGCACCCTCACGCGGATGGGGAGAATTTACCAGGCCATCCTCAACTTCTCTATCGTTACGAGGTACATTATTTATGTCACCCCGATCGCGCTATTGATCGCTATCCCAATTATTGTGGGAGCCACGGCTGCGCAGGATGCGAGAATTGGCGGCGTGACGCTGCCTTGGTTCTTTGCCTGGATTGAGGTTGTCTGGTTGAGTTTGTGGATTTGCAAAATTATCGCTCATTTTCTGCCATACCTGTTTCAGTTCCTCTGTGGGATTGTCAGCCCGGGAACTCGCAAGTATGCTCTCATCCTGCGCGCACTCGAACTGCCCATCGCGACGGTCTTCTGGACCATTGTCTCGTTGGTGACTTTCCTGCCAGTCATGACATATAACCCCGAGAAGAAGCGGACAGGCGATAATTCCACCAAGCCCTGGGAGAAATCCGTCAAGAATATCCTGTTCGCTTTGTTTGTCTGTAGCTTGATTCTGCTGGCGGAGAAATTCCTGGTCCAGCTCATCTCCATCAGCTACCACCGAAAGCAATTCGACTTGAAGATCAAGGAGTCGAAGCGGAACATTGATCTGATCGGTCAGCTTTACGACGCCTCCCGCAACATGTTCCCCATGTACTGCAAGGAGTTTCGCGAGGAGGATATGATCATTTCCGATTCGCTCTTGACTGCAGCCACAGCGAAGGGACCCATCCACTCGCGCTCCAGCTCCTCGATGCCCCTCAAACTGATTCGCAATGTCGGTCATAACGTTGGTCGATTCGGCGACCGAGTTACTGCCGCCTTTGGTGGTGTCGCCCACGAAATCACCGGCAAGGAAGTGTTTAACCCCAGTTCCGTGCGCGGTATTGTAACACAGGCCCTAGAGCGTCGGAAGGCCGCCGAAGCTTTGGCACGCAGAATCTGGATGTCCTTTGTCATTGAGGGCAGGGATGCTCTATACCCCGACGACATCGCCGAGGTCTTGGGAATCGGCAAGGAGATGATCGCTGAGGAATGTTTCCATATGCTCGATCGCGACGGCAACGGTGATATCAGCCTGGACGAGATGGTTCTGGTTGTCGGGGAAATCGGACGCAACCGAAAGGCCCTCAACAACAGCATGTACGATGTCGACCAGGCCATTCACGTGTTGGACAACTTGCTGCTGACTGTGGCCGGTATCATCTCGGTGCTGGTCTTCATTTCGTTTGTGACAAGCGGCTTCGGCACCGTCATCGCGGCCGGCGCCACATCCCTTCTGTCTCTCAGTTTCGTATTCGCGACGACCGCCCAGGAAGTCCTGGGCTCGTGCATCTTCCTGTTCGTCAAGCATCCCTTTGACATTGGTGACCGGGTCGAGATTAGCGAAAAGGACTACATAGTCGAGCGCATTTCGCTGCTGTATACCGTCTTCAAGTCGGTGACGGATCAGCGCGTGACCCAGGTGCCCAACGTTGTCCTCAACACTCTCTGGGTTGACAACTTCACCCGTTCCAACGCCATGCACGAAACACTCAAGATTCCTGTCAGCTTCGACACTACATTCGCCGACATCCAACTTCTCCGCGATGAGATGGAAAGATTCGTCCGTGACAAGGAGAACTACCGGGACTTCCAGCCGGATGTCGACCTTGACGTGGTAGGTGTGGGCGACATGGACAAGCTGGAGCTGACCGTCAGCATCCGCCACAAATCCAACTGGGCTAACGAGTCGATCCGTGCCATGCGTCGCTCCAAATTCATGTGCGCCTTGGTTAGCGCCGTGCGCAAGATTCCCATCCGCGCTCCTGGTGCTGCCGCGGAGGACGCCGCAGGCGACAGCGAGAACAAGGACGACAAGCCCGACAAGCCCGACGCCGACAAGGCAGAGCAGAACAATATCGCGCGGACCGCCTCCGGCCAGCGACGTGCAGCAGCGGCCGGGATGACCGTGGATGCAGCCGCCCAGGAACAGGCTCGATCAACCGGCGTCAGCGCCAGCCAGTCATCCGGCACGCTACAACGCCGCGGCGGCTCTTCATCCACCGACTCGGGCTACTTGGAACGCTCCAACAGTCGCACCCCGAACGAAGTAGACAACTACCAGACCCCTGCCGCCTCGCCCAACCAGAACCGCCAACTCAGCGTCAACTACGGCAATCTCGGCCGTGAACCATCCACCGGCCGCCGCAAGGCAGGCACCAGCACCACCGACCAGCAACCCGCCCAGCCGTCCCCCACCGCAGGCGGAGTCCCCATCATCGCAGAGCCCGTGCCCCTCTTCCTCGCCAGCAGCCTCCGGCAGGCGCTACATCACAGGGGATGCCGTCTGAGTATCCCTCGTATCCCAGCATGTCCAACTACGGAGGTAGTTTCTACGGATCTCATAGCCAGGAGACAGCGTACGATCCGGAGCAGCCGCTCGAGCTCCCGTCGGCGATAGAGCACTCCGACTCTGACTCTTACCGAAGGTTCCCAGGTGGTTCGCCGGGGGTACAACAGCGCTACCCTGACGACCATTCCAGGAATTGGAATCAGTCTCGTCCGCCGTACGGAGGACAATAGTTAAGGTTACTGGAAACAAAACGGATGGCGTTGGTGGTAATTTTGATTCATTTTTTTGTATTGGTATGGAATGGAATGGAATATGGGTGATGATCTGATGCATATAGTGGGCTGTGAAATCTATGCCCAACTAGCCAATCAACAAGTAATTTGAATGTAACGAGAATTCTATTCGCATGATTTAATGTACATCTGACGGTCACCGCCGTCATCAATCTCAGGACACGTCCTGTCTACTACTTAGTCCCGGTCTCCTTCCACGGATACGACACCTGATCATCCTTGCGCACCCAGATCTTCGTCCGCTTCTTGTTAACAACATGCTCGACAAACACCTCCCGCGTATACTGCGCCTTGAACTTGCGAATCCACCGCGGATCCCACAGCTCGCTCGCAATCCCCAGATCCTTGCAGCAGCGCACCAGCGCATTAGACCGACACCCTTCTGTTGCTGTCGGGATCCCATCCGGCGTGAAGTAATCCTGCTCGCCCCGCGCGACAGAAACTAACCTGTACACACCCATTAGCGCCCCCCTATTCATATCTCCCCTTACTTCTAACCTGCCAAAAGCGAAGCAAAAAAAATACATACCGTCCATTACAAACCAAAGCATACTCCCTCGTAACCGTCCGCGGGGTAACAATACTCTCGCTCCGCGGCACAAGCCCCCACCCGCCTGGCCCAAACGCCCGGTTCAGAATCCGCCGGTACTTGATCTCGGGGAGGTACAGGATGCCATCGGGTTTGATCTCGACTTCTTCGGGGTCGACTTCCGCGAGGAGGATATCGGCTGCTTCCTTGGGGAACGGCGCGGCGGAGAGCCCGTGGAAGGAGCGCGTCCAGTCGATTTTTTCTTCGGGGGGTGAGTCGGGCGAGAGAGGGGCGTCGGCGAGGCCGGTTTTGGAGATGTTGGTTGTGGTTTGGTGGCTGGGTGTTGGGGCGAGGATGCGGGCGGTGCGGTCGTCTGTTGTGGATGTGGGTGTAGTAGATAAGGGGGTGGATGGTTTTGCTGGTAAGGTTGGTGTAGACGCGATTGGAGGTTTGGGGCTGTTCGGGTTGCTGGGTTGTTGCTGTTGTTGGTGGTGATGGACTTCTGAGCCGGGGTGGTGGTGATTGATCTGGTGAGGGCGAGGATGTGCTGCGTGGTGGATCGGGAGGTGAATCTAGATGGAATTCTTGTAAGGCTTGTAGACTCTATTAGCCGCAGAGAGCGGCGCATATGCGATGAAGCCATAGTGATGGTGTGGTGAGGATGGTTCGTTGGTTGATCATCTCATGCGGAGAGGAGCTTGACGTCGCGTCTGTATAATGTCACGTGATTTACTTGGTCAACACCTGTAGGTGTTGAATTCGAGGATATCAGCTTGAAAGTGGTGATGTTCAATATGATTACAGTAGTGGCATGATGGCATCTATAGTACAGGCTAAATATCAGGTTGACTCGTTCTGAGCCTAAGCGTCCTTTGTTTGAGTCCGCTGGTCATTGCCCTTGCGCTTCCAGCACTCGCGAAATGCTTCCATCTGCCAGACATACTCATCAGCTTCAATTCGCAGGTCCATTATGTACGAATAGATGAAATCAGAGCTAGATGGGGGATGATGGAGTGCTTGTATTCAGCTGCAGCAGTCTCATCGTGACTCACCTCGTCCTTGCATAGTCTCCAGTCCTTCTTCGTAAAATAGCAGTCGTTCATTTTATCCTGCTCGACTGTTGATCCCCAATTAGCAGCTGTCTATCAACCTATATTCTTGATTGTAAACTCACCTGCGCAACCGGTGCTGAAGATCCGCTTGTCCCTGACCACCGATTAGATGACTCCGCATTAGTCCAGATCTTCAATCTCCGAGAATCAAGTCCAAACAAAAAATCATATCTACCATTCATCAGGTTCATCGTCGTCCACTTCCGGGACCACCGCGGGCTTATCCTCCTTCTTCGACATTTTGTTCAATTGCTCTAACGTGAGCTGTATAAGTCTGTGAGTTGTGTCTGAGAAAGAATTGATCTTGCTCCGTTCGGAGACCGACTCGCCGCATTCGCGACGGCGACAGCGACAATGACCGCAAGCACGCCCAACCTCACTGGCAAGAAGCTCAACGTTCTAGTTTACTCCGGTTCGCTCACCCAATCCGCATGGAGATCAAATAGTCTAATCAGTTCTCCTCCCTCTCCAGGCAATGGCAGCACCGTCGAATCCGTCCGACACTGCCTCTACACCCTCCGCCGCCTCCTCGCCCCGCACTATGCCGTGATCCCCGTGACCGCCGACATGCTCATCAAGGAGCCGTGGACACTAACCTGCGCCTTGCTGGTGATACCCGGAGGAGCGGATCTGGGGTACTGTCGATCCCTCAATGGCGCGGGCAACCGTCGGATCGAGCAGTTTGTCAAGCGCGGCGGCGCATACCTCGGTTTCTGCGCGGGGGTTACTACGGCTCCCAGCGATGCGAGTTCGAGGTCGGCGATAAGACGATGGAGGTGGTCGGGGATCGGGAGCTGGCCTTTTTCCCTGGGATATGCCGCGGCGGTGCGTTTCCGGGATTTGTGTACCACAGCGAGGTGGGCGCGCGCGCGGCCGACCTCAAGGTCTCCAAGGATGTACTCCAAGCCGGTGTGGTGCCGGAGGGGTTCAAGTGCTATTACAACGGCGGTGGTGTCTTTGTCGATGCGCCCTTGTATGCGGATAAGGGCGTGGAGGTTTTGGCCAGCTACACGGAGGAATTGAATGTTGATCCTGGCACCGGTGCGGCTGCTGTCGTCTACCGTAAGGTGGGCGAGGGAGCGGCCATTCTGACCGGACCGCATCCAGAGTACGGTTATTCACGACGTTCAGAGGGCAAGTGACTGACATACTTGAACAGGTTCGCAGCGGTAAACCTGGACAAGAAAGCTGGGGGCGAGGAATATGCCAAGGTGGTGGATGCGCTGGCGGCGGACGATAAAGCTCGCACAGACTTTTTGAAGGCATGTTTGTCCAAGTTGGGTCTGCAGGTCACTCAGAATACCACGACTGTGCCGTCACTTTCGTCGTTGCACCTGTCGTCTCAAAATCCGGCTGATACTTCTCGCATCCGATCGTCGTTGCAAGAGATGATTACCACCGAGGGCGACGAAGAATTCATCAAAGATGAAAACGATACGTTTCGTCTGGACAAATCTGGGACTTGGAGTATGAGTTCATTGGAAGAGTCTCTCCCCCAGTCTGAACAGGGTGCTAGCGAGGGCATTGTTGATTACAACGCAATCATCAAACCTTTGGTGATCCACGACGAGCTTCCACCCTCAAAAGCGACTCCTTACTTCAATCATCATGCATTCTACGCCAATCTCGAGCAGTACCAGTCACAGATGCGGGAAGGTACTGGCTGTTTCGGTTCGACCATCATGTATGGTGAGGTGGTTACTAGTACAAATACGATTCTGGAAAAGTAAGTCTAAGCCGGACATTTTATCTTCAGAGCTGACGGGTACAGGAATCCCAAATTACTCCGTAAACTGCCGCACGGATTCACAGCGACAGCAACCACCCAGGTCGCAGGCCGAGGCCGAGGCTCCAATGTCTGGGTTTCTCCGGCAGGAGCCCTGATCTTTTCGACGGTGTTAAGGCACCCGGTCGACAAGATCCAGTCTGCCCCGGTGGTTTTTATTCAATACCTGGCGGCAATGGCGGTCGTCCGGGGCATCAAGAGCTACGACGTGGGCTTTGAGAACATGCCAGTCAAGCTCAAGTGGCCCAATGACGTTTGTAAGTTCGACTCTCTCATTGAAAATAGGGCTATCTAACGAGTCACAGATGCCTTGGACCCCGAAAACCCGGATAAGAAGCACTATACCAAAATCTGCGGGATCCTCATCAACTCGCTCTTCTCCTCGAACGAATACATCGCCGTCGTGGGAATCGGCATCAACGCCACGAACGCCTCTCCAACCACCTCGCTAAATGCACTAGCCGCTCGCTTTGTCTCCAATAAATCCGCTCCAATCACACTCGAGAAACTCCTGGCCCGGTGCCTCACCACGTTCGAGGAGCTGTACACCCGCTTCCTGCGGACAGGCTTTGACCGGGAGTTTGAGACCATGTACTACGACGACTGGCTGCACATGCACCAGGTTGTCACATTAGAGGAAGAAGGCGGAGCGCGAGCCCGGATCAAGGGTATTACTCGGGATTATGGGTTGCTGCTGGCGGAGGAGTTGGGCTGGGACGATCGGCCTACGGGACGAGTGTGGCAGTTGCAGAGTGACAGCAACAGTTTTGATTTCTTCCGAGGATTGGTCAAGAGGAAGGTATAGTCAGTCGCCGGTTTTGATACAGTATATATACCTCAATAAATTAGGTGATGATCAAGCCAAGAGCAGATCAAGATAAGCCGTGCCAAGGAGGCTTGTTTGTCTTAGACTCTGGGCATTATGGCGACTGTAGCCCGACTGGCAGCACCCGAGGGGCACTCAAGCAGATAGCGGCCTCTTAGTGCAATCACAAGACACTGTGAACTATGAGGGATTAATGCACTGACAACAGACTACAACACACCCAGCTAAAGAAGCTCGAATCTACAATACATCCAACGAATCACCGCCAATTCAGCCCCTGGCGCCATGTCACCTAGAGACGGACCATCAACAAAGCAGAACCGGAACATGTGCCGACTCACCAGGCAGCATGATTCCTACAGAGTAGTCTAATCAGACTCCATCAGAGCTAGAAGACCATCTAACCCTGGGTTAGCGACTCTTCAGGAAATAAAATAAAACGCACCGTCCCGTCCCGCTCATCTCAAGCCCAGTGTCACCTCGCTCACCTCCTCCCTCGTCAGTACTGACCCAAAGTCATATCGCTTAGCATATACACAAACACAACCAGCACACTCTCACTCAACATATTCAACATGTTCAACCACAACCCCTTCAGCTCCGAAAAGGAACAGCGCCAGCAACCCACCTGGGACCCCAACACCCTTGCCATGACACAGCCATCTACCCCTGCGGCACCAACCCAGCTCGTCTCCCAGCAGCTGGTATACCTCATCCATACTCCCCTATCAATTAACACAGTATGAGCTTACGCTTGCCCTGTCGTCTAGCCCGCACAAGAACAAATGAACATGAGACTACGTGGTGGTGGTGAGAAGGAGGATATTTGCTGTGGAGTGTAGGTTTTTTCCTTTCCTTTTCTGTACTGTACTGTGATGAGGTGGTGGAGCTGATGAGTGAAGGTGTGCGGGTCTGGCCTGTTTCGAGTGTTGCGAGTGTTGCTGTTAGTGGATTACCAGGGATATACCGTGTTGATAATGGTTGGATGGTGGATTACATAAACATAATGATGATTGATGCAGCGTTCTCTTGAATGAAGGCTGGCTATGGCTTCTGGGTTTGATATGCTTAGTTGTCATGCAGAACTGGTATCATTGATATTGGCTATGTATATACATAAGCAAATACACTGCGAATCCCACCACAGAAATCGACAAAACCCTAAGAAGCTGGTTATGCCGCCTCACGCAGCCGGACAGTAACATTATCCGCCGGCGCACTGGTCAGATTCAAAGAGTGCCGGATCTCCAGATGCGGCTGCACGTCCTCAATCGCATCGAAGCGCTGCAGTAACCGGACCAGAACGTATCCCGCTTCGGTGAGGGCAAACTGCTGCCCGATACAGATGCGCGGCCCGCCGTTGAACGGGACATAATCCCAGCCCACCTTGCGATCGATCCACCGGCTCGGCTTGAACTCCTCGGCGTCAGGCCCCCAGATATCCTTGCGCCGGTGCAGGATGTGCACGTTGTAGACGACGGGCTGGCCCTTGCGCACGTAGATGGGCTGAGTGCCGTCGCTGCCTCCGCCGCGGGGGAGGGTGGTATCCCTCGTTGCCGAGCGGCGGTTGCCGGGGACCACGGGGAACAGACGCAGGGTCTCGTTCAGACAGTACTGCAGGTATTGGCAGGACTTGAGGGCGGCAAAGGTGATGTTGCGGGATTGGTTGTAAGTCCCGAATTCGTCGACGATGATCTGTCGGAGCTTCTGGAACTCGGCCGGGTGGCGTGCAAGCATCAGCACTGTCCAGCTGAGCAGGGATGCAGTGGTATCACGCCCCGCAAGGAGGATGTTCAGCAGCTGCGAGCGCAGTTCGATCGGGTCTTGAGTCACAGAAACCAGAGCGTGCAGGAAGACGTATTGGGACGATTTGTCCGGGTCCACGAGCTTGCCTTCGCGGGCGGCTTTGAGCGCTTTGTACACAACGCGGTCCACGTATGCGTGCACCTCGTTCTCCGCGTGGCGACACTCCTTGTTGTTGACGATCCAGTACAGTTTCTCGAAGCGAGCCCGTTGTGCCGCGTACCATTGCGACTTGTCAAAATAGTAGGGGAATTTGTCCTCGGGGGTCTGACCACCGTTCAAGGCCGAGAGTTGGCTCTCAACACTCTCGCCAAACAGAAATTCGGTCGCGGAGTCGATGGTGAGACGGAAGAAGATGGACTGGATGTCCACTGCGTCGGTCCACTTCCCGTTGACGACAGGCATCGCCTGCATCGCCTTTTGCACATGCCGTTCTTCCAGGTCAAGATCACTGATCTGATCACGCGTGAACTGAGGACGGAGCAGACCTCTGGCGTGAGACCACTCCTCGCCATCGGAACTGAACTACACCCCAAGTTGTTAGCATGCCTCACAAATTCTGCATATTCATGAGGCAAAACCTACAATGCCAGCCCCCAGAAGGGGGCGTAGAGCTTGCCTTCGCGGAGCGCCCAGCTCAAAGTCCTTGAATTGCGTGGCCAGAATGGCTTGGATGTTCTTCGGATCTGTTGTGAAATAATTTTCACGTCCCATTTGCCTGAACCGGAAGGTCGTAACATATCGGCCCTCGCGGTTGCTCATGAGCGCGACTCGGCGCTCAACCATCGATAGAAGCTTTTTCGCCTTATCTGCTGCCAAAGCCTCTTTGAGAACACTGATACCTAGAGGATCACTAGGATAAAGAGGGATTGAACCACAGCCTAGTCGGCGGGCATTTTGCGCGTGCTGCCATCTCGAAACCAGCGTCCACAGCAGACGGAGGGCAACAGCCACAGCCGCGATCGTCAGAAGCGGCAAACCCATCGTAATAGGAAGTTAAATCGATGAAAGACTGGAGACTCTGGTAGTTCAAATCCCATATTTTCTCTGGGATGGAACCTCGCTGTTTATGAAGTATGCCAGCGGAAACGTGACTTTAGCCGAGGCCCTATAATGGACGCAAGGTGGGGAAAGGGGGCACAAGAACAATGAGGACGACGAACAATGCAACCATCTTCTTCATAGTGACTCTTGTGCTATGTATGCTTGGCAAGATCTTGGATGAGGTCACTGCGCATGGGATTCAAGTCATTGGTGGTTCATCTGGCTCTTGTCTGGCTGTTCTAGTACCACCTGTAGCACCCAGGCTGTACCATCGGGCATATGCGAAGTGACGAGTCATGATCACTCTATCAAATAATTATACCTACCGAGGGAGTGTTCCACTACCTTCATAGGTTTGATTATTGGGTCTGGCATGTGTGGCGATGCCGAATCGAAACATTTGGAACATGACTCGCCAGCTTAATCTCCATGAAGAGCCTAGTTGTGTCGATCACCGTAAATGCCGGTCCTAGCCATCGGTGTATCCGAAACACTGCTGTGTGCGACTACTGTAGAATCTAGATAGATATCAGGCAATACAATTACCTCTATTCGGTTATGGATCCAACGTCCGTCCAGTCATAAAGGATCGTGCGGGTTTCAGGGACGGCTCTTGATGACCAACGACAAGTCCTAAGCTGTTGTGTTACAAGTTGTGCATTCGAGGCGAACAGGACCTGGGGCCAGGAGCTCATGCAAGAAGCAGCACTTCACCATAGGCGTTAGGCAACGGTGATGTCTGATTCGGCCAGCCCGTCATCGCGGCTTTGGCCGAATCAGACATCAGTCTCAGTGAACCAGTTATTTCTGGGTACTTGAAAGGAGTGCCAGTTGACCAGTTCGTTTTGGTCAGCAACTATATTTGAACTGCAATTGACAAATCAAAAAGTCATATTCTCTGCGCTTGAAAATAGGTTAGCATTTGACCGTCGTATTTGCAGCTATCTGCTCGTACAAATTCGACCAGGAATCGAGGTTTACCCTGAGCTATGGAAATCTGGAATGCCCACTGCGGGACCAGAAATGGTCAAAAGGTGGGACGTGGCGGATCAGAACGCCCATTATTGAGTTTAAAACCAACGGCATCTCGCGTGGTCAGTTAATTGCTGGTTTTCAGCTCAAATCTTCCATATTAACAAGGTTCTTCAAGACATCACAGCATGATACGTAATGCCAAAGAACGATTCGACTGTGGATCAACTAAGAACCTCAAAACGTCTCGAGCCTTAAGCGAATTTAGGCTAGCTTGGGACTAAGCCTAAATTGGATAGCTATATATACAAAGCGGTGGTGAACGCAGAAGGCGGTAGATATATTTCCGGCAGTATTGCTCTGTTGGGTCTGATGACCTCAAGCTGCCAGCCCAACTCTTATTACTCTTTTGCCCATGCTTTTGAGATTGCGATCAATCTGAAAACCAAGTGGCTAAACTTCGACTCTTTGTTTCTCTTGGTCAGGTATTGCTTATTGCTTAGCAGTGGATTACCCCTCACCAGCGTTGGTCCCTCCTGCTTCTTGTTCGTGTGCCCAACAACGACACTTGGCGGCGTTGGCGCTTCATAGCTCCCCGTCATACCACCCATCTGCTGGCTCCAATTGTCTCTCTGGAGCCTGGACTGCGCGCGAGCTTTAGTCTTTCTATATATTCCTTTCTCCCAGATATTTAGTTGTTGTTTCTTATAACTGTTTGATACATCCTAACAACATGTGCATCGCATTAATCTCCACAGCTCACCCCTCCTATCCTCTGATCGTTATCGATAACAGGGATGTATGCGAATATCGGCCTCTGAGCACCTTGTTTCCCTATATAAACTAACAGTAATCAGGAATTCCTCCGTCGTCCAACATCCCCCGCCGACTGGTGGCCGGAACCTAGCACCAACGTGCTTGGAGGCAGAGATCTGGCTCGAGCCACACATGGGACATGGATGGGGTTACAAAAGAAGGGAAAATAGCCGTCCTGACCAACTATCGGGAGACTACAGCGGATGAGCCTAGTGGGGTACACAGTCGAGGCCTGATTGTCAACAACTGGCTTACAGCGGACCCTGAGCAAAGGCAATCCACCAGGGATTTCGTACAGGGAATGGTAGCATCGTCCGAGATCAAAAATGTCGGCGGATTCAGCCTGGTTTGTGGTTATGTCAATGAGCCGCTAGCCATCGTATCGAACCGGTCAGCAAATATGGACGAGATCGCTTGGGTTGCCACAGAAAAGGGTCAGACATTGGGACTCAGCAACACGACGTTCGGTGATCGCTCCTGGCCAAAGATCCTCGACGGGGAAAAGCTCATGAAAGAGGCCATCGATGCTCATGTGCAAGCGGGTGAAGACGAAGATCAACTCATCAACCGACTATTTCAAGTCCTGAGCAGGGATACTCTCCCCAGGCTCTCGGGAGACGCCACTCTGGAAACCTACCTCCTCCTGCTGCGACAAAGTATCTTCGTCCCAGTGATTGGAGCACGGTCAGAGAAGCCTAGGGCAGCCGACGAGGTTGCTGCAGCTCGCGATACGGACAGAGTTCCAGTCGAAAGTCAACCGCCGCATGATTCGCTGGACAAGTCATTCTTGCAGGGCGCATACGGAACTCAAAAACAGACCGTGGTGCTCGTAAGTGCGAATGGAAGAGTGAGATATTTCGAGCGTACACTCTATGATAACGATGTAAATGCAATTCCCATCGGCAAAGGCGATAGGTCGTTTGAGTTCCACGTCAGGCGATAATGGAATAGCATGTTCATAGTGTCAAACTTCTTTCCCCAAAAACATCCTACCTCTTCAATGGATCGTACCAGTTGTATCAAATGCTGGCAGAAGGGGCACTTTCACCTGCCTGACTGTCATAGGTAGCTCGCCAGAGTTGTGTTCAATCAGAGACGGTTACCAGGCCATTTACTCCTTGTGCTTTCCCATCTCACGGTATAAGCTACTCTTGTACTGTCTTCAGACAGCCACAAACTGATCAGTAATAATAAGGTAACCCCCTATTTTCCTGCTCGAGACTCCAGTGCATGCTCATTTCCAGAGAGCTCATTAAACGTGCAATCTAAAAGCCGTTAGTTCCCTGATGGCTGACTTCCGGTGGGTCTTGTTAACGTCTCTGTGTCTCACTTCGGCCTTTGGAGGATTCGACTTCCAATTATTTCTATCCATCCGTAATTACGTCCAGTCTTTCCAATCATCTGCTTCTGGCTTGCTAAAGCACATGGCTTGACGTCGGAACCTCAGATATGTTGTTTTAGACAAGCCCTGGTACAAGCTTTCGGTTGCACGATCCGAAACAACCGTTGCTCATGGTGCCTGAACCATCAACAGCCCAGATCCTACCAATGACCCCGAAATAATTTCTCCGCCAACAAGCACATCCCTTGGAGCGCTACGCTGTTTCATATAAAGCAGAGCTCCTCTCATCCTTCGGATTACCCACAACGAACGTACGTAATCAGGCAATCGCATTGGATATATGGCTGATGCCGATGCTGCTATCCGAGTCTGGAACAGTTCCTCGCCGTCTCCTTAATCAAAGTCACTCGGGATCCAATATACGGATCAGGCACCAGTGTAGTTATTCACCGACTAAGCCTTCTGGCCATCGCTGAGCCTGCTTTGTCCCACTTCATGTTGGACGCCGAAGAACTGGGTTGACTGGAATACCGGAGATGAAGAATTAATATTGCGTCTCAAACAATGATCGGTTCCATTCAACTCCTCCTTGACGGCGCCACTACGTTTGCTCAAGTGTCGTTCTAGATTATGCTCATGATACATCATCGAATTCATGGCTCAGGCCCGGAGATTCATGTCGACTTTTCTCTTTTTTCCACTTTCAGAAGTCTCAAAAGATGAGCTGCCAGGGAACCGGCTAGTTGGCTAGCGCCACAGCTAATGGAGAACTCGAAGCTTGGACGGATGCTTGATCCCTCGCAATATGAATTACTATATGATATCGAAGTGACCCACGCTGTGGAGCCATCCCAGAGGCAGAAAAGCTTGCCTCGATATTAAAGCTGTGGAGCTTTGGAAATGAACGAGGATCACTAAACCGCATATTCCGAGATGACGAGCTGTGTATAAGATGAGCACGATGGACCAGTTCTTTGAGGGCCTCTCTCTTCCCTCTGTAACTCAAGACTGGTCTCTTGTCACTCATTAGGCTTTAATTTTCGTCTTTCGTCTTTCTTTTTTTCCCCTTTACTTTACTGCTCTCCGACAAACTCGACATACATTCTTTAAACCATCACAATGAGAATCAGCAAATTGATCATGGCCGCCAGCGCTGCTGGTCTGGTTAGCGCTCTGCCCGTACGCGAGATGGCCAAAAAGCGCTCTTCTGGATTTACCTGTATGTTGAGGCGATACTCCTGCCATGGTATGGTATCTGGATTAGACTAACACTATACGCCTGCAGGGGTCGGTGTCAATGAATCTGGTGCGGAATTTGGTAGCAGCATCCCCGGAACGCTGGGTACCGACTACACATGGCCCGATACCTCCAAGATTCAGACTCTGCGCGATGCGGGTATGAACATCTTCCGTGTCCCATTTTTGATGGAGCGTCTGGTGCCGAGCTCCATGACCGGCACACCGGATGCCACTTACCTGAGCGACCTGAAGAAGGTAGGGCCGAGCCATTTGCTTGACGTGATGAGATGCTAATATTCGGCGATAGACCGTCGAATTCATTACCGACAGTGGTGCTTATGCCGTTCTTGATCCTCATAACTATGGAAGATAGTAAGTCATGGTTGGCCTTATCAGCGGAGTGGTAACTAACTAAATTCCGCCGTACAGCTCTGGAAGTATCATTTCCTCTACTTCTGACTTCCAGACATTCTGGAAGACCGTCGCTAGCGAATTTGCCTCCAATGACAAGGTCATCTTCGATACCAGTGAGACTCCCGACCACCGGAGACCTTTCAGCTTTGATAGCTTGGAATTGTTAGGCTGATGTTTTCCAGACAACGAATACCACGATATGGACCAGACTCTGGTGCTCAATTTGAACCAGGCCGCCATCAATGGTATCCGTGCTGCCGGTGCCACGACGCAATACATCTTTGTTGAGGGTAACCACTACAGTGGTGCCTGGACCTGGGTTGACAACAATGACAACCTTAAGAGTCTGAAGGATCCTCAGGACAAGATCGTCTTTGAGATGCACCAGTACCTTGACTCGGACGGTTCTGGTACCTCCGAGTCCTGTGTCAGCTCCACTATCGGCCAGGAGCGTGTGAAGTCTGCCACTCAGTGGCTCAAGGACAACAGCCTCAAAGGATTCCTTGGAGAGTTCGCCGGTGGTGTCAACTCCCAGTGCGAGACCGCCGTTGAGGGTCTTCTCTCTTACATGTCCGAGAACAGCGATGTCTGGCTCGGTGCTGAGTGGTGGTCTGCCGGCCCCTGGTGGGGAACTTATATGTACAGTCTCGAGCCTACTAGCGGTCCTGCCTACTCGACCTACCTTCCCATTCTGAAGACGTACTTTGTGAGCGGCACCGACACTTCGTCCTCCTCTTCCTCGACCACCGGTTCTACTACCTCTGTGATCAAACCAACCACTTCTGCCCCTACTCAGGTTCAGGTCGTCGACACTTCTTCCCCTTCCTCTACTCCTACTCCAACTCCATCCTCTGTGCCTGCAGCTGAGGCTCCCGCTCCCGCGCCTATTGAGTCTGCTCAACCTTCCATTGCTGCTTCCACAACCCCGACGACCGCCGCTGCTTCAACTTCTGCTTCTGCCTCTGGCGTCGCCAAGCACTGGTACCAGTGTGGTGGAATCAACTGGACCGGCCCTACAACCTGCGAGAGCGGCTACACCTGTGTTAAGCAGAACCCTTACTACCACCAGTGTGTTTAATTTAACCGTGGGTCACTGCACTCGGAGGGTGACGGGCAGCTGGGATAAGGTGAGTGTCGTGGGTCGTTCTAGGATAGACGCGGTCGCACGACCGCATTTCGCTTCGATTGTAAATGAAGTTCAAAGATAGTATTTCAAAACCTGTCAGAGCTTTGTGTAACCAAATGTGCATTACTATCCACTGCATGGAAGAATAAGCCTTAAGTTGCGCATGACATGCTAGAGCTAGACAGCTAGACCAGGGCCAATTTTACAATGATCAAAAAATTTACTTCCTAATTCAGTAACTACATCAGATACGACCCGATCAAGTGACCTTTTTCTCGTACGAACAGAACCGCAAATCTCTCCGGACCTCGGCTCTACACCTTGCTCGGACGAAACAGACATCCAGGGTCCGGTCCGTGGAAAGACGCAGAGAAATCAGTGGAGACGGGACGAGGGGATCGAAATCGGCGACTGGAGCATGAAAGCCCCGACTGCCGTCGCCGATTAGTTATCCTTCAACACTGTGGCACATGTGTTATGCATAGGTACATAATGCATAAGCATAAGCACAAAGTATCGTATCCGTATGCCTTAGTTACTAAGGGTGATAAGGGAAGTGGGGTTTTCTCTACTTTGAATGTCCGGCAGAAAAATCAGCGGTGATTGGTTCTGATAAGTGTAATGTTTGTCGTGATGTTATTGAGGTGGTTGTTGATGGAGTGTTGATGTCAAGCATTTTGGCAGTATGATTACCCTATTCTTATGGAATCTGTAGGTCTGTAGTATGGAAGATACATAATCCTTGCTTTCGTGGTAGGTTTGGTTTCGTCAATCACCATTGATACCTTGATCTGTAGAGTGGTATCATCACCAAGTCCTGCTTGCGACATCGATGTTGACATCAACATCGACATCACAATGTCATTGTAGTGATGAAATATTTCGCCATCAAACGATCTCATTGTCTGGAATGATCGAAAGTAATCATTCGTGTGTTTAGAATGCTTATTTGCGATAGCTTCCCCAGATATGACGCCGATGGAAATTGATTAGAAATGGTTGACGTCACTATGGATGGCTGTTACTTAGTTCGGACCGTATTCAACGTGCACCCCCAGGAAACTCGAGGAATCGCCTCGGAGTTGGCGTTACGGAGTACCACGGCTGGCTATTTGACAATTTTGAATTAACGTGGTTGCTAATCATTGGTAATTCATGCTTGATAAGGACAGATACCTACTTAGGCAATACTTGACTCATTGCTTGCAAGTATGCGATTATGATCATGTCAGTCTTTGGGGTTAAGGTAGGTATCACATATCTCATTAAATTATAACGTCGTAGTTGTTAACAATTAGATACCCACTTAATGCAGTGCAGCTCCTCCACATGGTAGATGATTCAGCCATAGGGCAGTGCACCGGGGTAATTCGCCTGCCTGATAGATGATAACCATAAATCTGGAGAACGTGGTACATCGGGTGTATGAAGGTAGCCTATTCGAACTTGCGAGGCTTTACTGCATTGAAAGGGTTGGGTGTATTTCCGCTTCCAGCAACACCGCCATCAAACGGAGGGTCCGACATCTTGGCCGCCCAAGCGAGGAACATCGCAAATGCTGCAGCGTACCAGCCAAGAGGTACACATGTCTTTGTTGTTGCCATGGACGCTCTTCTGAAACTCGACTGGAAAGCGGGCTTTCCATAGGGTCCTCACTGAGCGAACTGTGACTGTGTGACTCGCATGCGAGCCATGATTGGTAATACTCCGCAAGTATTTGAAACCAGAAATATGGCAGCCTTATCCCGGAGCATGGCTTAGACATCCATCGCTTATGGCTTACGTGGGCACCTGCTATCAAACCAAGGAGATTAGATTAATCGTCCTAATGTCCGATTCATTATGGGGCAGTGTAGTCCCGACTTCCGATAGGATTAGGGACGGCTTGTCAGAATCACCTCAGCATTTGAGGCTGATTATGAGACCCTGATGGGTAATCAGATAAAACAACAAAGGATAAGAATAAGAATACGAGGATCCAATCTGTCGGTTATGTTGATTCCGTAAGCCGCACTGACACTTCCGCTGGGTCTGGTTCAAGACGGTCACTCCGACAAACTCAAAACATCTACGGAAAAAGCGGAGTGATACTGGCACGGGATGCATCCTCGCATTCGTTTAGGTTAACCACTCCTGTGAGCGTCTACCTAGTGGTATCGACTGAAGCCCAAAAATGCGGTCCGGATTGGACCGAGAGCGCAGTTCATTGCTAGCTACTCCGTACTATCCAGGTCTTTACAGTAAAACGGCTGATTATTACTTTTCTTTTTTGAGGTCCCCACAGAGTAGGATGTGACTTGTGTCGTCTTGAGACTCAACTTTGCCAGGCTATCCTGTGTAGTTTGACTTTAATAGTTAATTGCTCACTAATCGTGATAACCCCGCTTGTAAAGTTAAGGTAGGCGTGATTTCAAATCTAAAGTTCTCGACAAGCTCGATATCTCTGGAATCCTGGAACCTTCCAGCGTTCTTCCGTCATGTGTATATATAAGAAACATTGTTTGTTGATTTGCAATACAGTGTTCATAAGGGCCAGAGGAACGGGGCGGAAAGATTGGTCATCCGAGCCCCAACTGCAGGGCTGGATCGGCACCCTCTGGCCAGGAATTGCCTAAAGGAGTTAAGCTTGGCGGATTTAAGGATGTGAGTCATTGTAACTCATTGGCTGCCGGAAGGAGGCGGTGAGCTTGCCGTATTCGCGACTGCCTGCCTGACTAATTTTTCATGGTGATTCCTTGGATCGCCATTGATCGGTTGATCGCCAGGGCTGAATCAGAATGGCTGATTTTCTCCTCGCTTTTAATTTTTTTTATTTTTCATCCTTTTTCAGGTGGACCCAGTTGTCCCGTTGTGCCCGAGCCATGGATGTAAGGCTCGCTTTCGCTCCGGCGTCCGATCGCCGTTCGGACTTAGACGGGATCACGGCAACCAGAGGTAGAAAAACATCACTAAGAGAAATACAAAGAATATATGAATAATGGAGAGAGAGGAGTAAGAAAAAAAAAATTTCAGCCTAGTCAACAACAAAGTGGATATATCAGAAATTCATATCTAGCCCATCTTGCCCTGACGAAACCTGTCTCATCGGATTATCTTCTACTTTTCACACTACCTACAACTATCATCCAGCCATCACTCCGTACCTACGGCCTCACTTTCTGCCTAGTAGAGGATACAGCACCAGTGGCTGTTCCACACTCGGTCGAACAGACAACCTGTGGATCTCACATCGCAAATCGGACGAACACATCTGCGCCATACTTTGATCAGTGGACGAGTCGATCTGGGGGAAAAGAGAAGATAAGGGGACTATTGAATTGCCCCTACATTTCCTTGGCTTGGCTGAAGGTGCAATCTACCGCTTGCATATCGCTTGACTCACCGCTCTGTGCCACACTCTATTGTATTGGAGGTTGGCCCGACCGCCGGAACCTATAGTCCAGTGTTTGAGTCACCACAGTGGACGAGTCAATTTTCTGATCGATCTTTGGTTGAGCTCATAAGCACATCAACACCCCGAATCTGGAATCATGGTTGTCAACTCCTCCACAACTCGCTCTCCTTCTTCTTCCTCTTCTCCTTCCCTCTCAACCACCTTCTCCTCTACATACTCCAAGTCAATCGCCCAACGACGTCAACAGAAGAAAATGAGCATTACGCAAACATACTACCTTGCTCACACCGCCCGCAAGAAGCTTACCCGAGAAGCTTCACGGGCGGACCACGATCTCCGTCTCCTGGTTGGCCATGCCAACCTGCTTGATTCATTGATGCTGGATCTCGCCGATGCCGAACAAGAACAGGAACGGTGGTTCAACCAGACTGTCAACGGAGCTAGCAAATCCTCTCAAAGCTCACAGCCTCGACACATCCAATGGGCGGACACTGTGATTGAAGAACCCGAGGAAGACTGGGACCCTGAAGATGCCTCCGACCTTGACTCGGACAGTGACGACTCGGACTTTGATGCTGAAGAAGACTACGAGGAGGAACAAGCATTCGCCACGATCCAGAAGCCTGTCCGGCTACGGGCACCATCGCCCGTGGCTGTCATCACCGAGAAGGAAGTGGATGAGGATTATGATTCGGATTCAGACTCGGATTTTGAATACGACGACGTCGAAGATCTGGATGAGCTCACATTGACTCGCTCACCATCACGACAAACCCCTCCCGAGCTCTCCTCGGACTCTGACGAGGACTCCGAGGATGATGCTACGCCTCCCTCACCGCCGCAACCCACGCTGGCCAGTTTCTCAGAGAAGCAGCCTCAATCGGCGGAGCTTCCACTTTCCGACCCTGAATATGGGCCAGGGTATTACGTTACTGAGCGGGAGCAGAGCACATTCATCGAGGCGTATTGATTACGTCTTGTTTCGATTGGTTGTTTCTCCACCAGTGTATATTCTCGTGATACCCTCTTGTCTGATTCGGGCATTTGTTTTCAGGCGCCTGCATACGCTAAGCAGGCACGGCGTTTTTTGGACTGATTTCAGCTATCGATTTGATGCATCTATGGGCGTCTAGATCTTTGTTACTGTGTCCACTGTTTGGGCACCATTGATGATTCTCTACTCTTACGAAGGCATGCATGGAGCCCCTATTGTCGGGCACGCATGATGGGATGGCCTTGGGTATATGGCCAAGCTTATATATATATGTGATGATCTATAGATCAAGAAATGAATAAATTCTTGAAAATATCCGTCCTCTCCCTTTTTTCTTTTCAGTAGCACAGTTACCTACTGGATGATCGTCTGAATTCTGACACACCCCATCCAGTTGTTGTTCGCATTGGGCTCCTGGCCTGTTAGTCTGCTCCTTTAACGACCGACTATTTGCTGACTAGTAAGTTTAAATTCCCCTCGGGCGTAGACAGAGACTCTTCAATGTCAGACGCAAAGTATCCAAGAGCAATAGCTCGAGCTCCTTGAAGATCAGGTACCTTGCTGCCCTAGAACAGCATCCGCATGTGACCGTCGATCTTCAATAGTCACCGCTGGCGCTGCCGCTCTAAGCCACTAATGACTAGATAGAGGGGTACACCGCCTACTCTGTAGTCAATAGGCATTCCATACCCATCGACACGGGTATCCTCTTGATGGATCTTAGAACTTTTCAAATGTTTGCTAAGTAAATGTCCGTAGAAGCCAGACCCATTTTACTTCCTATCATGGCCATCATCGAAAAAGAATGGGTCTTCGCTCTTCAGGGTACTGGTGGGGTGTGGATCGGATAATGACGCCTGATACCCGAGTATGACTCTACCATCCACTCTAGACTAGTCCATCAACGGAGATAGGACTCCGGGAAATTTTCTCTTGGGGTCTGTTTCACTCCAAAGTTCCAAGTTGAAGTTATTTCCGATAATCCCGAATTTTTACCTTGAAACACTGGGATTCCGCAAGCTTGTTATTTACTCTGCTGGGTGTAGTCTGCAGCCGGATTCAGGTTTAGTTTCCGTGTGTCATGTAGAGGCAGCTGACAGCTTCATTAACCCCTCATTGCGAGGAGAAAGCTGCAGAAGATTGTAAGAGTTAAGTGCCGAGTAGCCGTCCTGCAGTTGAAGGCTGAAGAGGGGCTGTCATTGGAGTTAAGCAGGTCTGACAGGATGGGATTTGTGTCTCGAATCGGCCAGAGGCTTATGTGCTGTGACTTTGGAAAGTCTGTGCTGTACTCCATACTCCGTAGATAGTCAGTCCTGTCATAGGTGTGCATATCACAATACCTAGCTTCAGATCCAGTTCTGTGATAGACTTGATAATACCAAGGTATTATTAGGGGACAACATCACTCACCGCCTTTATCTGCCCCTCTTGGGCTTCCTCCTGTTCTCACCTTCCTCTCTGCATCCGGAAGTCAAGAACTCACTTTCCTCTTCATTCGTCCTCATAGCCAGCCAACTTCATTCCTTTGCTGAATTCCTTTTACCAGTTCAATCGCTGCAGCCGTCTTCGAGCTCTGCCCGAACTAAACAAACCCCGTCTGCCCGGGGTTCCTCCCACCACATCCGTTCTGAACCATGATCGGCATTTTCCGCATCACACCACTGGCAGACGAACTTCAGGAGCTTCATGGAGGCTGAGCTGCTAGACAATTAGATTGAACCCTTCGTCGTCTCCATCTCCAACAAAAATTGTCTGAATACTGAGTAAGATTCGTCTTGGTCGAAGTCTACCATTACTTGATCCACCTCATTTGGAGAATTCCCCTCTCCGCATCTGCATTCCAAAGCCAGGACCAAACGCCCTCTCACGTGCGCTTTGGATCGCACCCCTCTTCTTTCTTCTGTCTCCACGAAGGACAAACTACCGGTGTATCCATCATATTCCATATACCGAGGAAATGCAGTCCTCCATCTCCCCACGACATTCGTTCGACGACACTGGACGCGAGTCACCCCAGCCAAGGTGCGTATCCCCTGGGGGCGATAGTCCGCGGCGCAAATCCATCCAGTTCAATATCGGTGGAGTCGAAACGCAGTCCCCTGTCCGTCGGTCTTCGAGCGTCAAAGTCCAGAAACGATCGCAGATCGAGGTGCCGGAGAAGGATCAGAAGAGTGGCTCTGTTAGTCGAGGCCTTTCTCCGCCTCCGCCGCAGTATGTCCCGAGCTTTTGTTGCGCTTACGCTGCTGTTGTGACCGTGCTAACAAGGTGAAATTGTTTGCTTAGAACCTACGAGCGCGGTGTGTCGTTTGATACATTCGATAATCCCGACGCGGCAGACTTTTCGTTGACTTTGAACTACAAACATAAAGGCTATCAGTGTACCCGTCGCAGTAGGACCTTCCTCTGTGGCACTGATCAGAATGATTACTCGGATTTTGCCCTGGAGTGGCTGATCGATGAGTTGGTCAACGATGGCGATGAGATCGTCTGTCTGCGAGTCGTTGAAAAGGATTCTGGTCTCGCGAGCGATGCGGAAATCGAGGCTGGAAAGTACAGGAAGGAAGCTGAGAGGCTGTTCGAGCAGGTCATACAGAAGAACAGCCAGGATGAAAAGGCCATCAGCTTGGTCCTAGAATTGGCGGTCGGCAGGGTTCAGGACATTATTCAGCGAATGGTACGTCTCCAGACGAGGATTTGTATTAAAGTATGCTGACAATTCCAAGATCAGGATCTACGAACCTGCGCTGTTAATCGTGGGAACGCGCGGCCGTAAACTCGGGGGCGTGCAAGGCTTGCTGCCAGGTTCCGTCTCCAAGTATTGCTTGCAGCAGTCGCCGATTCCCGTCATCGTTGTCCGCCCCACCACCAAGCGAGAAAAGAAAAAGAAAAAGCGGCAAGCAGATCCTACCAGACGCAGCTACAATCAGATCCTTGAGCAGAGTTCGCGTCGGGGTAGCCGCATCTTTGATGCTAGTTCGAGCACCGACAGCAACATCTCTAGACTGCCCGACGAAGAGGCCGCGGTTGCGGCAGCTTTGGGTATCCCTGCCTCATATACCAATTCTCGCACCTCTCTTTCCATGTCGGAGAGAAGCAGCGTCAGTCAGGAGGAGCCAGTGTCGCCCAATTGGGGCTCTTTGAGCGTCACTGCCAAAAATAATGTTACGGAGAGCGCAGAGACCACGGAAGATGAAGGCGCCTCGGATGATGATAATTCTGCTTCCCGGTCCGGTCAGCACATCGAGGATGTGTCGCCCAAGCACAAGGCTGCAGATGACAGTCAAGCTGTTTCCAAAGACGGTGACCCGTCGCCGGACAGTGGTACACCGATCACAACGACGACTCCTCCACCTCTCGAATCCCTAAAGGTCAATATTCCAGTTATTGTCACTGAAGATATTTCGCCCTATCAGAAAGATGAAGGCAAGGGTGATTGATTCCACAGTTGTGGACCAGTCTTACAGCCCATCCCATCCATCTACCAGCGTACATCGCTACGGCATTCCTATACAATTAGTCGTCCTGCAGGTGGCTCTGATCCACCTATATCAACTGTCTCCATTGAATGCTTACAGTTCGCATTCTGCTTGTCCCTCAGTATGAGCAATTACTAATTAGACCACCTGATACCTGACGATGCCATGATCACTCCACTCCGCTCTGGTTTTATATGAAGCCGTGTCTCACATTTATTGTGTGTGCTTTGTCAGGCCACCTTGTCGGAAAAAGAAGATAAACAATTCCCAGTCTGATGCATCTCATAGCTAGACATACATTTATGAGTTAGATTCAGTTACAATGATAAGGGACTCAACCTAGATCAGATGAAATAATCAAGTCCAAGCACTCAAGAAGAGGCACGTATTTCCAACCAATTTCATTCAGGTATGAACAATACAGTCTCGAGGGAAGTAGTTCCAATTCGCAGTGCAAACATAGCGACGTTTACCAGCCTAGCAAGTAGTCCCCAATCTTCCAGTCAAGTCCAGACAATCATAGGGACAATACAGACGTATGAGCAAGGCCATTTCATTAATGCAGACCGCGACAGCCATTGAAGAGTTATGTTATATTGAGACATAGGCATAGACATGAAGCTTGCAACGTCGATATGATAGATAGATACCAAGACGGGGGCGAAAGAGGAAACTTTTCTAACGGCATTTTGTCTAGAACGAAACAGCAAAGCGGAAGCAGACAGACAAGACAGACAGACGGCATACACCAAGCCAGTGTAGATGCAAATGCGGCGTAAAAAAGCAAAGCAAGAGAGAAACGAGAAGAAAATGCACACATGCCAGTCAGCTACAGTATTCTCGCGTGACTGGGGAGCAATAGCGAAGCAAAGCAAGCGGAATCTTCAAAGATCTGACGGAGGCGTTCCAAAGTTCATGTCCGCCAGAGGGCAGACCGTTTTGAGTCCTCTGGGTATTGAGAATGCAAAAGAAAAGAAAAAAAGGGATGCGAAGAGGAAGATCGAGAAGGGAACACCTCATGTCGGCCTGACTCGCCAGATGGCTCTTCCTCTCTGGTGAACTTCCCCCACCTCCATTACGGCTCGGAACACATTGTACACAATAATGCATTGCCCCGTCGGCGACCGCTATCCTACCCTTGTCGATTGTAACGACAGAGCATCCGAGCGACCGATCGAGTCAAAATCATAGACGAGAAGATTAAAATGAAGAATGCTCAAACGGCATAGTTGGCATGGCATGACTAAGAAGAACGGGAGATAGAAAGGGGGAACAACATGATTCTTCCAGAAGAAACGAAAATTTTTCATCATTATCATTGCCATAGAATCTATGATGCTTCCTCGCCGGTGGTCGATGCGGCCTTGGAAGGACGGCGCTCAACGGCAGGTTGAGACTTGGTTAGCAAAGGTGAGGTAGGGTTCGAGGGAGGTGAGGTGGCCATGTTGTCATCCAAGCTAGCGAGAGCACTGCGGCCAGGGTTAGTCAACTGAAAATGAGCAAAAGGTGTCTGCGTTGAATCCTACCTGAACGCATTCATCGATGATGCGGCCTCCTTATCTTCCTTCTTTCCGGCAGTAGGGGTTCCGGAACGGCTGCTGGCTGCACTATCGTCGCTGCCACGAACCAAGTTGCCTCCAGGGCCAAGGTTCTTGCGGCCGCTGCTGCTGCGAGACCCAAGCATGCTAGATGGGCCAAAGGACATGGGCTGGTTGGTGTTGCGTGTCGTCCGCAGACGGCGGAGATCATCGCTTCCAACCTTGCTGGATGCGTAGTCGGGAGGAGGGGCCTGGTTTCCGTAACCAGAGAAGCTGCGAGCATCACCACGGCCCATTTGGGGACGGTTGCCACGGTTGGCTTGCTGCCGGAGACGCTCCATCTCGGCCTCTTGCTGAGCACGAGCGGCCTTGAGAATCAGGGATTAGCGGAATGTCAAAGGTAACTTTGGTTGTCAAAGGTAACTTTGGAAGTGAGAGATCACATACCTCCTCACGAATCTGCTGGATGGTCTTAGGACCCTTGTCGGCATCCTTTGATTGCCAGCGAGCATTGCGCAGATCAACAATATCCTGTAAATAGGTCAGACTAATCCGAAAGCTACATGTCCGGAGGGAGATAAACTTACCATCAGCATGAACCTCAATCGGCTTGGCAGGCCTGGAATCTCCATCATCATATTGATGCGAGCAAAGTAGGCATCCATGAAGGTGTGGCCTCTCTCCGAGGCATCGAGGCTGGCACCGATGGTGCGCAGGAGACTAGTCAAACTCTCGACCTCTGCCTCCTCAGGCATACCCTCGTAGTCAACCAGCTTCTTCACACACTCGTGCATGATACGCTCGGTCAACATGCCCAGCTTGTACAGTTCACCAATGAACTTGACGAGACCAAGACCACGACGCTTGGCGGCAGCGGCGGCATAGTACTCGTCTGACAGCATGGCGGCCTCTTCAGTAGTGCCTTCCGGCTTGGGAGGCAGGTTGACCTTCCAACCACGCTCGAACTCTTCCTGGCATCGGTTGAGCAGGTACTTGCGGAACAGACTGCCACCAGTGACGACGTTGCCGTTCTTGTCCCGGATATTCTCGTCCTTGATCTCGGGGCTCATGCTCTCAAGCATACGCTTGCAGAATTTGGCATAGATTGATGCCCAGTGAGCTTCGTCGGTGGCCTTCTCGAAGGTAAGCTGAATGACCTGGCGCAGAGTACGTCCGTCGGATTCATCCTTGGACTGCGATACAATCTCCAGTATTTGACCGGAGATACGGTCGAAATTCTCAGGGGTCATCTTGTTGAGAGCAGCCTTGACCTTACGCTGCACAACATCCGGGGGAAGATGACCGCCAGGAGTGGGGCCGGCGGCGGCGGCGGCGGGCTGAACAATGCTACGAGGCTTCCAACCCGTCGAGGAGACCTGGAGCCCCTTGACTTCCTTGCCAGCGGTGAGAGGCATGGACTTGGCCATATCCTCCTCCTTCTTGGTGGACTGCTTCTCGCGCTTGCTGCCGGTCCGTGTGTTGGAACGGCTGCCACCACCACGGGGAGTTCCGGGTCCAATACCCATATTGGAGCCGGGACGGCTGATGGAAGGAGCTCCCATGCCCACAGGAGGACGGCCGAACTGGCCAAACGGCATAGCGGGACCGCGAGAATTAGAAGCAGCGAAGCGTTGCTCAGAGGTGGTTCTGGCCGCGGGCTGTCCGAAGGAGCCCATGACGAAAGGCTGAGCCACACCGCCGCGAGAAGGATTGCGTGCTCCCATGGGCGTACGGGCGGACTGAGGCCGTGATGTGTCGCTCTCGCCCACGGTCTCACGAACACGGGCATCCCAGTCAATGGACGGCTTCTCCTTGAAGACACTCTGGAACTGAAGCAAGAATTCCTTGTTGTAGTGGAACTTGCGGTCCGCAGGAGCGCTAGCATTGAGAGCCGGGTTGGGAGAGACGATAGAGGGCGGGTAATTGATCTTGCTCAAGTCGTCGACGAAGCGAGCCGATTGAAGCGACTTCATGGCAGCGCTGGGCTGGGGAGGCTCCACTGCCTTGGTGGTCTCCAGCTTCAGAGCAGCAGGCTTCTCCCGCTTCTGGGCACTAGCAGGCTTGCCAGGAGGTCCCATGGAGATGTCGGAGACGGGAGTGGCGGTGCCGCTGCCGGCAGGCGTGCTGTCCTCTGTAGCAGCTAATTCGCCCTTCTTGAGCGCAGCAAACAGCTCCTTGTTGGATGTCTCTGCGGCAGCCTCACGCTTCCGCTGACGCTCCTCCTCGAGAGCTTCGGCCTCGGCCTCGGCTTGTTTCATGTTCGCTTCGTAGGCCTCGCGCTCCTCCTTCTCCTTACGCTCCCTCTCCTCCTTTTCGGCCTGCTTCTTCGCGTAATAGGCAGCTTCCGCGGCAGCTTCCTTGGCTTCGATCTCGGCAAGCTCACGCTCGATGGCCTCGTAGTCGATCTCATCATCAGCAGCAGGGGCGGGTTCCTCCTTCTTGGGCTCTTCGGCAGCGGGCTTGGCCTCGTCTGCCTTGTCCTTCACGCTGAGCTCCTCCAGCTCCTCGCGTGCCGCCTCCTCATCGGCGGCCTTCTTCTTGGCGGCCTCCTCTTCCTCCTCCTGTTTCTTCTTCTGAGCAGCTGCTTCTTCCTCTTCCTCCTTCTTCTTGCGAGCCGCTTCCTCTTCCTCCTCCTGTTTCTTCTTCTTGCGAGCCGCTTCCTCTTCTTCCTCCTGTTTCTTCTTCTGAGCGGCGGCTTCCTCTTCTTCCTTGCGACGTTGCTCTGCTTCGTCCTGTTCAATCTTCTGACGTACCGCCTCTCTCAACTCCTTCTTCTTCTCCTCGTCCGTCTTGGCCTTGGATTCGGTACGGTTGTGATCAGCGCCACTAGCGGTGCGAGGCGGGGGCGTAGCGGTTGGGGTTGAGATCTTCACAGGAGATGGAGTCGCACGCGCGGGGGAGGCCGGTGCCTTCTCGAAGGTCTTGACAACACCACTGCCGGGGTCCTTGATGACAATGGGGCTCCGCTTGGTAGGAGGAATGACAAACTGAGGCTTAGGCGGCACGGGACTGTTGGAGGATCTGCTGGCCGTGTGAGTGTGACTGGCCGCCGGGGCGCCTGCGGGAGGCTGGCCCTGGCCCAGGCTGGAGCCCGGACGGTCGTTCGACACCTGAGACGGCGTGCGTGACAGGGGAGCGGTCTGGGGAGGAGGCTGAACCGGGTATTGGTTCTGCATGTAGGGCGCCTGCGGGTTATACGGCATGCCGGGCCGTGGCTGTGGCGAAGGGGGAGTCATGTACTGCATCTGCTGCATGCCATAGGCGGGATTGTAATAAGCGTAGTTAGGGTCATAGGGATAAGCCTGAGGGTTTTTCATTAGCGTCAGATAATGTTCAAACTGACCGCTTTCCGGCGCGAGATTTGGAGGGGGGAGATGGAGAGGGGAGGGGAAGTATGTGCAAGAGGGAGGCTTGAGGAGGAAGACGAAGAGAAACGACGGGATCCTTGTCGTCTCTTCGGAAATGGGCCACGACGGGGGGGTTTGTAAACAGAAGGGTGGTGTCTCACTGTTTGCGGGGCCATATGTTGTCCGTAGGCGGCGTAGGGCTGAGGAGGCATCTGGGGATGGGCCATCGGGACCTGGTTCATTTGAGGTGTAGCAGGATGCGCGGTCGCCAGAGCCGGGCTGCGCTGGTGTGGCGAGTTGGGGAAGGGCGCCAGAGGCCGTCCCTGGTTGGGAGCGTGGAACTGAGGGCCCATGTTGGGACCACCCCGGGGCTGGTTGGGAGACCGGAAGCTGGGACCAGGTGAGTAGGGCATCTGTCCTTGGTAACCGGACTGCGAGTATCCGCGACCGCGTCCACCCTGGTGAGGGTAACCGCCACGGCCAGGACCACTTCCCATATGGTTGCTCATATCACTGTGCGTGGACTGGGAGGATTCGCGACGGAGATGGGTCGACTGAGAACCAGGACCAAGGGGAGCTTGAGGACCGGAGCGCATCTGCGAGGAGAATAAAGTAAGCACAAACTCTTTGCGTCACATTTTGCAGATACACCGTAGGGATGCCTCCTTTGAATTTTTTTTTTCAATCTGCGTCAAAAGAATGCCATGACTTACGTTCGCATCGCCCGCATCTCCAAAACTTCCAAAGTTGGGCACATTTCCCTGAGACTGGTAGGACGATGGTGGCGGCCGACCACCGCTCGAAGCAGGCTGAGGGATAGGCGAAGGGGAAGTCTGAGGAGAGGTAGCACGGGGGTTCATCGACGGGGACACAGCCAACCCAGACTGAGGCTGGGTCGCCAGAACGGCCGGGTTTCCCATGTTGGGAGAGCTCTGCGAGTTGGCGAAACCGAACTGGAGGCTATTGGGACGACTGGCAGGGCCGCCGTTGGGGATGAAGCCAGAAGTACCGGCCGAGGTGATGGTCACCGAGGGCTTTCTCGAGTGGTCGCCTTGCGAGGCGGAGGCCGGGGCGCCATTGACGATGGTGACGCCGGGGGACTGGGAAGGTTGTTGCATGGGTTTGCCGCTCACAGGAGATACTGAGGTCGACTTCCCATGTTGCGAAGAGCCACCCACGGTGACGGGAGCGGCGGTCGAGTCCGTCGCGGACTTCTTGGTGGCGCTGGCGTAGGACCTGGCGGCCGTCGAGGTAGGAGCAGGCAAGGGTGAGGTCTTCCCACTGAGCGACGGGGAAGGCGAGTGCGACGAGGCGGCCTGAGTCGAGGTGCTCTGTCCTTGAGGTTGAAGGCCTGACTTTTGAGGGATCGAGCTCATTAGACAGGTTAATAGGAGAAAGGAAGTTTTTCCTAAATGCGCTTTTTTTTGTGTGCGTGTGGGTTATTCGTGTGATGTCAAGTTGTGGGAAGCAGAATCGGAACGCGCTCCAGATTCCGCATTAAAAGAAGCAAGAATACTTCTAGAGGACTAATACTACTAGCGAAATAGTAGTAGTATTTTCTTTATTCTTTCTCAAGCTCCCACACTGAACGGAGAGGTCGTCCGGTGGAAGGGAAAGGGAGATGGGGGAGGTAAGAGTAGGTAGGTGAGAAAGGTGAGTAGTACACTGCCACCGGAAAAAAAAATAGGCAGGACAAAGAAAAAAGAAAAAGACGTCGTTGGACTACGACGAGTTGGGATATGGGGTAAGGAGGAAGGAAGAAAGAAAGGGAGAAAACCCAACTACGATAATTCGGTATCTACCTTTCTAAACCGCTAATAATAATATTCATCTACACGCACAAGACAGAGAGGGGGTTACTCTTCCTGTTGGGGTGCTTTACTACGCCTGTCTGTGACGCTGTCTGCTGTCTATTTTTTCTCCCTTCCCCTTCCCTTCAGTGCGGCGAGCACAAAAAAATTTAAAAGGCGAGAGGGAAAAAAAAAAAAAAAAAAAAGGTGAAGCGCCTAGGCGGAACACAAACGAGCCTGACAATTTCCAACAAAAACAATAACCACCTTCGTCAACTACAACTTTTATTCTTTTCATTCTACTCGACCACTTGGTATTTTTCTTTGCTAAAAATGATCAAAACTTCGCATCCAAAATGGATGTTTGCTGGAAGAAACAAAGTAACGAAAAGAAGAGCTGTTATCCATGGTGGATTCAACCAACGGAACCCTCCCTAGGTTAAGTTCCTACTTTACCCTTTCGGGACGGGGTGAGGATGTCAGTGCCATTGCTGACTGGTCGCTTCTTCGGGTTGCGGCGGCGAAAACAATCTACCTTAGGTATGGGAAACGAATAAGCAAGTAGCAATCAAATAATACCTTACCCAGCTGAAGGCAAGTAAGGTGATGGACACTACTAACATAAATCTACTGAGTGCATTCTGTCCGACTTCTTCATCGGGCGCAGAGGCATAGATAACTACGACACATCAGCAGGTGACTCACCGTAAGACAAATAATACTCCGTTTGACAGGCAGAATTTCCATAGTGTTCTTCCCAGTCATAAACAAGGCAAGTCAAAGATGAGATCATTAGCGCCTTGACGGTTGATACCTGAGGCATCTTTGCCACCACTATCCTCAACATGATGCATCTTGTGATGAAATAAACAGTGAAAGTAGCTATGGATAAACTCGGAAATAATAAGTACATACTCCTCTGCCCAACTATCCCCAGCTTCCGCTGAGGCTACCTAGGTAGACATTGCACGGTATGTTCAGCTAAATGTCAATACTAGTGCCATATCGCATGATGGTCACACCCGTACCTTTCCTTGCATTCCGCATGTCGATTGGCATGGCGGATCATCCTCCCATGGGTTTCTAGAAGAGTACTCAAATTGCCTTTTGATATTCTTGAATTTCAATCCAGGTACAGGACATACTCCCCAAGTCCTGTATCATAGTAGAGAAGTACCCGGAGCACAGAGCATAGACTACCACCACGTCGTGATTTATTTATCTGGTTGGTCCGGAAACCAGCTCCTCGTAGATCCACCCAAACCAATCTATCCCTCCTAGGAAACATACCTGATGGTGATAGAATATCAGGATGTAGGTATTGGCAACCACGTGTCTGTCAATATATGAATATGGTCCTAAACCAGACGCGTAGAGTTGAGCAATCCACATCATCCCGCCAAAGTCCCATTCTCCTTACCCAGAGCCATCTGCACCCCCGTAGCCACACCAACTACCCCCGAAGAGCAGTGTACAAAACACCCAATCCATAACCACCCATCGCCGCGCTTTGAAAGTGTGCAAAGGCGCCTCCTGCCACCGGGTTGCCGAAGGAGGCTTGATACCACGCGGCTAAGGAATCTAGATTATGAGTTAGCCATGGGTGTCCGAGTAAAGACAAGGACGAGGGTACATACGAGCAATAGGACCCAGGGATCCAAATCCCGTGAGATAGAGGACAGGGGAGATAACCGCCTGAGGAAATGTGAAGAGACAGATCGAAACGACTCGGAGTGGATTCTGAGTGATGTAGGTTGTGACGTTCCTGGGAAAATAATGAAGCCCAAGAGCAGTTGGAAGCGGGATGTTGTGCTTCGCGAGCTCAATAAGCGTTCCTGTTGCGTTGGAAATGGTGTTGATGCTGGGAGCGAGAGGTATTGCGACCTGTTGCAGCCTCTCAAGCACTTGAGAGTACATCATTGCTGTCATTTGTGGATCTCGATCAGGTGATATCTAGAAAAGGGCGTTCGAAGAATTCAAGTCCACTGCTTTATCGCTGTGAGTCCTGGTTGATAGCGGGGCAGGTCCATCGATGGCACCGTCTGGTGTTGTTGATGAGGTAGATGGGTACTCTTTAAGTCATTTGCTGCGGCGCTGTTACTTCAGCGCTTAGCATGGCAATCAACCAATGCAAAAATACTGCGGCAAGGCATATTCACCACAAAGCCCCTTCAACTGATTTGATCACAATTCATTGTCTTTCATGCCTACGAGTCTATATATACCCTGGCCAGTCTATTTGGAGACTATACTCAGCATGAAGCCATCACGCAGTGACAACTAGTCTAATGGTGGGATCCCCTGGACCGCGGAACGTCGTCAGCTGCGCGTGGAATAGCCTCCACGCCAGAGGAAGCAGCCGGCTCTCCGCTGCCAAACCATCCCGACGTCCATTTGCCACTGGACGATCTTTGCGGTCTCGCCGGAGATCGATCACGAATGTCTTCCGGGTTGATATGGTCAAACGAGTTGTCACTGCAATTCTTTCTCAGAGAGGAGCCATATGCAAGATCGTCGTCCACATCGCCACTGTCAAGGTTACTTTCTTCCTTGGCCAATGCGGCGCGCAACACCTCAATCACTTCGCGCTGCTTGGAAATGAAGCTAGCTTTGTCCTCCCGGGACATTCCAGTCAGTTCTCGCGGCAAGAGGTTCCCGCTGGCAGACAGCTCTTCAGCCCGCGCTTCATGGCTTTTACCTGCGGAAGTCAATGCTGCCACAGCGGAGCTGATCGTGGAGTACCAATCATTCGCAGGAGCTTGTTGCGCTCCGCCAGCAGCGGTAGGGAGGTAGAATCGAGAGAGGAGCGACTGCGCATATCCAGCGGGGCCGGTTGGCGGAGGTGGAGGGGCAGGGTGTTGACCCGGCAATCTCAGAATCTTCTCCCGGATGTAATCGATGGCCTGATAGAAGTATTGAAGCCCAAGGGCTTTAGCCTGCTCATGGAAGCGGCCAATAAACACTTCAATCTCTCGTTCGTGGTGTTCCAGGAAGGGATCGACATAGGTCTGGTACAGGATTTTTGCGCCCTGCGTCTGAGGAAGTACGAGATAGGAAAAGAAAAACAGTCGAAACCAGCTGTAGAACGGGATCCTACAGTATATCAGCCTTGCTTTCGTTGTGCTATTTTATCGGGATGTGTCTTTAGTACCAGCCCAGGATGAAAATCGTCCATGATTCAGCCAGCAAAATGCCCGAGAGGACCACCCAGTACATCAACCATGGCGCCAGTTGTGACGGATCAGAGGAGCGCAAAGCTTTGTAAGAGGCAAATACGGGGAAGAGGATCGTAATCACCGAGCTGAAATAAAATGATGATCGAAAAGCGTTAGCTCGGACTTAATGGTCACAGGTATTGAGGGACGACCACAGAGATATCTGGTGCCCGCATTTTCCCGGAGATACCGGAGTCAGAGTACTTACGACATCAAGTCCGCGATGATTCCAAACATCTTGAATAAACTGATCTCCGGAAACTCTTTATAGGTTGATGGGATACAGGGATACTTTATCGCGAAGACTTTCAAAGTGGTGTATTTTGATGAAGAATATCTTATCGTCCAACTTGATAGCTACCTCACAGCTCTGAGTGCGGGGTGGGGAAACAAGAGCTCTTCACGCGACCACGGGTCAGTCAAAGGGAGAACGGCCAGCCGCAGGGATGATGATCGAGAAATGAGTCCGCCTGACAAGAATGTCTTGGGGCAATTGAAGTTGGGGATGGCAAAAAGGAAGAATACAAGGGATAGTGAAGAAGAAAATAAAAATTGCGAGAGCTACGTAAGTTGTTGCCTGAGCTTTGTGAGCTGGAGATCATTACGAAGTCCATAGTTAGGTAACCTAACGCTATAAGGCTGTAAGCCCTATGGGTCGGTCCCATTTTGGGTGGGCTGTCGCTGCGCAGCTTTACCAAACTGACAAAATAACACACTGTCCACATTCGATACTCGAGGGCGATACAACTCCAAGAGTTCTGTAAACCAGTATGAACATTAAGTAATAATCTTATACAGCAACAAGGTCGAGCCCTCGTTATTACTGTTTTCAGTGGCCATATAGACCATCCACCTGACGTCATTCATCACGCTCTCTTAATTCCTACTGATGAGCATCATTGACTACGAGATATTCGAAGTGAGTGGGATATACTCTGAGTAGAAACCTAATGCTGGGCTATACAGACAATGAAATTTCAGAATAATGTCAATGAGAATGGTATCTCGAGTAATAGCAAAATTAGGTACATGGTTAATTAGGCCACTGCATGATTTCACTGGAATACTAAAGGATGAGAAACAAACATTTAGAGACAGGAGCCTTCTTGGTTGTCTGGAGACCGACACCCTGCACGACATGGACTGGTCGGCCACCTTGTACTGTTTCACCTATTTTGTATGGGGAGGTAGCTGTGGGATTGCTCAGAGAGCATCTCAGCCTTTGCACGGTGGACGGTCCTACAATAGCATGTCCGAGACTCCGCGTACTATGTGCGGTGTCATCCTATGCCAATATTAAAATAAAATTCGTTTATTCCATACTTGTCCCTATTCTATCTAATGTACTAGAGGCATGTCTATGCTTGCAAAAGATGTTCCTCCTCGTCGGCCTGTTCCTCTTGCCTCAGCATTGGTGGAATGCTTAAATTCGAGGCACGCCTCTTGAGCCAAGTTCCCAGCCAGCTCGATCCTTCATCCTGGTCATCTTGATGCGATTCACATGGCAGCAGAATTGCATGATCCAATGCGTGAGGGAGTCCACGATGTCTTCCACGCAACTGCATCGCGACAATGACCAACTTTGACACCCAATTAAACTGGGCACACAAGCTTGTTTCCGTCTCAGGATATCCCAAAGAAAGCCCGACAGTCCCATAGGCTGATACAATCTCGAAGAGAACAGAGAAGAGCGAGAACGCCGGGTCGTCGGCGGCTTTCTGGAGACGGCCTCCTTCCGCGATTGCAACGAGAAAGAGTCCGAGCATGACATACCAGAGATCGAATCCCAGTTGTCGCTGGATGTGCACGGCCAGCCCGATATGTTTTCCGTCCCGAGCTTCTGACTCTGAATCGGAGTCATTCTCATTCTCGTAGACTCCGAGACTCCTTTCTTCATATACATTGGTTTCGCGCATGGCGATGGCGGATGGGAAGGCAGAAATGTACATCATCACGAGGAAAGATACTTGAACGGCAGGATGGATGTCTGCGAGTGGTGTGACGGAGAAGCCGGCTGTTCGCGTTGAAGCGATCTGAAACAAGCCATTGATGAGCCCAATAAAGGTAGACGGAGACTGGCGGTCCGTTTGGTATTCAGATTTCTGCATGAAGGCGATTTAGATTAGCCTGCTTGCTCTACGGATTGAACCAATTGCACTTACATTGGAGAGAGTGCAGAAAACAGTGAAGTCAAATCCATTGAGCAAGATCAGCACCCCTAGGAGCCTCCACGATTCTCCACTGGGGAAAAGAAGCGTGAAGCATCGGCGTGGGTGATCCAGGAGGTATTGAAGCTCCTCATTTAGGGCATTACCATACGGTGCCAGCTTTGAGAGCAGCCATATGATCAAGCGAAGCATGCATGGGAACCCAGTATTCCCAATGACGATCAGGAAGGACATCAGAACCAAGGGGAAAGCAGCATTCTTAAACGAGACCATTGAGTCCGGCGTCAGAGTGTATCCTAGATCGTTGAAAGCTGAACCAGCAGTGAATATCCCCCACCAAAAAGTACTGACCCCGTTCACCGTGACGGATTGGCCAAACTCTGGGGTCAGCCATATCCACAAGACAAGAAGCAGAATCCCTAGGATGTGGAAAAATATAAAATAGCACATCAGAATCATCCGCAGCGTCTTAAGTGCCCTGTACTCGATCCCGCCGAGCTGGTCCTTTTGCCTTTCGTCCCAGTCGGAATAACTCGAAATGGATGGCTGCCACATCAGCGAAGGTAAATAGGATATGCTGTGGCCGGCATCATTACGAGGTCTTGCCAACAAACGTCGACTTTCCGCTACAGCTTGATATGGTCCGGTACTAGTGAATGATCGTCGGTGGTGCCTTGCTTGATGTTCCACCTCGTGGAAAGTAACGTGGAGGCTACTGGACACCGGAGCAATCCGTTTCATGACATGATATCTGGTTGAAAACAGCTTTTGGCCATTGTCGCTATCTCCGTCAAGCAAAGGTTGCAGGAGGCTATCACGCTCTGGAAAGACGTCAGACACCACAAGGTTGGAATTCTCTCGTCCAAGTTCTGTCTCTTCTGCTTTCCTTTTCCGCATCAATGACAAAAGTTTCGCTTCGTTGACTACCCGTCGAAGCCGCTTCCGAAACCAATACAGACGGATGCAGACAAGAAGCGAGTTCACAAAGATGACATTGGTGACCATAGCAACAATCCACAGGATTAGCTGCTGAAGCACATTAAGCTGATTCAAGTCGATGGGATTTAATCCGGTTTGCGTGGCAGCACCAGATGCTAGTAGTAGAGCATCAATATAACTGACCCCTCCAATAGCATAGATGGTGGAAGATGCCAGTATGGTCCAGAAAGCAATATATATATAGTGGTGGTGAAGCCGGAATGAAGATAGATCTTGGTCTTCATGGCGAGGGTCGGGCGTTCGCATTGCGATGCCCCAGACAATCTCCAAACGCTATTCCGGCAAAAAAACTTCCAATCACCTCTCCCTGGGGTTGAAAAGGCGATAGAAGAGCAAGACATGATGGAGAGTTATAAAGCCTCAGTAAGACATCACTCTCGTGGGAATGGCTCGTAGAGGCTAACAAATATCTCATAACGCACATGTTTGAGGTTATTTTATGACCATTGAGAGCAGTGGTTGAAGCAGAGACCCAGAATTAACATTGGTCATAGCTTCAAAATATGCAGGTCTCTCATACAAAATGAGGAAGATCGATCTTAAAAAGGTATGGATAGTCGAGATCTGAAGTTCATTCCCAGCAGTTCAAATGGACGAAATTAATCCCGCAAGACGAATTAGCACAGCACAGCCACTCGAGGGTCATTGACTCAGTCACAACTTGCGAAGATTTAGAAGTCATAGGTAGATTGGTCTTTCACCCAGTGTAGGAGTAGGACTTGGATCAAAGAGCAGAAAGGTCCATCAAAAGGCCACAGGCTACAGGTTGACCTGGTAGTGGGGTACAGGAAGAATCGCCACCTGAGGCTACGAAAACACACACGGGCAACAACTGATTGAGGCATTTCTTTCTCTCCTCTCCTCTCCTCTCCTCTTCTCTCCGATATTGTACCATACTTGTGTTCTCTTAGCATTATTACTCCCTACAAAATCATCATACCTCTCTCAATCCGTAAGAATCCTTCTCGTGTCTTTGGCCTCTTCCTCTCCGATTCTCCCCGAGATAACACCCAACTCTTTCAATTAAGCCTTAGCCTCCTCGTGGACAAGAGGCCCAAGACTTTAAGCCCCCCGACGCTCTCATGCCAAGAACGCCTCTTGTCTTCTTCCGGCTTTTCCACCGTGGAATAGCAGCGGAACCTGGCCGGCGCTTGCTGAAAGAGATTGCAAGAAGTCAGCAGGCTTTCAATTTCTTTTTTTAAACGGATCAAAAGGTTCCTTGGGAACTGAGAGCAAAAGAGAGTGGCAATTCCCCTTTTATCATTCTCGTTGGCAGCTAAGATGATTCCACTGGATAGTGATGGCAGCCAGTGATGGGTAGATTACCGACAATGATAATGCCATGCCATACGTAACAAGCTATCAACTTGTTTGCTCCTTGGCTGACTTTGAACTCGTGAACTGGCTTTCTCTTCTGAGGGGTTCAACATCTAAACTTCTTGTCCCGACTAGTTCCGTACGTCTGTACAGATTCACGGCCTCGAACGGTTGGGGAGAACCCGACCGATGTGGCACCGATTTTCGGCCATATTACCATAGACATCTAGGGTCCGAGCAGTTGAGTGCGCGATTTCTGAACCTTCTGTGGATTACTTGCTGCAAAACCTTGCTCCCTTTTCTCCGAACCGGCAGTCTCGATCACGCTCACACGGGAACATTGGAGGACTTAGCGTGTCTGGGCGAGACATGAACGCACGCTGTTGACGCCCACCAGAACACCAGAAGTAAGATACGACATCAAGCCAGTCTGTCTTGGGTAGTGTGGCTGCTACTGATGCGGACCCATTGGCGGCCACGTCTTGTTTAGATGCTTGGCATCGTCTTGGCTCGATACAGATTGGAAATTCCTCGCGGAGATCGCCCGAGAGAACCTGGGGTAGGTGGAGTAGAGTATTGGTATCACCGTATTGCTACTAGTATCAGTTCCATGGCCAGGCCCTGCGGGGTTTCGCATGGCTCCCCATGGGGAAGCGAAAACGAACCGGGGTCAACGGGGGTGAGATACATATAAAAGCCATGTCCGAGACGGAAGCGAGGGGTTTTGTTAGCAGTATCGTCCACCCTCGTCCTATTCCAGGGGAAATACCAAGCAACACCGCCCATAGTTCCTCGCTTTACTTGTGAATATGAGTACCTCCCATAATGAGCCAGCGGAGCCAATTCCGGATGGCATCATCGCCACCGCAAAGCAGTCCTTTGGCGATCTGTTCCGTTGGAAACAGCGTGTCGTCGTGACCAACGAGTCTGGCGAGACTCACGCAGAATGGCAATCACCCGAACCTATCCAGAACCCTGTCAGCCTGCTTATGCAGCTCGGTGCACGGGACTGGCTCTTTTTCACTGTTGGCTTTTTGGCATGGACGGCCGATGCGTTTGATTTTCATGCCCTATCTATCCAGACTGTCAAGCTGGCAAAGTACTATGACCGCTCAAAGACCGATATCACCACTGCTATTACTCTGACCCTGCTCCTACGAAGCGTCGGTGCCGCTTTCTTCGGTCTAGCTGGCGATCGGTTCGGGCGCAAATGGCCCATGGTAACCAACATGATTGTGCTTGGTATCCTACAGATAGCCACCATCTACAGCCGTACGTTCCAGCAGTTTCTGGCTGTTCGGTCATTATTCGGACTTTTTATGGGCGGTGTCTATGGTAATGCCATCGCGATGGCATTGGAACATTGTCCGTAAGTGCTAATCACAGACTCCGAGTTTTTTCTCCCTTCGCTGACAGCCATAGTGTCAATGCTCGTGGTCTCATGTCCGGAATCCTGCAGCAAGGCTATTCGTTTGGATACGTACTCGCCGCCTGCGCAAATCTCGGTGTCGGCGGTTCAACAGAGAGTTGGAAGACAGTTTTCTGGATTGCGGGTCCGTTGCCTGGATTCCCCTTCGAAAATATTCCGAGCTGGAAGCTGACAAACTTACAGCTGGCGCCTCAATCGGTGTTGGACTCATTCGCATATGCTTCCCTGAATCCAAACAATTCCTCGAAGCCAAGAAGGCCGGCAAGAAAGCCGCTGACCCCGGCGCATTTTGGCGTGAGACGAAGCAGATGCTCGGGCAGGAGTGGAAGATGTGCATTTACTGTATCATCTTGATGACTTGGGTATGTCCTTGCGCTTTTCACTGGAGAATAGGGGCTGACTTTCGTAGTTCAACTATTACTCCCACACCTCGCAAGACTCATACACTACGTTCATGTTGACTCAGAAAGAGATGCACAACGCTGGAGCCTCTCGCGCATCTATTCTGATGAAGACTGGCGCTTGCGTGGGTGGTACAATTATTGGATACCTGTCCCAATTTGTCGGACGGCGCCGAGCTATCATTTTTTCCGCCCTGCTCTCCGCCATCCTTATTCCTGCCTGGATTCTCCCACAAGGCGAACGATCTCTGAGCGCATCCGGCTTCTTCATGCAGTTCTTCGTTCAAGGTGCCTGGGGTGTCATCCCTATTCACTTGAATGAACTTTCTCCACCCGCGTTCCGGTCTTCTTTCCCAGGTTCGTATTTCATATCCATAACCAATTGTGGGAAATCCTCACTAACGTGCCGAAGGTATCACATACCAGCTAGGAAACATGATCTCATCGCCCTCAGCCCAGATCGTCAACGCCATTGCCGAGAAGACCCTGATCACCGCTCCATCTGGTGATCGGGTTCCCGCGTACGGCCCTGTCATGGGAATTGCCACGGCCATCATTGCGATGGGTATCGTGTTTACTACGGCATTTGGACCAGAGAAGCGTGGTCGTCGGTTCGAGACTGCCGTTGCGGGTCTCCAGTCAGTCCGGTCAGAAAAGGAAATCGACCTGGAAGAGGGACTGGATGACAAGGCAGCCGAGAAGAGAGTGGAGGAAGTAGGGAAACTTTGAACCGCTCAGAAACTCTTTGGCGAAGTGTCAGCTCACGAATAGGATGATGACTCTATGTAAATGATGAGATGATCTGGGTGGCTATTGGTGTCCTTGCACTTGAAAGGTTGCAGACCGTTTATACTACTGTTGTATTAGTCGTCTTCGAAAGCCACTTGTTTGTTCTTATTCAACTATTGTGCCGAACGGAATATCTGGGTGTTCCCCAGGACAAAGTAGATCAGAGTCCCCGAGCCACTTTGCCGTAAGGCAGGCTCCGTACGTTCTTGAAAATCGCAAGTGCTAACCTCCAGAAGCACATGGTATTATTTCTAGGGATCTCTTCTTCCCACACAAACACTTTTTGGGCGTTTGACCTACAAGATTGCTATCAAACTGGAGCGATCAAATTGATGTATTCAAAAATGAAACATAATACTCAAGTAAGGCAAGATGGCCGAGTTGGTCCAAGGCGTGAGGTTAAGGTCCACCTTAATACCGAGCTCTTAGAGTTTCCTCATCATCGTATGATGGCGTGGGTTCGAATCCCACTCTTGTCATTTCTCTTTCTCTTTTTTCTTTTTCTTTTTATTTTTTTGTCTCTTTGGATTTTACAACACTTTTTATTTAGCATGCTTGATCCGCTCTATTCCTCTTCTATTCCTGACATAATTCTATAACCCGTTTCGTTCCGTATAACCGCCTGATGAAACTAGGATTGCCATCAACGGGCAAAACCAAACGACATCATATCTCGCTCCCCGTGAATGGGCACCGTGCGGCCGACGCCAGTGGCATAGATACCCTGCAACTTGTCACCCCAAGTGGTGGTCTCATACTTGGCCTCGGGAGTATTCTGTACGACACTCTTTGGAGCGTCGTACTTATACCCGAAGACGCCCGCCCACTGCTTGCAGGTCTCGTTGTAGCTAGGCGGGAGCAGAGCCGTATCGGCACTCCCGTGGTAGATTTGCATCTTAGGTCGTGGGCCGTTATATCCCGGGTACATGGCCTTTTTGCAACGCCGCCCCAGACCTCAGGCGTGGCGATGGACTTGCCCTGCGAGCAGGTGCTGTTCCATGCCTGGACCTGGTCGGTGGCGGACATGAAGCAGCCGGTGGGTACACCGGAGTAGGCGATACCTGCGGCGAATAGCTCGGGATATGTGGCTGCCATGGTTGTTCTGTTGGTTGTTAGTAACGTAATCGATCTGTCCTCGGGCTGTAAGATGAACGCACCGTCATCATGGCGCCTGGAGCTGCTACCGGTCACAAACACCTTGATGCAGTCGACCTTGTACTGCTTCTTAGTCCAGGCGGCCATGTTGGCGATGGAGTTGCTGTTTCCGCCACCATTGTGAGTCAGAGTCGCTTCTGGCTCACGTCCCTGCATTTGAATTCGTAGGGACTCTCGGGATAGATGACTATGAAGCCATAAGTGTTCTGCCAGTTTGGCATAGGGGGAGCCGGTGTCGTATGCCTGTATCAAAAGCCCGAATGACGGCCCGAAGGCACCTGAGAGATTCCGTCTCAGAGAGCCTTCGCCATTTCAATGAGGAAGTTTGCCCCTGTACCGAAGCTGGAGGTGAAACAGGGCCCACGGAGGATTCAATCCTTCGGGGAGTGACGATCGGTGATCCTTCGGGGTGAGGACCTGCAGCGGATGCATGACTTAGAAAGCAATTGACGAACTGTTTGGGACTATCATATCTTCCGGCAGATAGCTTGATTGGTGGAACGATTGTCTTTGGCGCTGTAAATTGGCATGCGAATCCGTCACTATCCAGGCACAAGAGAAGTTCGCCACGGATATGGGGAAATGAAGGACAGAGCCTGCCCTGACGATGCTTAAAGGGAAACTACCCGGGGAGCAGCCAAGACTGCCTTGGCTGTGTACCAGGTACAACCTCTTGGCTTGTGGCCCGATGACTGCTATGATTTGGTGGAAGTCAGTCTGGTACTCTTGGTATAGCTACGTTAAGGCGGGGCTTTTCCTGTATGGGGGCGGGACTATCGGAGGACTCCGTACGCAACCCGGACTGACTTACAGGCTCAGGATCTATCTATCTAGATACTACTGATCTTCAATGGGAGCTGAGAGCGGACTGACTAGGTTGGCATTTGGACCTGATGAAAGGATAGGTGAAAAAGTTGTAAAATGTCCCTAAACGGCAATTCGTAAATCAACTGATCTTTCGCCAGTTGAGGAACCAGAGCTGAGTGATATCTGAACTGGCTTCATTGATTCTAATCTCAAAATATTCTGGTTGATTTACGCCGAGATGATTCTAGACATGATGTGCGCTCATTCTTTACACCTAAGCTGAGGAAGAGGACTTACCTCATCGACGACCACAAGCCATAGCTGGGGATCCAATCATGACTTATCGAACTAAGACTGACCTCTATTCAAGATAAAAAACCCAACTGGTGGAGATGACAGCTTGACAGTCTGGCTTACAGACATCAACGCCTCTTGGTTTGGGCCTAACATGCACAGCGCCAAATTCGCGTGTTCCATTGGCCACACACTGTCTAGTTCACTCTCGACCACCTGCAGAAGCCTTCATCAAGCATTCGCCAAGATAGCCAATTTCTATTTTGGCCTTCCTCAAAGCATACGATTGATCAGAATTCGTCGATAGTGTCTGAGCCTGCGTGAAATGGCTTGCATACTTACTCCACCCCCCTATGTCACTGCGAATAATCAAATGTAATGACGGATATAAGCGCTGAAGGCAGCGACATCAATATGTTGCGCAGCTAGGCACCTCTATTTTACTCATGACTGAGTCAAGATAAGTGAGGTCACATCTCACCTCTGCAGTTTCTGTCAAATCTCAAAGATTCTTCCCAATCTAACATCCAACATGGACGCAAAGACAAAAATCATCATCAAGGCAGTCGTTATCCCCCTCGCATTCCTCATCCTCATCCTCACAATAATCGCACTTTTCATCCTCAAATGTCGCATGGACCGCAAGAAAGACAAACGGGAGAACCTGGAGAACCTTAGCTACTCGTTTGCGCCTTCTGAGCAATGGCAGACTCCTCCCCAGCCTCACAACCAACATTGGCAGGCTGCCCAGCACTCTCACAATCAATGGCCGATGAATCAATACCAGATGGCGACGGCGCAGATGGAGAAACAGAAACCGGTACCGGTTGCATATCCGGTTCAGTATCAGAGTCAGCTTGACTCGAGGAGTCAAGCTTGATGGGAAAGAAATACAGAGAGCTCTGATTGGATTAGGTGAGACACAGACAGCTGTACGACGGGATAATTCAAGGTCTTATTCATAAATCATGATTAGGACAGTACGGGACGTTTTTCTGCGGGTCAGAGAATCACTCGGGGCACAACAGACTCATATAGCTATCGAATGGAACGTGGTCACTCCAATATCTCAAGAACTAATTGCTGTAAGATCTAGTAGTCTAGGCGGAGCAAGCTTTGACAGTTTAAAAGAGATAATATCTCATGGGAGCCAGTAGACAGTACTGAAGATACATGTAATAGTAGACTGGAGGCATGGTGCTTAACCTCGACATTGAAGAAGTTTGTTGCAGGAAGAGCAGTCTTGAAAATGGATAAATTACGTCCCAGATTCTCAAAAGAGCGAAGGTTGAAGATCCGTCAGTCACATTCTGCTCCTCAGTAAGGTAAGTGTTGGATCTGGAAGATCCCATGAAATGTCTTCTGCAGGTACATAACAGAAAACCCAAGGTGCAGTTTGACGAAACTGAACTCTAGAGAGAGCATGCCATTCTAGTCGTCATGGAGCATAGCCCATTATTGATGCCCCTATGCCTAGTTGCCGAACCAGCCGATATGCTCAGCACAAATCTGCTCCCAACGCTTAATGAATGCCGCATGACAAAGACACATATAGGTGCGTTTGTGACTGAGATAGCATTTAGGGCAATCAAGGTTCATTTCCCACTGGGATTTCAGGCTATTCCAGAAATCTCTGCTGATGTTCATCGACAATTTCTCCTCCCAGTACTGTCTCTTTTCTGGATAGATACGAAGGCAGGCATTGCAGTAACGCAGACCTTTCTTCGCACGTCCATTCATTTCCCTTGGCCATGCGAGTCTCAAGAGAAACAGGATCAGCTTTATGGGTGTCAGGTCTGGGAGTTTCCTGAGTAGAAAGTCGCCAGGAAAGGCAGTGAAAGAGAGGATGCTGAGGAGATATTTGCAGCTTGTTGATAACGCAATCGTGTCGCGTAAATTTGTGTAGGAAAAGATCTGAACCAGGATTTCAGTAGGCAGGTTGACGAGGGGTGAGGACTGCTGTTTCTTGCTTCGAAAGAACTAGATTCTTCTGTCAATATCGTCGTGACGCTGAAGTCAATGTAATATACTCACATGAGCTCCCAGAGGCTTCAAAGAGCTGATAGGTGGAAGGCTTGAGGTGCTCATTTGAGATGTTGATGCAGGACATTCAGATGATATTCTGTAGATCAGTCAATTGTACAGTCGGAAAATAACTCCAAGGCTGAGCTGTAAGATGGAGGCATATATACGTTGTCTTTCAGATGGGGAAATCATTCACATGCGAGTCGTGACAGACTGAGCTTGATATGATCTTTCCGATAATACCTTCCACCTGTACATGAGAGAAGACAGAAAAGGTGCTAGGGCTACCTTCGCGGACTGTTATCGACTCTTTTCAATCACGAAAATGATCTCATCGGCGTATGTTCGTCCCCTGCGTTGAGTGTGGTGGTCCAGGAGATGGTTTTACTCCTGCCCTTCTAGGTTCTTGTCACGGGTTTGGTAAGCATTCACGCGCAGAGTCGAATATGCCCCCTCAGACGAAGCTGAGTGTTTCACAACCAAAGGATAGAGAATGGAACGTCTCGACTCAACCTCTTCCTCTGTCGATATCCGAACTGAAAACGTCCTTGGTCTATTCCTCACGCCTGTGTGTCACCATCTCGTTCCGTTATGCGAAACGATTCAGGCATGCTTGATTGAACAAGAGGAGGACTTGAGTCCTACGGATCGGTTGCTTCATTCTCGTGTACTATCTTCTAGCAAGCACCTGAGAAGAGATATCTCTGCTTACATCTGCCGCCAGTTGATATTTCTGCTTGCTGCTCTTGGTGCCTTGGATCACCCACAGAAAGAGGACTAGGCTTTCCAGGTTTCAAGAAATAACCTGTAGGACAAGCTTTTCTGGAATGCTACATATGAAGCCAAGGTTGGTCTTACCGTCGTCTAATAAAGTCTAATATCCCAAGGCTAATCATTTCCTGCTCACAGATCGACGAGCATTTTCGAGAGCCACCACTTGGATCACAACGCAGAGGCAAATTTTCCGCACACCCGCCGGCTCGATGATCTGTTTTAACCATGTCAAGAACGAAGATGAACGGGCGAGAATTGGCCTGTCCGCAGAGGCAGAAGACCAGTACGTTGGTGAAGGTGATTGTAAGGCCACACAACTAAGACTTTGTGGCTTTCAGCGGCTTCAGCCACAGGTTCAATTCAAAAACCCCGATGTGACTATAACCTACGCTCACTAACACACGTGAGGGGTAGATTGGCTATTGACCAGCCAGCTTTGATAAGATTGGCACTTATGTGGGGAGACGGAACTGTGCAGACCAGTGAGGTCACAATCTCGGGGATACTTCAATATGGAAGCTTACGGTTCCAACAAACTCAATTAAAATTATTCGATCAAGGTACTTGGGAGGCTACTGTTATAAGACCACAGAAGTCCCGGGTTGTGGTGGAATTCAGCTGAAGTCATATTACTCGTACTCGGCATGTCGATTATCATCCCCTTGGTTTCGCAGAAGGGATCGACACGAACACCGCGATGGTCTGGGTCAAAGCACTGCTTTTGGGGCTATGCGCCTCCACCACTTTTGCGCAGTCGCTTGATGGAATCTACGATCTAGTTCGTCGTCGAATGCCGAAGCATGTCGACAGTTTTCGGTTCTCTCTTGTGGGTTTCAACTCGACCAATAACGATCAGTTCGTTGTGTCAACGGCTGCCAACGGCACAATCTTGGTGCAGGGAAATTCGTTAAGCGCCCTGTCATACGGGTATGACGTTCTACAAATTATATACCGCTGAGCATTGCGATTGACAACAAAAACAGTCTGCACCGGTATATCGCCGATGTCGCGCTTGTGGACATCTACTGGTTTGTCGGCAGTCAGCTACATCTAGCACCGACACCACTTCCTCGTCTATCTAAACCATTGACTGGCTCCAGCACCGTTGAAAGACGCTATCATTTTAATACTGGTGTGTTGTGACCTCTATGAAACTGTCGCAGCACGATTGACTTTCCTAGTGACTTTCTCCTACACGACGGCATTCTGGTCATGGGAAGACTGGGAGCTCCAGCTGGATTGGATGGCTCTGCGAGGCATTAACTTGCCCCTTGCCTGGGTCGGCCAGGAAAAGATCTTGGTTGAGGTCTTCCGTGACATCGGCCTGACGGACGCTGAGATCTCGTCTTTTCTGAGCGGGCCAGCATTCCAAGCCTGGAACAGATTCGGTAATATCCAAGGTTCCTGGGGCGGCGATCTGCCCTATTCCTGGATTGGCTCTCAATTCGAGCTACAGAAGAAGATTGTCCGACGCATGGTCGAACTGGGTATGACCCCGGTTCTTCCTGCATTTACGGGGTTTGTGCCTCGAGCGATCAGCCGTGTCCTTCCAAATGCAACAGTGGTGAATGGTTCAAGATGGGGAGGGTTTGATGAGCAATATACCAACGACACCTTCCTGGAACCATTCGACCCCAGCTTCGCCCGCCTGCAGCGCAGCTTTATCCAGAAACAGCAGCAAGCGTATGGAAACATCACGCACATCTATACACTGGACCAGTACAACGAGAACGATCCCTACTCGGGAGATCTTGACTACTTGCGTAACGTCACCCACAACACGTGGTTGAGCCTCAAGAGCGCGGATCAGAGTGCTGTTTGGCTGATGCAGGGTTGGCTGTTTTACTCCAACTCCGATTTCTGGACCGACGAGCGTGTGAAGGCGTACTTGTCCGGTGTTGAAGTGGACCAGGACATGCTGGTGCTGGACCTCTTCTCTGAGTCGCAGCCCCAGTGGCAGCGTACGCAGTCGTACTATGGCAAGCCGTGGATTTGGTGCCAGTTGCATGACTACGGAGGCAACATGGGCTTGTACGGACAGGTGATGAATGTCACAGTAAATGCAACCCAAGCCCTTGCTGCTTCGGACTCGCTCGTTGGATTTGGCCTAACCATGGAAGGTCAAGAGGGCAATGAGATCATGTACGACTTGCTTCTGGATCAAGCCTGGTCTCGGCAGCCGATTGATACGGACCGTTACTTCCATAACTGGGTCAAGACTCGGTACTCTTCTGGACGGAGAGGTTCAGCCGTACCTGAAGAATTGTATCAAGCATGGGATATTCTGAGAACAACAGCCTACGACAACACCAACCTGACGTCAACGGCGGTGTCTAAATCCATCTTTGAACTGCAACCAAGCATATCAGGATTGCTTAACCGTACCAGCCACCATCCTACCACGATCAACTACGACCCGGCCGCGCTTGTCGAGGTATGGCAACTGATGGACTCCGCAACATCCAAGGACCGTTCTTTATGGTCTCAGCCCGCTTTTCTCTATGACATGGTCGACGTTACCCGTCAAGTAATGGCGAACGCATTTATCCCTATGTATATCAAACTGGTGTCTACATATCAAGCTGGCGCCTCCGTTTCCAAGGATGGAAGCAATCTGATTCAGCTGCTGCGCGATCTGGACTCTGTGCTTTCCACCAACGACAATTTCCGCCTGTCGACTTGGATCCAGTCAGCACGATCATGGGCGAGGAATGACACCGAGGCTGACTCCTACGAGTACAATGCCAGAAACCAGATCACCCTCTGGGGCCCCAAGGGTGAGATCAACGACTATGCCTCAAAGCAATGGGGCGGGCTGGTCTCGTCATACTACATCCCTCGCTGGCGGAGGTTCCTGGATTACTTGCAAAACACCCAGGCAAGCAAGTATAATGCAACAGAAATAGAGGCGCAACTGCTTGATTTCAAGCTCAAATGGCAGGAAGAGACGCGTAAATCGACACGAGCTGAACCTCGTGATCTACGATCCGTGCTGGCAAAAGTGAGCCGAAAGTGGCCATCAGTGTTTGGAGACCAGAATAGTCCTTGACGACGGGGATAGAGAGACTATCAACGAATATAGACGCAATGGAAATATGCAGCACGCCTTATAGATGCGCCCGCGGCTCTGACTTCCTACTCAGAGGCTCCTTAAATCCCGTAAAGCCCTTGGCCTTGATGTCCGCAATTAAAGCTCTGAACCGTCCGACTCCACCAAAATAGAATAACGTGGAGACTACCTTGCCGGGAACATTATGGCCGAAGAGCCATTGAGGTACCTGCTTCAGGAGAGTGCTGTTGGCGATCTCGTCGCAGTGCTCGCCCCATTTGCGTTGTGCCTCTTCAGTTGCTTCAATCAAACAGGGGCGATTCTCCTGCTGACTGACCTCCTCAGCCCGCTTTATTAGATCCACTATGAGGTTTACATTCTCCTCTGATATGGGAGGGATATTAGCAAACGGCGTCTGTGGCCCGTTGATCATCAAGAGATTAGGAAAACCTGGTACGGAAAGTCCCAGATAACTCGCTGGGCCTTCTGCCTTCCAAAGATCCCGAAGGTTTCCGCCTGATTTTTGGCCTAGAATGTCCAACCGAACATACGCTCCGTCCATTGCGTCGTACCCCGTTGCGAAAATGATGACGTCTAATTCATGCAACCTTCCATCCGCCGTGCGGATCCCCTCTGCTTCAATCTTCACAATGGGATGGGTCCGGATATCCACCGCAAAGACGTTCTCTCGGTTGAACTGCTCATAGAAACCGTTCGCACACAGCGGACGACGTGCATACGGCTCGTCTGGCGTAAGCACCTTCCGCTTTTGTGGATCCAGGACGATCGCCTCAATCTTCCTCCGGATGAACTTGCAAGCCTCCTCGTTGGCAACGGGGTCCGTGAGCAAATCCGTGAACCCACCAAACAGGAACTGCAGCCCACTTCCGGCTTCCCACAGGCGCTCGAAGGCGTCTTCGCGGTCTGCGGGGCACAACGCCATGGCCTCTCGCGAGAGCTCGGGGAACCCGATGGCGAGCCGCGAGGTGCGAGTCTCAGTCCAGATTTTGGGGAACTCTCTGAAAATCTCCTCGCGCTCATGCGCGGTGAGTGCACGGTCGCCGCTGGGAACGCAGTATTGCGGACGGCGAATGAAGACGTGCAGGGACTGGACGGGTGTCCGCAACGGCGGGCACGAGTTGCACACCCGAGGAACCCACGCCGACAAGACCAACTCGCTTACCCTTGAGGTCTAGCTCCGTGTCCCAAGAAGAAGTGTGCCTTATCTTGCCGTGGAACGCCTGCAGACCAGGAAGACCAGGGTAATTGGCCTTTGTCAGCAGCCCCATGTGAGGAGGTATCGAACGTGGAAACATCGCCGGTCTTGCAGGACACTCGCCATGTGCTTGTGCCTTCGTCCCAAACGGCGCTAGCCATGTCCGTGTTAAACTGCATGTGTCTGCGTAGGTCATACTTGTCTACGACGTGGCGCAGGTATGCCAGCACCTCGGGCTGCGAGACATACCGCCGGTAGAGCGGATACCGTAGTCGAAGGAGTAGCGATACAGGTGCGACCAAGTATCACTTAGGCGCCGGGGTAGCGACTCCAGTACCAGGTACCGCCAACGTCGCAGGCGGCATCGATTGCTTTGACTTTGAGGTTTTGTTCGAGGAGGGATTGGAGAGCGTAGATGCCTGAGAACCCGGTGCCGACGACCAGGGCGTCGAGGTAGTGTTCCGACATTGTGCTCGTATGAATTCTTTGAACTCTTTTTAGAGAGGTGGCGATAAACGGACAAAGGCAAATATATTCGTTTTCCGTCTTCACCTGCTGTGACATTCGTACAACAGGGATGCCATGGATATGCAGTAACCCCCTCATTTTAGCAGGGTATGCAATGCATGTCAGACTCGGTTCATTGACGTCTGCAATTGATGCTGCTGTTAAGAACATGTTCTTGATTTCATCCAACAACTTACTACAGAATAATTAGTACAATGCATGTCAGTGGGTGATGGTCATTGTCGGACAGATGCCAGAAGGACACAACAAATTCTCGAAGAATCTCAGTCTGAATGCGAGTTTATCAACGACAGGTCGAGCTATATTGCTTTTTCCGAGAATGCATGACCATGCTTATGCGTGCGACTCCTCGAACTGCTCGTAGGAGACTGTGTCTTCTCTTCTGTTGCTTTTGATACTGGTCGCCATTGTCCTGGAGCTGCTGGGAATACCGCTTTGTAGGAAGGAGAGAAATAATGGAGGCGTTGCCAGTCTATTGAGCCAGTAATCTCAATCTGGTGTTAATGAAAAATATGGATGTCCCTGCGAAGTTTCTCAGAATGATTTAGTTGAGATGAGAAAAGAGATTGGGCGTAGGTGTTTTGCGTCCGCATCTCTGGTATACAGAGAGAAAAAAGCTTCAACTACAAGATAACGACCAAAGAGAGAAGGCATAGACTACTACCTACTCTTTAAACAAGACATCTAGAAAATAAGAATACAATAAAAAAAGGAAAGAAAAGAATATTTCTGAGAGACAAAACGGAACATCAGCGGCAGGTGCACTCCCGCCAACTGGAAATCCGCCCAGGCTCCTCCTCTCAGTGGGAGGACTGTGAATCGAACCCGGGGCTGTCTGGGTAGTGAGGTACCATACTCTAGACTCAACGGAGTTGCAGTGGCAGAGTTTCTGCGCAATAGTACGACCGCTGCACTACCGCCCCGGTTCCTTTGGTTGAGAGGAAGACGTAATAATGGTTCATCTGTTGCCTAGTGGAAGGCCTAAAAGGGTAATGGATGTGTTGGTACCTGGGGAATGAGGCATGGCAGTGTACTGTTAAGCCTGAGGCAGCGAGTCCATCTGACATTGCTTGCTAAGCTATCCTAAATGTCGTACTATTCCTCCTACAATCTTGTGCCTTCTGATGTCTCTCCAACACAGACGGTGACTAGAGCAGCCATTACTCAAACCTTCGACAAGAGGAAAGAGGTTGCGTTCGGCACATCATCGCCGTAGCTGAGATGCGCCGCAGTGATGATCAAAGTCCCGTCGCACACCAGGTCGCCGAAAGCACAGTATATCTTGGTGCGGTCTGTGGGGAAGTTAGGGATCCGGCCCCCATCCTGCTTGTTGCGCGTGTCGCCGAAGAGCACAACGCCCTTGATCATGTCTTGGACGTTGCTTGGAAGATTACGGATGGCACCGTGCATGACAGCCGCTCCCTGACTACACAGTCCTTTAGCTTTCTCGATTGCCGTTATGAACGAAGGGAAAGTACCTGTATCCACCAGCGACGATCTTCGTGTTCGGACACTTGGACGCAGCGAGTTTAAAGAGACCCGCTGCCTCGTCGATGGCAGTTTGGCTCGTGCCCTGTGGGAGAAAGTTGGAGGCCAGGTCAGCGATATAGGCTGGTCCAACGCCTTGACAGGCCACCTGGCCTGGACGAGAGAGTTTGAGAGCGTTGCAGACTCCCGGGCCGGTGGTGATTCCCTTTCTTCCATTAGTATCTACTAGAATTGAGGACTGGCATGAAGTATGGATACCAGAAGACCAGGCTCGGTGGAGCCCCGGGCAAAGATGAAAGTGATGGGCTCGCAGGGACCAGTCCGAAGTTCATCCCCGGTAACGGCAGCTGTCTTATTAGCACGGAGACTGTTTTGCAAGGGAGAAGGCACATACTCTGCCGCACGTCAATGGCTACGGGGCTGGCTACAGCCATGGCCGCGAGGGAGAGGAGTGCAAACTTCATTTTTGAGAGGACTGGAGAGATCTTGATCTGCTGGCAATGATGCTGCTGCTGCTGCTGCTGCTGTCTGGAATCAACCACACCCTCAAGGCATCCTGAACGCTCTTTTTATACCCTTGGACACCTTGCTCCTCAACGGTAGTTGTTCACAAGTCGACCCGGCATTTCTCTTCATCTCTTCCAGCAATGTATAGAAACGGGTCCTCATCCTCGGTAGGGATGCTGATGTTTTCGATGGTATTGGCCAGAAACTGGATGCGAGTGTTTATTCAGCCCGCCGGCCCCTCAAACCGAGGCGAAATACACGCATCCTTGTCGAGGAGGGTTGCATTTCTGCTGGCAAAGGGTCACGGTGACCCTCTGCCGGGGTTTTAATATGTTTCTACCCCATATTTCGCGATTTCTCCGCACAAAAAGTCTTGGCTGCGTCGAGGATGACCTGAAGAAGCCTATTAGTGGCACGGTAACCGTATACTACAAGATATATGTACCGTACTTGGCTGATTCCTCTCGGTATTTAGGATGACTTTGTGTTGTTTTAGATGAAACTGTATGCGGGGGAGAGTCTTCTTCCGGGCCAGATGTCCGAGGTCTGCATTCTTGGTATCGCCAGATATTCTGATAGGGACACTTGACGAATTGATGGCTGTTGCACTTCGTATCTCCCCTCTTTGTTCCGACTTTTTAGCGCCGCGAAAACATAATAAAGTTGATGATATACTGGCACTGGCTGGACTGTCGAGCATGCCTTAGGCCACTGAAAGACATGTGGATCAACAGTCCCGGCTTAAATTTCGCCGACTGGCCTCTCATTGGTAAACCCCTCATAAGTTGTCTCATCCATTCATAACGATCCCTAGAGCTATTGGTTCTGTCAACTTTGTGAGAGTTCGGTAATCTTGGGGGATTGACCTCACGCTAATGCTGGGGAAGCGGCCTCAGGCCCGCCCCCTTCTCGACAGCAGAACGAAGATATTCCGTCGACTCGAGCGTGACCACACTCCAGAATATTCCTCTTTCTGGTATCTGCATCAATATGCCAACAACCGAGGCGTCTTGATTTGTTGCAAAATCGAGCATCCACAGCAGAAGGCTAAAAAAACAGCCTGTCACAGGTGGATTGCATGACTGGCCTATGTTAGCATGCAGCGACTCTTGAGGCAAGACATCCCAGAAGGCTTCAAGATGTTCACCATGTCGCTGCACCCTGTAGTCTAGTCGGTCTTTTTATTATGCATTATCAAAGAAATCATGTGATTGTTGTCCTCATGCTGCTTCAAGTTCAAGGAGTAGTTAGTTATCCACCATGACAAAGTAGGTATTCTCCACGACGATCTGTGTCCACCAACCGAGGATGAACTCTGACTCGCAGACTCGCAGACTCGCAGTTTTTTATCAGCGTCTTCTGTCTAAATCAGGAAATGTCAACTCTCGTCATGATGATCTTCGCCTTTTCAGTCAGTTGTTCAATGTCTGTTAGATTCCCCGCCAGCAGGAAATGCCGACGGATCCCATCATGCACGGAGAATTCTTCCTGTCCCCGATAATCCCTCAGGGGTAGAACACGCCAAACAGTGTAAACCGCCTTCTACCCCTTGATCACTCGTCAGAGTCTTATTTGACAAAACGATGAGTTGCAAACTCAAGCTGTTGAGCCTGCTGGCCGCTGGCCTGACCTCCGCGGTCCATCTGACTGGGTATGAATACATTGTCGTGGGATCCGGCGCTGGAGGCGGTCCATTGGCCGCTCGTCTCGCTCTCGCCGGACACAAGACGCTGTTGATCGAAGCAGGAGACGACCAAGGGCGCAATGTCAACTACACCGTGCCGGCATACTCGGCCCTAGCGTCCGAAGACGAGAAGATGGCCTGGAACTTCTTCGTGCGGCACTACGCCGATGAGGAGCGCCAGGCACGCGACTTCAAGACCAGCTACGAGACCCCGAAGGGGAGATCTACACCGGTCTCAACCCGCCGGCCAATTCTACCATGATGGGGACGTTGTATCCCCGTACAGGCACGCTGGGGGGCTGCACCGCACACAACGCCATGATAGCCGTCTATCCAGACCGCTCCGACTTTGAGTACATCGCCACGCTGACGGGCGACAGCTCTTGGTCCCCGGAGAACATGCGGAAGTACTTTGTTCGTATGGAGCACAACGAGTACCTCCTCCCCGGTCAAAAGGGCCACGGCTACGACGGTTGGCTGCACACCGACACCGCGCCCTTGGACATTGTCCTCAAGGACCCGCAACTGCTCAGCTTGCTGACAGGCGGCGCCTTTGCTCTGGGTAACATTACCCACACGCTCATGAATTTTGGGACACTGCTCCTGGGCGACGCCAACGCCGACTCGCTCGCCCGCGACACTCAGCCGGGATACTACCAGATCCCTCTGTCCAGCACCGACGGCCGCCGCAACGGGCCCCGCGAGTTCATCACCGCGGTGCGCGACGCCAGAAACCCAGACGGCAGCAAGAAGTACCCGCTGGACGTCCGGATGAACTGCCACGCCACCCGCGTCGTCTTCGACACCAGCGTCTCCCCGCCCCGCGCCACAGGCGTCGAATTCCTCGACGGCAAGCACCTCTACCGCGCCAGCCCTCTCGCCCACCTCTCCCAACCCGGCACCCCGGCTCCGCCACCGCCTCCCGCGAAGTCATCATCGCCGGCGGCACCTACAACTCCCCGCAGATCCTCAAACTCAGCGGCGTCGGCCCCGCCGACGAACTCGCCCGCTTCAACATCCCCCTCGTCGCCGACCTCCCCGGCGTCGGCACAAACCTCCAAGACCACTACGAGGTCGGCGTCCAGGCCCACGTCCCCTCCAACTGGACCAGCCTGCACGGCTGCACCTTCACCCAGTCAGACCCCTGCCTGGACCGCTGGGAATCCAAACCCCCACTGGGAAACCGCGGCATCTACTCCTCCGCCGGCTTCGCCGCCGCAATGTTCTACAAGTCGACCGTCTCCGCCGACAACGCCTACGACGCCTTCGTCTTCGGCGGGCCAGTCAACTTCCGCGGGTATTTTCCGGGCTACAGCGTAAACATCACCGCCCGCCACGACTGGTTCACCTGGGCGGTTCTCAAGGCGCATCCGCGCAACACCGCGGGGACGGTCAGCCTGCGCTCTGCGGATCCGCTGGATACACCGGCCATCGTGTTCAATTACTTCGACATGGGCGCGGATGAAGACCTGCAGGCGATCTATGAGGGGATTGAGCTTGCGCGTGATGCGCTCCGTCGCCAGCTGGTCCCCACCACGGAAGTCCTGCCTGGTGCGGAGGTGGTCAGCCAGGAGGACGTCAAGATGTATGTGAGGGATACGGCGTGGGGGCATCATGCGTCTTCGACTTGTCCGATTGGTGCAGATGGTGACCCGATGGCGGTGCTGGATAGCAAGTTCCGGGTGCGCAAGGTGCAAGGGCTAAGAGTCGTGGATGCGAGTGTGTATCCGTGTATTCCGGGGACGTTTACGGCTGTCTCGACCTATTTGGTTGCGGAGAAGGCGGCGGATGATATTTTGAGCGAGTTGGCGGGTTGATTCTTTATGATGGTGGGACGGATGGTTTCATATATGGATTAAGCCATCACGGCGGAGCATTACTTCGTGTTTATAATCTGTCAATAATTCTATGTACATGTACAATAGTGTATTGTTGTGAACCCTCACTCACAATGATATCTTATATACCGTGCCGTATACTTCCTCCTCACACATTACCGAACTCCCACCAGAGCGTCACTGATCAGTGGATCTCGACTAAAACCGAAACCGGGTTATTTATAGGTTGCAGATTCTCTGCGTAATCTGCCAAAATGCCCGGGACATAGTGTCATGCTGCGGCTGATCACGACGGAGAAATGAGTTCCGCGTTCAGTGACTCTGTCTCGAGCATAGAGAATCAAGAACACATAGGCGCAGATTTCACTTCAGTCTCTCATAATGGTGGACCCTCCTTGTGCTGCACAGATGGACGCGACGCCGTCCACCAATATGGTCGTACAGATCTCAGTTATTCCATTAGGACCGAAGATCGGCTCGACAGTGATCAGTGCCAGAAAGGAGCTCAGACGCTATTCCCTGAAGCGGCTGTAAACCAGGTACCCTCCCCTTCTGGGATGGACGGTTGTGATGGTGCAAGTGCAGCTCGAGTCGCGCTCAAGCTGCGCGCCGACGGGCAACTACTCCAACAACCAATTCAGAGCGTTGTTCACGAGCGCCTCGCTGGTCAGACTGTGGTCATTGAGGAGAGCAGACAGCTTGCCGCTCTCTCGGTCAGATACTCGTGTGTGCGACGGCGGAATCAGAAGCGAAGACTCGGTTTTGAGGCTGCCCGTGAGCCCGAGGATCCCAGACTCATCGCCGGTGTTGTATTGTGATGGTCGCGGGATGCTCGAGGGTTGTGGTCCGGGTGTTTGCCGCTCCGCCAGGATGGCACTGTGCTCGATGACAAAGCGGGCCAGCCAGTGGTCCAAGGTGAACGGATTGCTCATGGTATCTTGGTAAGTGGTTTGAAAGTCGCGGAGGCGGGCAATCTAGAATTGTTAGCATCAGGAACATAGCTGAATTGGGCGACAGTAGGGACGACTCACCGATTGCCGGACCGCGGGCCAATGTGTCTTCAATCCCATCAGGTATTCAAAGTTCGAGACTAGGCGTTGCCGTGCGGTACTCAGCTCCGACAACTCCTCGCTCAGCATCAAAACCTGCATGTAGACACAAGAGCTGACGATGGCCACGTGCCCGTAGAGGAAGTAGTCGAGCTGGCAATCATCCACCTTTGTGCAGCAATCGATGATTTCAGAGATCGCATTGGCGCTTTTTCTGCATTGAGCAATACCATCTGCGGTTGACGCTGCGTTTCGACCTGCTCGTGCGTCCAGGGCGGGAAAGAAGAGCATTTGCCGGAAATGGTGGTAGACAATATGCATGGCGAGAAAATTTCGGCCCAGGCCCTGTTTAGCAAAGAACGTGAGATTCTTAGAGCTATAGGCCAATGTTGGAGGCAATCCCCGAACCCATCCGTCCAGACACTCCTTCAACAAGGGGACCTCGCTGAGGTAGGCGTCGAAGGTAACCACCCCACGACTGAGTCGCGTTAGAAGGACGCTGATTCGGGTGTAAATGTCCAACGTCCCGGCCATCTGCGCCCACATGTCACATCTTGACGAGGATGGGACGGGCACCTCTCGTAAGAGTTCCGGGTCATACGTGTGAAACGCCACATCGTCTACCTCGGGGAGCACATTGAGGTTGTGGAGAGAAGCCCCCGAGTTCACAGACATGTCAATGATAGTCCACGGATCCGCAATCCGGATGGAAAGCCACGTCCGCCGCCGCTCTTCTCGATGCACAACGGTGGAGTTTGGCGGCATGGCCCATAGAGAGAGCACCTCGGCGTGTGTGCGGGCGATGCCGATGTAGGCCTGCTTCGCCTGCGCATCTCCTTCTCCTCCCACGAGATGCCCCAGAAGAACCGCTCCCTGAACGGTTTCCAAGCTGGGATAGTTCACCCTCTCCTGGAATAAGCGAATGGCCTCGCCGGCATAGAGCTTACCACGTGACTCTGGAGCAACACCATTGAAAACAGCATTCTTCGAAAATCTGCCATTGATCAGTTTCTGCAACTGTTTTGAGCATCGACTGACATACCTCGCAACGAGCGCACACATAGCATGCACATGCATCAACGACGCTCGGCCTTCATTCAGCAGCCGCATAAAGCTGGCCTCGTGAAACAATGTATGCGCAACGTTGTGGATAGACCGAAAATACAAAGATACCAGCTCGAGAAAGAGAGCCGGCGTGGCCAGCAAATACAGATCCAGCAGAGGTTCCACAGGCGGTAACTCCTGGATCCTTCTCACCGGCTTGATCACAGCAGCCCGTGGAGGTTCAGGCGCTGGCAGCTTCTCCGCTACAGGGTGATGATGATGATGATGGGCCGCCGCCGCAGCGCCATTTGTCGCAGCAGCAAACACCCCGGGTTCCGTACTAAGGCTGCACGGAATCGCCAGGGACAAACAGAGTTCGCAATTATTGTACTTGTCCCCAGCAGGGACACAGCGTCTCTTGCGAACTCTGAGCAGCGCGTTTTGCGTTGGTCAGCTTTATTCCTACGCCGGAGAGTATTCAGTGTAGTTCATCTTACCGGCAAGTTGTGCACGCCCCGGCCCGTGGCCTTTTATCTCCGACGACCATGATGGAAATGATTATTGATATTCATCAATTGGCTCAACCTCATGCGCAATTAATTGCAATGGAAAACCATACTGAGTGGACTAGTCGTCTAATAATATGGTAGCATTAGCGAGGAAGAAAGGGAAAAAAAATTCAGACTTGAAGTCGCGTTGTTGTTGCTGCTGGATGGTGACTAAGCAGAAAATAAGGGAGACGCCAAATATGTGTGTCTGTGTGTAGGAAGGATTCGTATGCACGCTGATCTTACAGTAAGATTCAACAGAAACTTCTGGATCTAGTCCTTGACTGCGTGAATCCGTTGATTGTGATAAAATCAATCTGTGTACAAATTTGTAGCGGCCTCAAACTCGATCACCGCAAGACGGCGACGAGTTCACTCGACTGGGCCCGATGAATTCCTTTCCCGCCATCTTATTTTGCCTTCACTAGAGCAAGACTCCCTAGCTTGGCACTGGACATTTTGTCGCTCTGTCGCCCTGTCTGTCGCCGGATTCATCATCAATCAAGTGTCCGCCAACCACTCTGCAGAGGAAACAACCCGCGCCTGTCTCGACAACACCTTTTTCATCAGAATGTCATGAACTTCCTGGTCTCTGTCCATGCACAGATCCTCCAGCACAGTCAACTGGTAGTCCAGATCAGCAGCCTGCCTAACAGTCGACAGCACCGCACCGCTGGTGATCAGCCCGACGACGACCAAATGCTGCGCTCCCAGACAGCGAAGCACAAGGTCCAGATCCGTCGCGGTGAAAGCCGACACGCGGCGCTTAGTGATGATCGGCTCGTTGGCATTCGGCGCCACGACAGAAGAGATCTCCACGGAGATGTCACCTTCGCAGAAGGACTGTGATTCTCGGACTCGAGTACCCATGGTGCTGCGCGGGTGTGTGTCGGGGTATCCTGCCCGGAAAGCTGTCTTGACGTAGATGACTTTGACGTCGGATTCGCGGGCCGCTTTGATGACAGGAGCGAGGCGTGCGAGGTAAGTATCGGGTCATCTAGGCGCTCGACGATCCCGTCCTGGACGTCCAGTACGAGCAGGGCGGTTTTGGTCATGTTGCACTCGATTCGGGTGGCGCTCGAGGAAAAAGCTTGTGCAGAAAGTCAAGTCTTAGCGAATACAGTGCAACTTGAATGAGCCGCAGTGCAACGTGAAAAAGTAGATGAGCTTAGGTATGGTTGTGATTGCACATCGCCTTTTACATCCAAACATCCCGGTTCCGCTTCAGACAAGCCGGTACCGGCTGTTGACCAATTGCAGACCTCAGATAGCCTTATGACGGCCTGGTCCAGTCACATTGTTTCTTTGTATTGGGCGCTTTATCAAGTCTTCTAAGAGAAGGAAAGGTGTTTAATAGCAAATGATTTCTTAGCTGAATGGTGCTGCGGAGTGATGACTTTGATGCCTTGCGCTTTACCCAGGTGGAGGCACACTATATAAACTCTTCATTGAACACATACAGGAATTAACATCAGTTCTAACACATTATTATCCAAGTCCTGCTGACTCTGTTCACTGATCTGCCATTGCATCAACCACACACCTTCAGGCCGGCCAGAGAGTTGAGGTCAGTAGGAACAACGCCAGCCGCAACAGCATCTAAAGAGTTAGCATCTTTCGATCACATATCATCGGTAAGGAGCAGCCCACCTTGATACGACCAACGGTAATCTCCCAATTGAGACTTCCACGTCCAGAAAACCCAGCCCTGCTGCTTCTCATATGCCGTGACCTGGGCGGCAAACCACTTCTTGTAGAAGTCCTTGTTAGAGTCGGGCGACCAGTCAGAGTTCCATTGCACGTTATCAGGAACGCTTAGACTCCATTCTCCCACAATGGTCGGGGTGTTGCTGTTGAGCTGGTCGCTGCAGGATGTGCTGATGTAGCTGTCCTTGGAGACGGCAACGCTGGCCCACTTTAGATACCGGTGGTCATCGTAGGCGGCGTAGTAGGTGTCAGAAAGAGCCTCGGTGGGATCACCCGAGCCCCAAAGTTTGTCCATCATCTGGATGTGCAAGTAGTTGTTTCTATCGATGTTGAGGCTTTGCTCTGCAGCGCGAATTCTCTGTGGTCAAGCGTGAGGGTGAGCATTGTTTTTATGCCTGTATGAAAGATACGCACCTTGAAAGCATTGGGATAATAGCTGCTCCGCATTGAGCCAACCTTGCCAGCATCCTGAACAGGCTCATTGACAACTTCCAGCATTCCAACATTGCGGAACTTGTCATTCTGGTGGATGTTGGTGGTCATCCACTCGAGGAATTTCAGCGCCCTCTCGAACTGGTAATCCTGGTAAAATCCAGCGGTGGGCGCATACTGGCCCGTAAACGGATTCTGGGGCGTCTGAGCCCCGGGAGCACCGTGCAGATCAATGATAATATACAAGCCTGCATCACTTGCCCACCCACACAAATTCTCCAGATACTGCAACCCGCCCTGAGGGAAATGCTCACTGTCCGAGTAGACCAGGTCCTCGCGCATCCAGTACCCGACAGGGACTCGGATGGTATTCAGCCCATAGCTTACCATCTCGGCGATGTCATCCTGTGTGATCCAGGAGCCCCAGTGGCTCGCAAAGGCACTGTTCGCTTTCGCCTGGCCCAGGCTCGAGACGCAGTCGAACTCGGATTTCTGGCCACCGCAGCCCATATCCGACCACGCCTTTTCTGCGATCCATGGCTCGAAGACGAACTGAGAGCCCAGGTTCACGCCTCGTATCTTGCCGTTTGAACTGGTGAAGAGGTTCGTCCCGTTTGTTGAGGTGATCTTCTTGTTGACCTCGGGCAGCCAGGCGGTTGCCAGGCCCGATAGAGCGCTGAGAGCTGCGAGCCTCCTAATCATTTTGATTGTAGTAACGGACTGCCTTTGACCTAAAGAGCGGTGTAAAAGAGATATGTGGTTCTCAGCTCTGTCCAGACATGTTGATGAAGGTGTCTATTTATCTTATTTTCCGACCCAAAAATCTGAAACGCGGATCAATGCGCCCCAGCACGGCAAATAATGCTTCGCTTCAATAGTTCAAATGCATCGGCATCAGCCGCCCCTGAGCCTGAAGATGCCGATCATTTGCTTATGCTCACGGGTTTCCCCAGGCAGGCTGTGACGTCCGAGACAAGGCTAGCATGCTGTCCATGAAGTCGAAACTGCCGAGATACGCTGGAGTAGAACGTTGAAAATCGGCAATTATCAAATTGGATGGCTATTTTGAAACCTGCTGGCTGGCGATCTTCAACAACGCTCGGTGTGTTGATACACATCTAGACTTTGAGGTTGGAGGAATTAAGGGGCGACCCGGCTGGTACGGTAGCATCGAGGAAAGGATCTAGGAAACGAGATGCAACAATGCAGTACATGACCCGACCACTCAAGTCGAATGGAATATGGTTACTATAAGCTCAAACAGTCTAATCCATAGGTGTCCCTGGAATTAAAGGTCCAAGTGATCGTCGTCTAAACGGTCAACTCCAGGACTTGCCTGTTTGGGAAAATGGTATTCTTCAACTCACCTCTCCCGTCATAACAGCGATAATGACCGGAAGACCTTCGATCATGAATTGTCAAGGTTAATCTGATTCTCAGTTGTATTCAACTGAAGTTAGCAACCAGGCTCATCATCGTGCTGCTCGATTTCCCTGTCTCCCCACACAGTGGGAGGAAGCGTCATAATATCACTGTTTGGTTGGCTTCTGAGAAAGATTATAGAGCAATGGCTCTTCAACCATCACATGCATCCTTCTCAGCGGACTCTGCATGTCAGAGGCCTTCAGCGATCCAACCTCGACTGAGGAAGGTTCGTAGTCCGGCTACAGATGGAAACACCATCTGATACTGGATCGAACACGGTCAAGGAGGCTGCAAGCGAGATTGAATGACTATTTTGTCTACAATCAATTCTTAGTATGTCCCTAGACCCAATCTTCTATCACATATGTTGCTCACTCATCCGCATTCTAGTGCACTGCCACCAAGAACGATGGGGCCAGGCCCGGTATCAGCCCATGAATGCGTCAATGGGACGAACCAACGCGGGCAACTACTGTGTCAAGATGAAGCAGCTAGTCGAGGGTCCGAACCCGCAGTCCTGGTGCCGAAGGCACAACATCGAGAGTATGGATATGTATTTGGATGATTGAGACCAGAGAATCGCAAAAACAGCAGTACAACCTACAATCGCACGATTCATCGAACGATATTGGTCTCATCACACCGCCGAGATAGAGCGCACCTTAACCAAGAGAACTAGCCGCAGGGCGTCAGACTATTGACGCACGCATGAACTCGGTAGTCAAGGAAGAGCTGCATCTTGTCCCCTCACTGTCGGATAACCGGGAGATCTGACAGGACACATTGAAGAGCCTCACATGTGAAGTGCACAGCTTTTCGTCGGTGATCTTCTGTGCAGGGAATTTCGCGGCTCCATGATCGGAACTCGGCTCAGAACATCCTTAATAACTTCTGTTTGCTCAATGGGACTGCAGCCACTATCTCGCTGACCACCTGAGTCAGTTGACCGCATTTTGATGAATGGCCACGAGCAATCGCTGCATACGGTTGGATTCGGGATCGCGTCCCAGCGCTTGATGGCACGATCCTCCATCTATCAGAAGCCGACGCGACCTGTTGGGATGGTTCAGACGCAAGCTTCGAGTTCATCCGAATGCAAAGATGACCTGATCAGCCATCCCGACCCATGAAATCCCCAGCACGGCGCAGAGTCATACTAGCGCGACTACTCCATCTCTCACTTGCGGTGTGTGGGGAGGTACTGATACGTTATCCAGGTCGACATTCGTATCTTGACTCTCGGCTCCGAGAGCTTCGATCACATATCCTGTTGGATATCCGCTGCACCCTCGTTTCCACTAGCTAGAAGGGGTAGACTTGACACCTTTTCCGCTTAGTGTTTTGAGTGCATTCGACATATTCACCCCACGCTGTCCAATCCCACATTCAATTCGTGATGTGTATGACTATAGAATGCAGAGATAGGTGGTGAGCGAAATCCTGAGCACTAGACATATTATGCAGTAATGCAACATCCATGTCCGACTTGTGTCAGATTGATAGTCCTTAGTTCCGCCAGCGTCCGCCTCGGAGCCGAAAATCACGGATGTATCCGTAACAAGTTAACAACTACAGCTAAGAAAAGATGCAATCCGATCGAAATTGAATCGCTCTTTGCGATCGAGCAATAGTTGTCACTGGTCACTACTCCGTCTGCCTGCACAGTTGCCAATAATGATAAACCCCGCATGCTGAGTAGCTGTCTCCTCAGCCCACTAGAGTTAGTCAAACAGTCAAAGAGCCACGTTCGGACTGTCAATATGGCAAGTAAATAACTTACCTCTCCGCTAAGGTATTCTTGGCCTAGTAACTTCCGTTGTTCGTTCCCTGGGTCTGGGCTGTCTACCCGAGGGAGACTCCAGCTAGAGAGACCCGTATAATCTATTCTCGGGTGGACCGGGGGCTCCGCTAGGAGGAAGCAGTTGGTTAGTTCTGTTTGATGATTTGCTGGAGTGCTGCAGCGTGGCTTCGGAATGAAGTTGGCAAGTTGCTCCCGTACGAGATGCACATCATGAGATGCGACCCATTCCAGCCGACCTCTCCTTGTCTATGGTCATAACTCATATCGGTTGTGGGTATTATATGGGGCTAGGACGAATGTAGTGAATCTATCATCTCAGTGTAACCGAAGTAAGTAGATGTCAAGTTTCAACGGATTTGGAGAAGTGTCTAGTCTGGAAAGGGAGAATGAAGGTAGAGCTGATGGACAGGTCCTCTGACTTGATTGCGAGATGAACCACAACGTCAAAGCTGAAGGAATGGGCCATCAGGAATCCAGGCTCGGTTCCTTTTACCTACTCTTCAACCGAGTAAGGACGGATACCTACCTGAACGGATCTGCAAAATCAATGTCAGACAATCAACACATTCGTTGTCGGCCGAAGCGGGAATACCTCGGTCGGCTTGAAGCACGAACCCCATCCGCATCCAGTCAAACCAGCGGTTCTCATGGCGATCTCCGAGACTACCTCGACTCGTGGATGACAATCCAGGGGCGCATGGTTGCAGTGCATGAGGGACCGGTAATGCCGCGTCGTCGACTACAAATACGGCACTTACCCAGCTTACGACCTACATGGAGCGATCACTCATTCACCCACTCCTACCATTAGCATTCAGGGGACTCCAGCCCCTCGTAAGGAAGGTACTCTCGGATGGGTTTTGCTTCGGAAGTGAGACAATGCGACATTCCTTTA